CTTAATGCTTTCGCATTAAGCTTTGATTACTTTCAGGTTTCCTGGTAAAGCATCGTCTCCAAGTGATCTTACACATACATCTTGACATTTTGATAGTCCGGATACGTTCCCCGTGCACCGTCCACCTCCCATATTCCTTCTCTTTAGCCTCTCCATTTGCTTTCGACGACTCTCTTACTTTCCTAGTTTCCTGAGCGATTCCCGGTTCCCCGCAACAGTAGACTGAAAAACTGTAGCTATGAAAATTTAAGGGTCTGCGTATTTTAGCCAAGTGACTTTAAACAAAAAGAGGTAACACTTAACAGAATCGAGAAATCACCCTACGAAAAATCGTGATATCGTCAACTTAACACACGTCTATCGATTGGCTATCCATGTACTTACACCATGCCCATAAACTCCCACCCAACACTTCCAGTGTTGACATAGCAGACAAAGGTCTCTTGGCAGTATACTGTGAAAGTAATACAGTGATGGTGCGGTCATCATTCACGAATAGGGCTCAAGGTCAGCTTCATCAGTTGGCTGTAAAGCATGGCCTTTTCCCATGTCAAACCATCGACACCAACCACTGGACAGCGAACCACGGAGTTTGTTGCTTCTTGTTCCCAGCAAGGTAGTTGTAAGTGCAAGGTAGCGGCAGCAACGCAGATATGCAGGGCTTCTGCTGAACACATATTGAATGCTTAGCTTTCTCCGGTGCTATTTGTGTCGTCTGAGCAAACCTAATGCTTCGAGTAGTTTTGATTTCATCTAAATTGCCATTTGCGAATATTCCACTACTATTTCTAGGAGACTCAACTTTCAGAAGAATTAGATTTTCCCGTAAAGACTGTATACGGAGCATAGAGAATCGGAGCTTACATTCATGTCTGGAAATTATGTGCTGGTAATCCGTATAATCAAAGTAAATGAGTTCTGCTCGCATATTTCTACCCAAAACAATGTTCCTGATCAAAGTCTATGGACGCATGAAAGTCGTAAACTTAATTGAGGGAAAGGACGAACCATGCAACCGAGCAAAGAACACAAGGAACAATCCTCATAGGAGGTTTTCGGGGAGTTTGTGAAACAGACAGATCGCCAAGCTGGGGAATTCTATGACGATTAACATGAAAGTAGTCAGGATCTGCAGCTGGCTAGATCCCGGAATCGATTCAATGACATGAACATCGCGGAAGTCTCTACGAGTAAAGGGATGCAAGTTAGACATCATCCGGGGTTCCAAATGGGAAAAAGGATGCAAATGAATTGCGGCGTATGTTTGTGGACATTTCCGTATCGGGTTCTTCTGTAAGCCCCCTTGGTCGTATATGGTATGTTTTTGGTGGTGAAGGAATAATGCGAATACCAAATTCCCTAAGGATTACGTCAAAAGAACGAAAGCAAATTAAAAAGATTGAGGCTCATACCTAGAATAGAATGCGAGCTCGAGATGGCACTGGGAGCTGTTTCCTTGCTAGTTGTTACGGGCTCGTGGTGCAACATGTAGGCAGGTTGGGTATTTCCCATCAACTCGTACCGGCTCGTAAAATCTACTCCATTGCCAATTTCGACGATATATTGTGCGAACTGCGCAGTGTCAAACAAAGAAGCGTAATATGGATATATTCTATATTACAAGTGATATGTAGAGCATATGTAGTTCGCCAAGTGAACCAGACATATTACCATCCCATGAGCAGGAGGCTACACAGCCTTATTGTAAATTATGCGAACCGATTGTCCAAGACCCCGCGTTTTCATGGTCAGTCTGCCGTCTTGTTCCTTGTTAATGATTTGCATAACTGATTCAGATATACCTCGCTCTCGCATGAAGAGGAAAATCACCGAAGATCAAGACAAACCTCACTTCAAACAACAAGCAAAAGAAATCCAGAACGCCACATCGTGAGAAATGAAAGTGTCGAGAAATGACGACGACAGCTCCACTCCCGAGTTATGCCATTGATAGGTTGGGGCACAAATCAGCTGGTGCACAGTGCACAGATGAGCGACAATGCCAAACAAGAGATCTTCCCAGGCATCTAGGGCGAAGCAAGACACCATGTTCCATGTGTAGGAATCGAACCACACCCAACGACATACTTTTTGCACTGCCTCCATTCAAGACTCAAGAGTGGACTACTGGGCAGAAATCGTCTGAACAAGTCACGAGTGGTGAGCGAGTGATAGGAGAGTATTTACTGACTTCGTACCAGTAGCCAACTCGTTTCATAAAGAATCCGGCCTGTTTCTCCGCTTGAGGTTGCAATGAAGGCGCCAACAAACCCCCGACTTTGCAGATGTTTTATCCAGTAAAAGTTTCAGGTTATGAGCAACTGGAATCGATTAAATGGTACTCATGCACGCATAACTTATGCATGTATAAGCCCACGCACAGGCCACTATAAGACGTTCCACTACTTCTCCACTACTAAAATACCACTACAACACCTACTATTTTTTACTATTAGGATTAGAAAAAAAAATGTAGACGGGTTAGGGTTAGGATTTGGTTAGATTTAGGGTTAGGGCTAGAAGTTGGGGTTAGTGGAATATGATTTTTGGCTGTCTTGTAGTGTAGACATGGCTAAGTGGCTCCCTTTTATGTCAGAGATGGCACGGGCCTCCATGAGTACCATTTAATCGATTCCGAGCAACTTCGTCCAATTGTGAAAGAAAACAGTCATGCAGGCGCCAGGTACGCCCACATGTGAGATCTAAGTTGACATAAGCCTTCACGTATCCTGAGCGCAACGTTTAATTGTGATTCCATTTTTGGACCAGAATGGGACGAAAGAAGCATCCTGGATTTTCAAGACTTTTGGGTCTGAGCACGGCGCAGCACTGGGGTAGAGCGTCGTACCCTACAGGGACCGAGCTCAGCTGCCATTGCTTTGACCGACCGCGATGTTTACTGCAGGTACGGAGCGGCTGCCTTTGAACTCAGGATAAATTTGGATGACGGGTGGGTTGACAAAGAAGGCTGTAATGAGAACGAGTCTGCACAGATACCACACACGGACAGAAATTATTACTTCCGAATCAATTTTGGCTTGTAAGCTATCGAGGCTATCAAAGTACCCTTCTGCTGAGTGCAGAGCTGAAATAAAGCTTCTCGCCGGCGAGAGAGAACTGAGGCTACGACCCACGGGCAAGCGAGAAAAAGAAGCGAAAGAAGGGGGAAGATGGATCAGAAATCCGATCTCTCGGACCGGATCGGCTTAACTTGCTCTTTTCGTCGTTTTCAAAGAGTCCGACTAGAGAGGATCTGTCGACAAAAAAATAGAAAACATGGTAATCAAGGGAGGGTTTCCTATCTTGGAAAAACTCATTTGGATATGCTTCGCATTAGGAGTTAGTCCACGAATCAACCAATTTAATCATCCGTGCACCTCTGTAGTTGCCCCGCCTGATTCGACATTTAATCGGTGGCTATGAACCTTTTGAAGTGGTCATAAGCTCCACTGCAGATGCTCAGACTAACGGCGCGGCAGCGGGCGGGGCAAATCGTGGTGGACAATCGGGTTGCTCAACTTCAATCAGCAACTCCAGTACCAACTCCCGTATCGACAGTCTGATAGAAATAGAGAAGCCCGGGAGCCTGTAAAATTACACCCGGTAATTTTTTATTTTACGCTTCGATAGAGAGACACAGACTCGTGGCCGCTAGCAACTACTTCGAAGTATGTTCGTAATGCGATGTCGGACCTGAAATTACACTCATTACGGTAGCGAATCCCATCGGGCTTCATATCCTCTAGAGAACCTTCTTTGCTGGCTGCTGTGCGACATGGGAGAATCAGATCTCATCTCCTTCCAGTGCTGAGAATAGGAAAAACATGATGTTGAATCCTCAGTCAGACCGGCAAAGCACGAGGGAAATACACCAGCGAATAAGCCCGCTGACTTATCGAGATTAACGAATCCTGAAAGAATCCCTTTTGAGAAACCATGAACCATTCTGTGCAGCGTTTCGCGATGTCTGTCAGCAAATAAAATACGGCTTTCTGATTCGAGGGTATTTTGAAACATGCATTTCCACCGAACCGGACCAATGACAGGATCTACAACGACCCCGCGGCTCCTTTCCACCAGCAAAACGTAAGCGCGAGCGGTTCGAAAAATAACTGGTTGTGGACCGTTGGACAGGGTGGAATAAAGAAGATGGCGAATCGCTGTGCCACTTCTGGACAAAATGTTCTGCTTCGCTAGAGAGCCCTTGCAGAGGGAAAGAATAAAATTGGGTTGGATGTGAGCAATCAACGGTTTCCTGACTACCGGAGTCAATGCATTTCAGCCAGTACTCCATTGACTCGGTTCTATAGATTCCCATGTCCTTGTGGTGTCTATGAACGGTTAGCAGCAAATGATCTTCTCGATACGCTCAGACTGAGAGTTTCTCCTCACGGGACTTGTCCCTTTTCAAGAGGTGTAATCCCGTGGGTGTACGAAGTACTTTGTACGACTGCGTGCCCCACCAAAAAAGAGGCACCAATGCACCATCTGCAGAGCGACTCGTTCAGGCTTTGACGACTGCTCGTAGTACAAGTATTCTCCGGGGTGGGCATCCTGTTCGGGCAAAGTGGGCCAGATCTTACACTTGATGGCTGTGGGACCGGCATCTTCAGCATCCTCCACTCCTTCACAGCGAAAGTTTTTTTCCTGTGCATGCAATCTGATTTCTGTACCTGTCAGATTCAGATTTAGTGGTGTCCAGAGCTGGAAGCTTTCTTGCTAGGTGATGTCGCGGTACCTGCATTAGCCTGCTCTTTTTGTCCTGGTGTTGCCCCTGAAATGTTTCAAGCGAGCCGAGTAGTCAACCGCACCCTCCCAATCCTGGACCCCTCCTTCCTCCTCCCCTCTTGGCCGCGTCTCTGCCAACTTGTGGAGACTACCACGCCAACCGCCAACCGGGATCTAACCTGTTTGGTCCAAGGAGGGGATACCGGATCGAGTTGAATGGCCTCGCTCTTTGGAGGCCCCCGGTACTCCTGCCCGCTCATCCACCACACAAACTTCAAAGGCGCGCGCATGGCTCAGGATCATATCGCCCCAGGCATAGCGCAGAGTGGTACCTGATGGAGTCGAATGACAGGGAACAGCTCTCGCTGCCGGCCCCGAGCCCCCTTCAACATGGGATGACAGTAGGAAGTGGGCTGTGAGCTTGGACATGGGTCTGTGATCCGTGGCCGCTGACAGCCAACGGCTTTGACAGATATATTATATCCTGAAATTCCCCTCTCTCTTTTTGTCTCCATCCTCTGCAGGTGTCTTCTTCCTACATCTAATTGCAAACCAGTCCTTTCAGAGTTCCAAAGTCATTCGCTTCTTTGGTCTCTTGTTTTTTTTTATTGCGACTAACCACACACTCACTCTACGCTCACTACTACCCGCTTAGTATAATATATTCTTGTCGAAAACATAACCTTCGCTCTACATTTTTATACAACAGAATCTCTTCATCATGAAGACTCAAAGTCTCGCCGCCATTGCCTTGGCATCTGGACTCCAAGTGGTCGCTGCAACTGTATGTTCTAGGTCACTTCCTCTCAGTATCTTCACTTACTAATACTATCAAGGGTTTTGGAGCACCTGGATCATTCAGCTGCCCATCCAACACCAACAATGAGTGCAACCCTCAACAAAAGCCTGGTTACAGCTGGGGTGATTTGCCAACTGGTAAATTTGGAAGCTATGGTGGAATGGACTTCAACGGCTTCAAGTGCCAAAACAGCTTCGGAAAGCGTGATCCTTTAGCCAAGCGTACATTCGAGAACTCCAAATGTATTACTGGTAAGGCTACTCATGACAAGGCCACTGCACCAAAGATCAACTGCGGTGCCAGTTCTACTGTCCCAGGAAAGCAATTCTCGGTTACCGAGTTGCATGTTTCCGTCGAGTTCGATTGCGATCTCGAGTTCCACTACGAGATGCCCGACAAATCTACTTGCAAGCACACAGCCGGCTGCAGCTCCGCAGGATCTATTGTCAAGAACACCCAGTGCGGTGGTGCTACTGGTGTGGTCGTTGTCTACCCACCCCAAAAGCCAGGAAAAAACACTGGAAAGACTGGATGTGACGTCGGTATCCACTCCATCGGATTCGACTGTGGTCCAGCCAAAAGCACCTCTGTTCGTGTCTCAAGCAGCACCATCAAGCCATCTAGCTCTGCATCCAAGCCAATCACCGTTCCAACCACTCTTTCCAGCGCTACGAAGCCACTACTTACTCCTTCCTCAAGCAAGGTTGAGTCCACCAGCAAGGTCGAATCATCCAAACCCGCTGTCTCCACCAAACCAGCTGAGAGCACCAAGCCAACACACAACACCAAGGTTGAGGAGACCACCAAGCCAGGAGAGACCTCCAAGCCAGTACACAGCACCAAGGTGGAAGAGTCTACTCAGCCAGGAGAGACTACTAAGCCAGCACCCAGCACCAAGGTGGAAGAGTCTACTAAGCCAGGAGAGACTACTAAGCCAGCACCCAGCACCAAGGTTGAAGAGTCCACCAAGCCAGCCGCTTCCGGCACAACTGTTAGCGAGAACTCTGGTGCTTCTTCTTCCATCAAGCCATCCATTCCAGTAGTTACGCCGTCTTCCAACGTTACTACTCCATCGCTTGCAGTCAGCTCTCCACCAGCAATTAGCTCTCCACCAGTCCTCACTACCTCCACCGTCTATGCTACCTCCGTTTCCACCATCATCAGCTGTGGCCCAGAAGTTCCCAACTGCCCCGCCCACTCCACTGCTCTCATCACGGTCACGATCCCAATTTCTACCACTATCTGCCCGGTTTCTGAGGTTGTCCAAACTCCTGGTCCTTCAATCTCTGTCGCTCCCCCTGGACCAAAGCCAACATCCGTTGGTGAGAATTCCGGTGCTCCATCTTCCGTACCCAAGCCAGCACCATCTGCTCCAGCTGAACCAATTGTTACAGTCCCAGATGTCCTTCCTAAGTGTATGAACACCTGGAACTTCATTGTCGGATGCGTTGACAACACTGAAGCTTCTTGCTACTGCCCAGATAGGGACTTCGTTAACAACGTTTACGGATGTCTTCAAGCCCACGGAGCAGATGCTGCCATTATTGACAATGCTGCCAAATACTTCCAAGGTATCTGTGCTCCTCACATTCCTCAGAACCCAGCTATTGTTATTGGTGCTCCACCAGCCCCTCCTGCACCCGAATCGCCAGCCCCAGTATTGAGCAACCCTGGACCTATCACCACCCAACCACCATCTGTTCCCGTTACTACCATCGACATCGTGTCCACCATCACCGTTCCATGTATCGAGACCACCGGTCCTTTAGCCGGATACCCAATCCCATCTTTAACCACCACCACTCTTTTATCTACCGTTTTGACCGTTCCTCAAGTTGTTTTTATCACTCTCCCACCACCAACAGCAACCGGCGGAAACCCTGGAGCCACTGCCCCAGCCCCTGTCCCCGTCTTGGTTGTCGGTACTCCAGCACCGGCTCCAATTCCTGCTACCACAACAAATCCTATCATTGCCCCAAGCAGCATCCCAACTGGAGTTTCCGGAAACAACGGAACTGTCAAGCCATCGGCAGCTCCATCTGCCTCACTCACTGCCAACAGCGGTTCATCCATGGGCGCTGCCATCAGCTCCGTATTCGGTGCTGCTCTCCTCGCTGTCTTCGCTTTGTAAATTTCTACATAGACGGGTCAGTGGGAAAAAAATACATCATGCATGCATTGGGCGGGTTTTCCTCACAAAATCCGAGGCGTTTTACACTTCGATACCATATTAAAAAGAATATTCTTTTTGAATAGTTTTCCTTTTTTTGTTATTTACATTATACAGCGTTTGTTGGAATCTTTTTGACCATGATCAAAAAGAATCAGAACGACTCTGTGGCTCCTTGTATGGGATGCGTACGGCAGACTGCCACATCATCTATTGGATATAGGGAAGGGGAACAGGGATGTTGCACATGATATATCTGGGTCATGATCTGGGAAAGGTTATGTTACTCTTAATGTGGATGGAGGGATATGCTCATGTACTTTTCTTGTCATTTTTTTTTGGGTCGGTTTGCGCTAATTGGAAGCGTGCACTATAATTATTTTAGATGCCCAGTGCAGAACGCGCGTGCGCTATTTCCTTATTGTTAAAGTGAAAGTTCAAAAAAATTACTTCGCTTCTTCGGATGTTTTGTGACTACATGTCTCTATCGTGAAGACCACTCTTGTTTGGTGACTGTCGTGCCTTCCATGGCCTTGTCACTCCTCGCAGCTCTTGTGTTTCGGCTCTGGACTCGTATTCTACACTGCTCAAACCAGACCACATCTCATGATACAGATACCTAAACACTTTCCTCTCATGAAACCCAATATCCTAATAACCCTTTCCTCATCCTCCCGAATCCTTCCTTTGCCCGACGTTTCCGCCACCTCATCCTTCCACCCATTTAGGCGAATCCTTCTTTCCCTTTTCTGCCACACCCATGCTACGACCAAAACATTCCGAGAACGGCTTCGTCCCGGATGTACTTCTCAACGATCAAAAATGAGATTCCATTTACTCTCAAAGAGGTTGAACAGTTGCTAAAAAGTCCGAAGTGTACTAACCGCGGTACAGTGTTTGGAATCTCCCCGCCACTCCTATCCACACTCCTATCCATTTCAATCCGTACAGATCAGCAAGCTCTCCTTTCTATTCCTATCCGGACTAATTAGTACTCCTCATCCTCGCTAGGGTACTAGATAGGAGAGGGCTAGGAGTACTCCTGAGGCTTGGTATTGTAGGTTTTAGTAGGTCTATATAGGTAGTCACTAGTTAGTAGTAAAACAGGGGGAAATTACGAAGTAGATAGAAATGTACGTCCTTGATCTACACCTACTATAGGGGCTAGCCGCCAGAGGGTTAGTATTTCTCGGGACATTCCAAGGTCGCGTACTTTAACGAACCTAGCGTACTTTAACGCAAACCTACCTGCGAATAACCTCATTTTTCTACCTTATTTTGGCCTCTCCTTCCTACTCCTCTCCCGACATCCAACCTCTCCTTCCTCCTCCTTTCTAGACAAGTAATTTATACTCCTCTCCTTCTCCTAGCTATATAGTACGGTTCTCCTACTCCTTTCCCAGGCTTAGGAAAGGAAAGGAGGGGAGATTCTGAACACTGCCGGTGTATTTAGTAAATAGTATTAATTCAGATTCAAGCTTTGTCCAAATCACAAAAGTGAATAAAAAGTAGTATTCGAGAATATTTACGAGTCAAAAGTGCCCCCTATATGAAGACCGTAAACAAAGTGAATTGAAGTACCCGGTCCGTAAACGAGGATTTAAAGCTAAGGAGAGAAGAAGGGAGTTCTAAGTACAAAGGCGGGTTATATACCCGGTGCCAAGGTGGCGAGTCATGTGACTCACCTGGTCTCGCCTAGCCGTGACGTTCTGGTCAGGGACGTTACACCCTACTTTTCTGGCCAAACAGACCCTAAAATGTTTTATTCTAGCTTAAGAAACTTTGAATATAGTCTATTATTGATGAAAATAGTATACAGTAGGAGAAATTATTATTAATATTTTATATTAAGTTAACGTAGTCCACAAGCGAGTTGGATTCCCAAGCGAAATGGATTTTTTTTCTTGGCACTCCACAAACTTATTCAGAGCGCGTTTTTTCTTAATAAACAAAATGGTTAAGCATTGGACAGAGTCTGATATGATTCTTGCGTTAAATACGCTTCGTACGAACCCACATTTAAAAGTTAAGAAGGTTGCGCGGATCTATAAAGTACCTTATACGACATTGCTTAATCGAACTCATGGAATATTATCACGACAAGATTCTATCGCTAAATCTCGAAAACTTACAGAGATTGAAGAAATAGTTATCGTACGACATATTCTCGACCTAGATTCTCGATCATTTCCCCCACGAGTACGTTGTGTTGAAGATATGGCGAATCGTATCCTCTCGGAGCGGGGTGCAGGACGCGTTGGCAAGAACTGGACTTCGAACTTCGTACGACGACAACCTGAACTTAAGACGCGTTTTAATCGAAGGATTGATTATCAAAGAGTCCAATGCGAAAATACAGACGCATATAACGCGTGGTTTCGCCTCGTACGAAATATAATTGACAAATATGGGATTCAGGAGGAGGATATTTATAACTTTGACGAGACTGGGTTTTGTATGGGCCAAATTACATCAGAAATGGTTGTTACAAGTACCGAAAGGCTTTCTCGGCCTCGTACAGTACAGCAAGGAAACCGGGAATGGGCAACAGTAATTCAAGGTGTTGGGTCGTACGGCTTTGTAGTGCCTCCATATATCATTTTGGCGGGGAAGAACCACCTCTCCTCCTGGTACGAAAACAGCCAATTACCACGCGACTGGGTAATTGCTGTAACTACAAATGGCTGGACAACAAATGAGCGAGCCCTAGATTGGATTTTTCATTTCGATCGGCATACAAAGCTTCGTACGAAGGGCATTCACCGGCTGCTTGTGCTTGATGGCCATGAAAGCCACCACTCAGTCGATTTTGAGCTTTTTTGTAAGAGTAATAACATTATTACTCTTTGCATGCCAGCTCATTCCTCTCATAGACTCCAGCCACTCGATGTAGGATGTTTTCGAGCGTTAAAAAGGTCGTACGGTGCTGAACTTGAGAAATTAATGCGACTCCACATTACATATGTTTCTAAGGAGGATTTCTTATCAACATTCTATACTGCCTTTCGTACGACAATGACTGAATCAAACATTCGAGGAGGATTTCGAGGATCTGGCTTAGTGCCGTACGACCCAGATTCTGTGATTTCACAGCTTGATATACGTCCAAGGACTCCGTCACGTCCATCTACCTCAACAAGCCTCCTAGCTATTTGGGAACCAAAGACCCCAAATAACATAACAGAGGCATATTCCCAGACTTCATATATACAAAACGAGGTCGTACGACACCAAGATAGTTCTCCGACCCAGATTCTATATGGCCTAGACCAGCTTGCAAAGGGTGCACAGCGTGCAATCACTGAGGTAGCTTTATTACGAGCTGAGAATGCTACACTTCGTACAGCAAATGATCAACTTAGTCGGCGTCGTCGTACGAAAAAGCGCCGATTACAGGAAGGAGGATCACTTACTCTCCAAGATGCGCAAGATTTAGGGGTCCTTAGTAATGTTGATTCGCAAGAACAAGTGGTTTTAGTAGAAAATAGTAATTGTACGAGCCCGAGTCTAGTATCTCGCCGGCGCTGTGGACTATGTGGGAAACATGGCCATAACATACGAACTTGTCAAAAAGGAGAAGAAATATGTGAGGATTCCGATTCTGAATACTGTAATATACTGTAATTAATTTAATTAATTGTGTCGTGAGATATTTAAGAATTTATAAAATGCCAAGAAAAAAATCCATTTCGCTTGGGAATCCAACTCGCTTGTGGACTACGCTATTTAAGAAATTATAAATCTAATATCCCTTTATTCTAGTTTCTTAGTTCTTTAATAGATACTAAAATCTCGCGAGTCTTCTTGGAAAACCTTATTATAGCTAAAACCCTAGTTGAACATAAGAGGGCTTACGAGGTTTAGAGTAGTAGAAGGAGCTCGACCAGCTAGTAGGTTCTTGGGCTCGGCTACTAGCTTGCTAGCTGGCGGGCTTGTTGGCTGGTCTTCTGGCTTAGCTACTGTCTGGCCTACTGGAGGGCTTCCTGAAGGGCTTTCTGGCGGACTTACTGGCTTAACTTTAGACGAGCTAAACCATGGCCACGAATATCATGGCTTCAGCTTTGCGTACCAAGGCTCCTGGCTGATTGGTGTGACTCCAAAATTATTATGCTTGTCAACATCCACCCATAGCCAGTTGCCTTTAACCTTTGCCGCGCTCTCCTCAGCTGCGATACGGTAATCAATGAGACCTGCGAACTTTTCCTTTGCCCATGCAGATGGTGAGTGTTCCATTGCCTCCTCTAAACCTTTGGGCTTACCGGTGGTGTAAGAGGGCGGGCGAGAGGAGCCTTTCTGACTGGGGCTGCTGGATGGGCTGCTGGATGGGTTGTTAAAAAGGCTGCTGGATGGGCCGCTGCTTTCTTCATTGATGCTGCTGCTTCCGAACCCGGTCGCGGTGTAGTAATTCTAAACAGGACCCTTTCAAGGTAATCAAGATCGCTTTGCTTTGGGATCTTCATTGGCTCTGGATCACGGCGGGCGTTGGGGGACTTTGTGTCGGGGACTGGGACCGTAGGGACTGCTGGCTGAAGCTTGGCCATAGGCACGGCAGCAACAACCTGCAAAGTGGAAAGGACTGCCGCAGCAGCAAGGACGTTTAGAAGCAACATGTCAAAAAGGCTTGTTGTAGGTGTAAATGATTCGGGAGCAGACCCACAATGTAGGAGGAAGTGAATACAGGATTAGAAAATGAATGTATTGTGGGACGTCCGACGTGTAATTAATTAAGACGAAGCGATTCCAAGCTCAAAAAGTGGGAGAAAGAAAGAGCGAAAGTAAGGAAGAAAAAGACAGAAGTAAGAAGACGAGGAGGTTGATGAATAGTTTGGAATTCGGAATTAGCGAAGATGACTTGAACTTTATACAAAGAACCTTCCTCTGGTCATTAGGTAGTTTTCAGTATCGTAAAAATCCGAGTAAATCACCTAGGTCTAGTCTAGGTGGTGGGCCGATGGCGTTATTGTTCTCTTTTTCATTGGACACGATTAATTGGCCAGAATCGTAAATTACCTTCCCTTTAACTTAGTCTAATCTCGAAAGTTCAATGCAGCTCTTTTCCACCTGTACTCCGTACAAATCTCAAGCTTTCGACGATTTACCACTAAGAAGCTCATGTTGAACACTGAAAGATTTTCCGGGCAAGTCCGGCGTCCGCAGAGTTTCATGGTTAGTAGCCCCACGCCCACGGTTTCGAGTGCTGTTTACGAAGTACTTCCTAGTCATTACATCTATAAAAAGAACCTTACCCCACAACGTAAAGCTTGACTCCACCATTTGAGGCTTAGCACTGTCACGTGAACCACATGTACCTCCGTACCAAACAGTCTATGTTGACCAAATTGAAGTTTCTGGTTAGCTAAATCTGTTAATATTCGGGGCCAGCCCATACGTACGTAATGTAAACCACGTTCAATTAAAGCTACCCTCAGTCTGACCGCCTTTGACAAGTCTTACCCGTAGGTAGCGTAGACTCCAGAGACATCTCCTTGGGAATTTAAATACAGAGAATACGAGGACCAAGGAGCACGCACTTAGCTGCCCAGCACGCGAGGGCCGATCCATATATCCTAACCCCCGTAAACTGAGCTTCAAAATGCTCCGCTTCTCCGGGAAAGGGTGCCCGGATCGTCGTTAGCATTACTATCCCCAGAAAGAAGTTGATTATGAAATGTAATCTGATTGTCTATTATACTAAGTGTCCCGAAGGACGTCTGTAAACTAGGTACTTACTTCGAATATATATACCTTCTAAGTCTAAGGTTTATACTCCTACTACTGACTTAAATACCACTACAGAATGGGGAGGAAGTTCTCACGTTAAAGTTTAATTTTGCTGGGGTTAGTTCGAGGTCCAGAGTCGAACTATATTCCGTTGGCATGGGTTTCTCTGGCAAGCTCGTCATTTAGTTACTGATTTGAATCAATATGTTTAATGTACAGCGTGCGAATTAGCCATGAAGTGTTGTAATTTGGAGACATAAATGATACACCATACAATCCGGTAGTAAACAATGAAATCACTTCATTCTAATGCTAGAACATCGGCCCCTAACTGCAAGTCCTTTTATATTACAAAAGTAAATGCAAAGCTACTGCAATTGAGTATTCGTAGAAAGCCTTTTCTCGAAAGGCATTGAGAAAAGCTGGGAGAGAAAAGAACAAGAACAAAAAAAAGAGGGTCTCCTTGCGGTAGCAAATCCATGCTCCCAACAATAAATTCTTCACTCAGCTATTGCCGTCCCAAAAACGGTAAATATTTAGTTATCATCTTCTTCAGGTTCATCTTCTTCTCCTGCCTCCTCGTTCTCGTCTAGACGAAGTGTTAGAAGGCGGCTGTTCAACGGTTTCATGGAAGAAGAAAAAATGAATTAGCTATGCGAGTATTACTTACATTGCTCTTCTTCAGGCGCATCAGGCTCTTCAGGAGTATTAGGCTCTACTGATGGAATCGGGGATTCAGTGACGACGCTGGTGACAGACGAAGCCACTTGTGATGGAATAGGCAGGACGCTAACATCGGAAGGTGCAGGGAAAGATTCGGGGACGGAAGTAGGCAAGCTGGTCGGATTGTAGACAGATGGGGGATTTTGGACAGTGGTTGGTCGAGGAGGCAATCCAACTGTAGTTGGCACCACAACTGAAATTGGGATAGTAGGGAAAGGATGAACAATATCAGTTGGATGATGGATTGGGCCTTTGTGGGTAGTTGGCTCTCCTTTCCACGAGTCGTCATCGTATTTAGTATTTGGGTGACTGGATTATGGATGTCAGCTCCTCAAATCTCTCCGATAGAAAGAACGAGGTGGAAGATTGATACTTACAATTTCCCATCATCGTAGCTAACTGCGGTAGGTTTGATGGGAAGCAATGGGTCGCGGATAACACTTGGTGTCATGATAGGATCGTAAACCAGAGTCGCGGAAGGAGAAGGTTTGCCGGAGAAGAAAGGAGGGCTGACCAGTGTTGCCGTTGGAAAAGACGTCTTATCGCCGAATGTTGGGAAAACTTCCAGATTGCTGGTTATTGGCTGGAAAGGCTTCGTTCCGGCTGGAAATGCGTCGACTACGCTCAAAAGAGTGATGGAAGCAATGAGGGCATTGCTGAGGTACATGTTGCGATTGGCGATCATTTTTCCTTTTGTTGGAGATATAAAGATGGGCTGAAAAGGAAGTTTTTCTGTAGTTTTGTAAAGAAAAAGAGAGTAATGAATGAGGTCTGGTGGATAATGGTTCGAAATACTAGTTGAAGCGACACTACGTCTGTATTATACTGCTAGGAAATTACAATGCTCACAATTGAGCTTTCCAAGTTTAGAGCACCAAAAATCCTTTTTTTCAAGGTTCAACTCCTCGAGGAATTGTTACTTGCCCCAATTTGAAGGCCGGAAGCTTTTTGAGGTCGAAACACCCTTAGGATACTGGAGCCTGAGATTACACAGTGGCGAAGTCGGAAGGATCTCACGTCACACAGCACTGAAAAGTATATCACGAGCTTTTTCGTGGCTCACTTGGGTAATTCTGGGGATTCCCCGGATGATCCTTTAGATCCTATCTGTAATCATTAGGGGCGACTTAACCGTTTTAAAACTCTGGTGGTTCACGTAATTGTGGAAAATACACTTGCGTTTATGAAGAATCGTTCTACTTAGCTACTATGAATAATTTTCTTGCAAGTTGAAATATGCAGGCTAACATAGACTCAATTGAACAGCGAAATCTTAAACATCGGTAGGCGCCTATTTTAGTCTTTGGAACAATGATATATCCATACAGTTTTGTGAGCGTAGAAACCTGAATCCATGCCTGTTTGGGGTTCAAAATATCTGATCAGCTGACTGCACCTCCTTGCTTACACAACCTCTGAGCTGATGCAGTAAGGATCTCGTATACTCCTCGCTTACGCGCATCGCACATATTACCTGCATTGCAATGTTGGATTTCATTTGCCGTAGTACCGGGTTCTTCGGAACTTGGGTGTGTTTCAGCCTTATAATACATGTTGATCAGTACGTTTACGGAACCGTACTCTAAATTTTCGTGTAGATTCATTTCTCTGATCTAATCCCACTGCAAGGCGAAGGATCCCACCAAAATCACCAGCATATTATTTTTACACTTGCTCGTTTCAAGGGTGCTTACCACCAATTTACCAATGATTGTTAATATGTTGGGAGATTAATGGTTGATGTGTTATGGCCGTTGTACCTTAAGCAGGCAGGACCTACCTTCGGCAAAAATCCATTTCGCAAGCAGTTTGCGGCGTTGGGAGTGCAGCAGCTTGGAAGCCCGCACAACCACTATCTCAGGTTGAGCAGATGTTTGTTCCAACCAACTGAAGAATTTGATTCTGGAACCTTGATTGGCTAGGATGAAAGAGAAAGACTCTTAAGCGAGCATAGAAGTAGGCCTGGGACAATGCTGAGAACTATAGTAAATAAACTTCATGAAGTACACCCCACATCAAAACTCCGCACAACCTAATATTCAAATAAGTAATACATGGTCTAGTTTAGTCACAGCAATGATAGAAAGATTCCCAATGAAGAAAGATTATTTCATGTATGCGTTATCCCTTGGGCTAGTCACAAAATTTATGCCTAACAGGGTTTTCTAGCACCTACAGTACATGATCCAGTGGACATCCCTCTTTCCAAATTTTTCTTCTTTGTTCTTTCCCTTAGTCAAAAGTTATGTCTCAATACTACTCAGGATATAGTATAGCGAAAAAGATAAGTTAATTCAAAGAGTGTAAAGCGAAATTTTAGGAGTATTCATAACCCTTGTTAAAGAATAACATCTAACATCAACCTTTACTTATACTTATTTCCATGAACGTTGTATCTATGTAGACATGGTACAACTAATTGAATAACAATGAGGTGACTCTGCGCCTTTCCGGAGGCAGGACCTCGCTGAGATCTCCAGCAGGGATTTTACACCATAGGACAGTGAATCCAAACTTCACGCTCCTGATTGGCAACGATTTCAGGTTACACAGTTGGCAGTCAGAAGCCAAGGTGGAATGGGCACGCGTACATAAAGAAGTCTGATAAAACTGGAATACCAGAGGTCAAACCTGCCGAAGTGGTGCGATGTATGTTGGGAGTCAGGTTGGTGATCCTCAGAAAGGTCATGATGACTGGAACCGAAGCAGATAGAACAAAAGAGCTTGGTGTTCCATCAAAGAAATACAGGTTGGCACAACGATCGAGATCTAAAATATATCAAAGGAGACAACATGAGGTTCAGTTGGCTTGCGTCGAGATAGTTTAAGTATGAGTTTGCTTTCAAACTGTACAAGGTGACACTCCCTTGAGAACAATATAAATCTCTCCCTGTCTCCGATAATTATCTACCAGGACGATGAGAATAGTTCCTCAATTCAAAAGTCAAGTTGGAAAAGTATCCAGCAACACCAGAAGTTGACGAGCGAATATGGTTAACAGAGATGATTTGCTTGCGGACGAGACAATCATCCGCGATTGTGTATACAGGGTAGTAAAGAACAGCGAAATCAAAGCAGATATATACCCTCCCTCAAACATCAAAACTAAAGATGGGAACCCAATTTTCCTTTTCATTCACGGCGGCGGGTTCATAAACAGCAACCGCAGAGATATCTGCGCACCATTCATCGACGAAGCGCGTAAGAAAGGATTTGTTATAGTGTCCATGGATTATCGACTTGCCCCAGAAACAAAACTTGATGGAGTGCTCGAGGACCTAGAGGCGATGGGGAAATGGTTGTTGGAGGAGCTTCCAAGTAAGTTACCTGATACTGTAATCGATACCAGTAAGATTGCTGTTGTAGGATCTTCTGCTGGTGCTGTGCTGGCTCTTTCTACTGTGAGTAGCAATGCAACATCTTTCTCTAACTTTGCATATCCCATAGTAACTACATGAAATAGCCGAAGCATTGGGAAGGCCATCAGCCATGCGCCATCGTGTCACTATATGGGCCGGCCGATCTGCGAAAAGTTCCGTTTTTGGGATTGACTCAAGCGACCCGATTACGGAAATTTTTCGATGACAATCTTAAGAAGAAGTCGCTTGAGGAGTATATAGCCCCTGAATCAAGAGTGTTTGAAGACGGAACAGACTTCGACAACCCGCCGTCTGATAGCGACGCGTTGGACGCGAAAATAAAAGCAAACAGACCTAAATTTTCAGCATGGGTTGTTAACCAGGGGGGTTCAGCTAAAGTTGCTATGGAGGGAATTTCGGGAGAGTCAGGACGATTCGATTTCCAGGTATCGAAAAAAATGACGCCAGAAGAAGACCAAAGATACTTGGAACTTAGTCAGTCGTTTTCTTGCGTCTTCTATACCATCAAAGTGTGGACTCAACTACTAATTATGTGTATAGGTCCAATCTATTTAGCAAAGAAGTACCAATTCCCTCCAATATATATCGTGAGATATAGAGATGACGACGTTTTCGAAACCCATCGATATGAAGCTTCGTGAGTGCCAATATGGGGAATGAGTTGATTTTCGTCCCATTGCTTTCGTGGGAGGGATATCAGTGGCAGGCGAGGGGTTTTCTGGGGCGACCAGGAGGTGCGGTTTATGAAGCCCATTGGTATATTGGAGTTTATGGAAAGTTTTTCGGTTTTTGTGTAGAGCAGAATGGTTTGGTTCACCTTTTCTGGAACTTGCAGGGTTTTCTCGTTGGAAGCTATACTGACGGCCGAAGATAGGTCGAAAGATGACGAATAATCGAAAATGACGGATGAGTCAACCATATTTTCAATTTGCTTCTTGATGAGCAGAGGGGATGTCTGATTCGGGCACAACGCGAAATTAGGAAACCGAAAATTTCTAGATACGATGTAAGTTATGCCACGAACGAGGAAGAGATTGAAACATACTCAGTATCCATGTTGATGAACAGCTCTGTACCAAGATGATCAGTACTTTTTTTGGGCTCGAAGATGATGTCCACCCTCTCCCCAGGATAAAGTATCCCAATTGAACTGCTTGGTTGACCATCAATTCTATAACCTCCGTCCAATGTTAGGGGATTCAGGGTTCCAGACGAAATTCCAAGGGACAGTCCGGCGAGAGAGCTCAAAATCATTAGCCAGTGTATCAACTGAGACTGCGGAAGTCCTACCAAGTATTGACAACACGTAAGCGGGTTGAAGAGTGCTCTCTAAGAATGCTTAGCATTTCGGTTGCCTTTGTCTGTCGGCAGTCAACTGGTCTTGCTGGAACTGCCATCGAACATTGGAAACGGCCCGCTCCATTTATCAACAGCGAGTCTGGAACAGGCTGCAAAAGATAATAAGCTCGGTGTGAACCTTTCAACTACCGTGGGTAACCTACCTTGTTCCCAAATCCACGGGAGCTCATGTACCAGCTAAGAACCTCCTCCGCAGGCCGATGATACCAATCTCCAACCATAAGAAGCATATCTTGGTCATAATCGAGCTCGTCTACATCGACTATTTTCTCAGAGGGTTTGTGAACAACTAAGCCTCCATACATGCCATCGCCCCTCTGAACTTGAGAATGCGCATGCCACCAAAACGTTCCGGATTGGTTTTCTTCAACTTTAAAATCGTAAGTAAAAGTTGTCCCTTCAGGAATTGGACACTGGGTAATTCCTGCTGCACCATCCATAGAATTTGCATTGCGCATATGCAAACCGTGCCAATGCACGGAGAGTGATTCCGCATTCAATTTATTGGTAACGTGAACAATCAATCGATCCCCAGATCGACACTCAATTGTCGGTCCTGGAAACTGTTCATTCACAAGATAGACTTTCTTCTTGACGCCATCTGGAGAGCGATAGTCAGAAGAAATAGTCCAGCGGTAGGTAATGGTCCTCGCGGGTCTATTCTCGTGGTCTTCAGGGTGTAATTTTATTCCTAGAATTGGCTTGTGGTCTTCATGCTCGATGTCGAAAATGCCCCAAGATCCATGTTTAGCAGTTGAGTATGTGACACTTGAATCGGAAAGCCTTTGGATTGATGAGAAACCCAAGAAGAGGAGTAAAAAGACGGTGAAAAGGACACTGATTATCGGGAGCTTCGCACTGAGATCACGCTTTGTGCCAGTCTCTTCCTCCTCTTGTGATTCGGTACCGGTGAAGAAGTTTGCTGAAGATTCTGGCTCAATTCCGTCTGTATCTTTATCTTGCCTTCCTATCATCCTTGTGGTTTGCATGATCCCTGTCTTCTGTGGCAGACTGTTTCATGATGCCAAGCACATGTTTATTTCAACCTCCATCTCAAATTCCCAACAATACTGTGACAGACGTGCTTCAGGTAGAACTCAGAACAATTAACACTCTATTCTTAGGACAAAAGACGAGGAAAGAAGGAGAGCTCGAGAGAGCTGGGAACTAAATACAGGTCGTGCGCGCTAGCGCCTCGCTAAGCGAGCATGTGACATCCAGCCCTCGTGACCATAACCGTCACAATACGAATAAGCTATATATAGATTATTTTTATAAGAGGTTAGAATATTCGTAGAACCCTTAGCTCTTTATATAAGCGTCTACGTAGATTCGCTACTTTAAAGGGGTAGTTTAGACTATAGATTTAGTATACGAGGCCTAGTTATAGAAGCTTAGAATTTAAATACTTTATAAGCTCCTTATAAAACGCTCTTTAATTCTTTAAACTTATAGTAAGGATATAAAATATACTCTTTTCTATTATTGATTATAAATAAAAAGAATATATTTTTAGTATCTTTTTATACTATTATAAGAACTCTATCTCTTTTAGCTTATAGAAGTAGTTCGTTCTTTTTAAGTCTTAAAGGTTTTACTATCTATATAGTTATTAATCGTCCCTAGGTTTTATTATCTTTATATACTAGATCTTACTCTAAGAATTAATACTTAATATAGTATTCTTTAATAGTTCTTACTACTCTAATTCTAAGCTCTTAAAGAGTATAAAATAGGTTATACATTAAGAAATAATTATTAAAATATATATTAAATATATAACTTAAGTATAATATAGAAGAGTCTTTATAATAGAAAGAACCGCGAAAGCTATCTAAGATAAATCTAGAATTTTATTAACTTTAGCTAACTTATACCTAAAATAATTAGTACTATTACTATAATAAAGTATAATAGATTGTAAACTATAGACCTTCTAAATAAAGTTAAATCTTTACTTAATAATAAACCTACTATTACTTAAAGCTAGTAGCTAGAAACTAACTAGAATTAGCTTTCTCTTTTTCTTTTTCTTATATAAGCTCTTTTTTATAAATTATATTATCTACTTATTATAAGATGAATTCTCTAAAGGTATAAGAACTTAATAAAATATCTTACGAAAGTATTTAAGAAAAGGAGATAATTTAAGGTACTATTTAGCCTTTCTATCCGCCTTATAAATAGGATCCTAGGTTTAGTTAGAGACTTTAAAAAAGCGCTTAATTTATATGAACTAAAAGTAGCTTATTTATTATATTAGTTTATATCGAATTAGATATTACTAGAGGTTCTTAATTCTTTAAGTTCCTTCTAAACTATAGTAGATTAATATTACTAGAAATATCTTAATATTATTTATAGTATAGGGCCCCTCCAACTCCGTAACAGGTTAGAGGTAAGTGTCACGGATGCCAACAAAGGATAAAGTGTATACAGCTTTTGAATCAATTGCTAGAACTAAAACCGTAGGTACGAAGAAATCAAACTAAAGAGAGAAGAGAATCTGAAAGGAGCGAAGTTATTTAAGTTGTTCCAATGCCAAGTCTCGTCACGTGCTTGGCCAAGCGAATGAAATCCTGTCAAATGAAATCCAGCTCCGTCACAGTAAGTTAATATCTACTAAGGCTAGTAGGCGGAGTCTTTATTTATAAGAGCTATAAAAATCCTAGGTAAGTAGAATAAACCCCTCTTATATATTAGCTTCTTATAGGATCTTCTTATACTTCTTATAAAGTTAAAGTTATTAAATAAAGTCTAGCCCTACTCTAAGGTTCTGTGACGACACGTACGAGATGTTGCTCAGAGAGTGTCCAAGGTGTAGGTTATGGAATCGTAGAACTGTCTATTCGAAGATTCTAAGCTAAAGAGAGAAGAGAAGAAAGGACAGAAGTCCAGGAGCTGGAGGCTCTTATATACAGGAGGGGTACCAAGGGTTATAGCTAACCGAGCCGGGCTCGGGAAGCACGGCGGCCGACGGGTGCCAGCCAGGGGCTGGTTTGAGGCATGGTGGCGGTGAGAACCGTCACAGGTTCTTACTATAGATATATTTCTTATTTATAAAAGAGTTAAAGAAAAGGTTATTTATAAGTAATAGGTCTAGTATACTATCTAGTAGTTAAAAGGATAAGAGAATAAAGAAGAGGATAAAGGGAATAATTTAGTAAGAGAAAGAGAGAGAAATAAAGTAATTAAGTAAAGACCTACTTATTATTATTATTACTATAGTAATAGTAGTAGTATTAAAGGAGTAGTATTTAAAACGCTTATAAATAGAACTAACTATTTCGTATTAGGTAGAGTAGTATTATTTATAACTTTTATAAAATAAATATTCTTTTGTTTTTTATAAAGAAATTATAAATAGTAAGATCCTACTAAAATATATACCTAAATAGCCTATTAGTATTATAATAATAAGTCTTATAAGGCTTAATTTAGTAAATTTTATGTAACGTTAGTAAATCTTAGTATAAATATACGTGTTTTACTCGGCCTGGTATATACTAGGTGTATACGTCCTCGGCGAACCTCCGACAACCTCCGTACCGTCCAGGGGATACTCATTTCTATACACACAATATCTTAGTGAGCATTGGCACAGCTGGTGGGTTTGGAGGTAACTTATAGGGAAGATGTTGTTCCATACATTTATTAGCGTATTAAAGAAAGAACTTAACGACTCGACTTACTTTGAGAAGCGTCACTTAGGTTAGAGTTGTAGATGTTACGACGAAGTACTACTCGAAAAGTAGCGAATTCAGTAGAGTGGGTGATAATCCTCTACTTAACTACTTGAGTTTAACACGCTATATACATATAAAGTCACGAGAACAATCTTTTGGTAATTACCAATCTATCCCTCCGAGTATAAGTACACCCCTCTACCACTGCAGGAAGACACTTCGATATTGAGGGACTGAAGGTCATTAGTCTTCTCTCTGATCAGGTTTCAGCGCAGCTGAGAAACAATTTGAGTTAGTATCAACCAGGACCCCAAATCCACATCGTAGTCAAAGGCGAGGGAACCAGGCTCACTAATCCTACGCTACTATTACCAACAATCATCCGAACGTTCTACATGCGTTTGGGAATTTGCTGTCGATTTTTGACACCAACATCCAGATTTTGACACGAGCGTTTAGATAAGATATGAGCTTGTGAGAGTATTTCAGGTCTCTAGCTGGATCATACAATTTGAGCAGAAAGGTGGGGCAGCGGATGGTACTTCCTATCAGGCCTCAAACCACACCAAGGACCCCGTTGGGGTGCCTTGTTTTGTCCAGGTTGAAGTATGATCGCATATTGAGTCAAAGGGAAGATATTTTATAGAGTCCATGTCAGGCGTTTGAATTTTCCATTACGCGGTCTGTGTTAGAGTTAGTTAGTTAAACGATTAGAGTGGGTATACCAAAACTCGGAATCATCCGATATAGAAGGCTTCGAAGCTTGGCTACTCGTTGAGGTTTGTGGTAGAACGGTACTTTCATGATATCCAAGTAATATTGTTGTGGATGTGATACTCTTGGCTTTCAGTCGGGTCGTGTATTTGCTTTCCTGCTGATGGAGAGCGCCACAAGTAATCCTTTATGGCTTGAAAGGGATAAGCAAAAGATCAGTTCGTCAGTGTTATGGGCTTGGATCATGTTCTTTCATGCGTAGGTAGAGTCTGTATTGAACTTCAAGAGGTACGTTTGTATGTTCAGGGTAGCCCTGCATTATTGACTACGGGAAAGTGTCTTCATAGAATGGAGGGAGGAAAAGAGGGAGGGAAGGGGATTTATACTCCTCCTCGACGGGTGTTTGAACCTTCCCTCTCACTCTGATTGTGGTACTAGCGTGGGTTCGAGGCCGACTTTTGTGGGAAGGGACAACCTGAACCTCAACATCAGCCTTTCGGCTCCAGTTTTCTTTGGTTGAATCGGGGATGTGATCAAGGTAAGGAACGACCTGACAATCGCCTTGTGGGGAAACAGATTTCTCTTCCACCTGCAGCTTCCGAGTTAAACATGGAGTACATAGGGAAGGAGCGAGTGAAGTTCCATATTTCGGGGCGTCAAATTGAGGTACGGAATTATTGGAGTGCAGACCATTGAGCCTCTAAGCATCTGAGCTTCCCACGTACCACACCTCTCACCTAGAAAATTCTGGTATCGGATGAGCTCTAGGTAAAGGGCCTAATTCAGAGTACGCCAATCCATACAAATCACACCAATTCCCACTACGTACAGCCCTCGATTTCAATCCTTTTAATCTTGCCGTCCCCTCACTTGCCCTCAGCAGCCAACTCCTTCTCCGCTTGTTGATAGTACTTTGCTGTGTCAACACCATGTTGATCGTGGTTCACAAAGTTGAACCAAGGAATGACGTGCAAGAAAATTCCCGTATATCTTGAGTTTCTGCTTGCGACTCCTTGCATGTATGGAGTGAGGCTTGATGTGCCATAGAGGGGCTCGCCGGCTTTAACTTTGGAAACCATTTCTCGCATGTCCATATCGACTTCTCTTTTGTTCTCTGTCCAGCCATAGAATCGCACTGGAGAAAGTTAGCTTGTGCCTCTGGTTGGATCTTTAGGTGCCCAGGGAGAGTGAAATCGTTGCTAAAAAGAGGGGTTCGAGTAGTTGTGTACGCACATATAGACCTCTGGTACATCAGCAAGAACCCGGCACTAGCTCCGATCACACCTGTCAATCGCATGATTGGCGCGAATCCTCCTCTGCCCACCAAGGATGGTGATACTTTCTCCATCACCAGCATAGCTGCTGGCCCCGCCGCCGCGGCCGCAGCTCCTACAGCATAATCCGAAGTTCGCGCATATTTGAGAACTCTTTTGATATGTCTGAGCCCTAATTAGTAATGTTCTTCCATCGGTCATTCGTGTTCGTAGAGGGGAGCTTACGGGTCACTGTCGATGAGCTATGAAGGGATTAGCTTTTGCGCATCACAACTGGCGATGGATCAAGCAGGAAACTTACAGGAAAATCGGCTTGAACCTTCTTGGTTGGTACATAAGGCTTCTGATCGGTGTTGGACATCCTGACAACCCAATTGCTGGGGCAATTGCTTTTAGATGCTGTTTTGGAGTTTCGATTTCCTCAGATGTCGTTGCTGACCATCTCAAGGCTTGGCGCAATGATACGGTGACCGAAATCAGCCGAAGATGCAAGACCATCCAGTCGCGTCTTCTTGGATTTTCGACGCGAAGTCGTGTAGAGGGGAATTACACGGGACACCAGACACAACAATTGAACAACTTTCGGTGTGGACCAGTTGACTGAACGATTATAAAATTGCAAACCCTTCTCAGTACAGCGTTCAACTACAAGAATGGCTTCCCCAAGACCAGTTCCGACGGACGACCTAGATGATCTGTTTGATTATGATGGCGGCGCCGACGATCCATTTAGCCCAAATTATGTGAGCGAAGTGGCTAGGAAAGCAAAAGAAGACAATGCCGCCAAAGAAAAGAGCTCTGCTGCTGGACTGGGTATTGATGAGGAAATTGAAGTGACAAGGAAACCAAGAGCTCCGCGAGTCAAACTCGACGAGCATAGATTACTTTCTGCAGCTGGCATACCAAAGTTACGGAAGAAGGCGAAGAACCATCTGAAATTTAAGGGAAAGGGTCATGAGGTAAGATTGTTCTCGTTTAACAATTGAGCCATACTAATTTTGGTGATTAGTTCTCTGATGCTACGAGACTTCTTCAATTCTACCAATTATGGCTCGATGACCTATTTCCCAAAGCCAGATTCCTCGACGCCTTAGCCATGGTGGAAAAGATGGGACACAAGAAAATGATGCAGTCAGCGCGAGTGGACTGGATTAATGAAGGAAAACCAAGGTCGTCAGTACATGAAGATTCCATATTCGATGAACCAGAATTGCCTGCGGGAGAGAAGGACGTTGGAGAAAAGACACCACAAAGAATTGCGCCGATATTTGAAAAGACTTTGACGGAGAGACCCAAAACACCTTCCGGATCAAATCTCGATGATTTATTCGACGATGATGATCTATACGATGCTACCCCCAAGGCAGCCCAAGCAAAACCGACAGATTCAGGTAATCAATCAACTACAGCTGAGGGTCCAACGAGTATCTTTGGTTCCAGAAAGGGGACTGCTCCAGATGATGAGGTCCCGGATGACGACTTGGATGCTTTGTTGGCCGAAGAGGAAATCATGCAGAACAGTAAACCTGCAGCTCCTGTGGCGAGACCTGCGGAGCCAGACTTTGCTGATGAGATGGAGATAATGGATGAAATGGGGTGGTAATGAATTATACGGGTTAAATGAGAATTTGGCGTTCAATTGTGCTTAGGTACGGTGCATTGTAACATGGCGTTGGGAACATTTTGAGGCAACTTGTGCTCTCTGAACATACTATAGGAGTCCCCAGTAATTGGGATATGAATAATGAATAATGAATTAACATAGCGAAGCAACTATGGCTGAATTATCGTAGAGTGAAGAGTGATACTTATATTGTTGGAGCTATGCAGGCACTCGGGTAAATATTTGTTCAACACCCCGCGCTCTGAACCTTGAAGCTACCCGTCATTCTGACCCCACCATCCCAGCCCAGCCTTACAGTACCAGACTTTCAATGTCCACGGTCGGAGTGCACACCACGATGGCAGACTCTCTCATAGAGGCCCTTGAGAAAGTAAACATTGAGGCCAGTAATGCTGATGGGACAGCAGACGACTGGATTGACAGCATTCTCGACTCTCAGCGGCCACGCAAACGGGTAAAGCAAGACCAAAATGAGCTCAAGCGCTCTCTAGAAGAGAAATACCTGACCCCATCGGCATCATTCTCCACAGAATGTCTCAACAAACTTCAGCAGTGAGTATTTATTTTAGCTAGAAGGTCTATAGAGCTAATAATGTCTTTCCCAGACGATGGGAGGAGCCTACAGACTTTACAACCCTCTTTAAAATTGCGCCCACCCAGACACGAACTATCACCCGATTTACTCGCGAAGGGCTCGAAGGACGTGTCACCGGCTACAAGGAGGTTACAGTTCCTGCCAATAGTGCCACTGCGAAAAACTCTACATCTTTCCTACGAAAGCCCGCAAATAAGGCGGACATGGTGCGGGGGGCGGCTGGATTCTTTCCTTTTGCCCCCGGCGGACTTGAAAGCGTGGAAGCTGCGGTGGCTTTAGATGAACAAGCCATGAGAGCAGAGGGTTCCATCGACAATAATGCTGGAAAGAGCAAGCTAGAGAGAGTGATCAATTTCAGTGGCGAAGGTGGACTCTTGAGCGTTCCACCAGGATTCAGTCGGGGTCTGGATTTCAGTAACGCAAAGAAGAATGAAGCAGATGTCAAAGAAGCAGAGGAGATTGAGAATGTGCTTGAGGAAGAACCAGATGAAAAATTGCCCCAGGACGCGAATGCGAATGGAGCAACAACTGGTTCTGATGATTCTGATGATATCTCGGAATCTGAGGAAGACGACATCGATTCTCTATTGCCGGTCGAATTTCCAGCCCTGGAACCCCACGGTGTTTTGGTGGCCTCGAGTGCTAAACGGGGAGGAAAACAATGGGCACATATGGTGGACATCAAGCGTGGAATTGACAATTTCCATGAACTTGTACCAGACATGGCAAGAGAATGGCCTTTTGAGCTTGATACTTTCCAAAAAGAAGCCGTTTATCATTTGGAAAATGGTGATTCAGTCTTCGTAGCCGCGCACACTTCCGCCGGAAAGACTGTCGTTGCAGAGTACGCCATAGCTTTAGCAGCAAAGCATATGACCAAGGCCATTTACACATCACCTATCAAAGCTTTGAGTAATCAAAAGTTTCGGGACTTCCGACAGGTTTTCGACGAAGTTGGAATTCTGACTGGAGATGTTCAAATTTCTCCGGAAGCAAGTTGCCTGATTATGACGACAGAGATTTTACGAAGTATGCTTTACAGAGGAGCTGATATAATTCGAGATGTTGAGTTTGTTATATTTGATGAAGTTCATTATGTCAACGATCTGGAGCGAGGAGTTGTTTGGGAAGAAGTCATCATCATGTTGCCAGAGCATGTTACATTAATTCTGCTATCTGCTACAGTTCCGAACACTTACGAATTTGCTTCATGGGTCGGGCGTACTAAAAGAAAGGATATTTATGTCATTTCCACTCCAAAGAGACCTGTACCTTTAGAGCATTACATTTGGGCTGATAAAGGGATACACAAGATTGTGGACGCAAATAAAAAGTTTATTGAGAAAGGATGGAAAGATGCGAACGATGCCTTATCAGGAAGAAAGAAGGAGAAATCACCGCCTGTCAATGATAACTCGAGAGGTGGTGGAAATAATGGAAGAGGAAATGGAGGGGGACGAGGAGGGAGAGGTCAGAACCAAAGTGGAGGGCCACAGAGAGGAGGCGGTGGTGGCCGAGGTGGTCCTCAACAGAGAGGACGTGGAGGACCCCCAAGAGCAAGTCATAACCCTGGCCATATGGGCAGAGGTGGCCGACCTGGTGGTAGAACCTCTGCTGCTCAGGATAAGACGCTTTGGGTTCACCTTGTTCAGTTCTTGAAGAAGGAAAGCCTGTTACCTGCATGTATTTTCGTTTTTTCAAAAAAACGCTGCGAGGAGAACGCGGATGCTCTCAGCAATCAGGATTTCTGTACCGCAACGGAGAAGAGTGCCATTCATATGATCATCGAAAAGTCGATTGCAAGGCTGAAGCCGGAAGATAGAGTGCTGCCCCAAATAGTACGACTCCGAGATTTGCTGGGCCGTGGAATTGCAGTTCATCATGGTGGTATGCTTCCAATAGTGAAGGAGGTTGTAGAAATGCTTTTTGCCCAAACTCTGGTCAAAGTCCTTTTTGCGACGGAAACCTTTGCGATGGGGCTGAACTTGCCAACTAGAACAGTTGTCTTTTCCGGCTACCGAAAGCACGATGGTCACTCTTTCCGGAATCTTCTACCTGGAGAATATACTCAAATGGCCGGTAGAGCTGGTCGTCGAGGTTTGGATACGGTAGGTTCAGTTATCATTGTTGCGCCTGGCGGCGGAGAAGCACCGCCAGTAACGGAGCTTCGTCAAATGATCTTGGGAGAGCCATCTAAGCTTCGATCTCAATTTAGATTGACTTACAACATGATACTGAATCTGCTTCGTGTGGAAGCTTTGAAGATTGAAGAGATGATCAAGCGAAGTTTCAGTGAGCATGCTACTCAGCAACTTCTACCCGAGCACGAAAAATCCATCAAAGTTTCTGAGGCAGACCTGGCAAAACTTAAGCGAGATAGTTGTGATATCTGTGACAAAGATATGGAGATATGTCACCAAGCTGCTCAAGATTACCGGCAACTATCTACTGACTTCTATCTTGGTTTATTGGCTACTCCGGTCGGACGTCGAATGTTTTGCCCGAGACGACTCATAGTATACAATCGTGAAGGCATACGAACCCCTGGAATTCTCCTCCGAGATGGAACCACAGATGGCACTGCGTCTACGGTTCATGTGCTGGAGATCAGAACTCAAAGAGACGCCAGAGATTCAACAGACATTCTTCCCTTCCTGCCTAAGTTTCGTAAAAGTTTAACAAAGCTCCCCCAGGCCAAGAAGCACATTTCGACCAAGACATATCAAATACCTGTTGCCGATATCGAATGTCTAACTCATACTGTCCTCAAGGGTGTTATTCCAGACATGTTTCATGGGGGTGAGGGCTATCAAAAAGCCAAGGACCAATTGCACCGTATATGCTCATCATGGGAGCGCGACCAATGGAACGAATTGGACACGGACAAAATCAAGAATTTGGCCCTCCGAGATATTCTAGCCAAACGCTGGGAACAGTCGGGGATTGCTCAAAAAGCCAAATGCTTGGAGTGCCCGCAATTCATCAAGCATGTGAGTAATATATCTTTGCTGGACTGAACCATTGCTAATGACTTTTAGTTTGCCATGTGTCACGACCAATGGCTCATCACAGAGAATATCACGCAGTTGAGGCAGCTTATGTCTGATCAAAATCTTCAGCTTCTCCCGGATTATGAACAACGACTTCAAGTATTACGAGATCTTAGTTTCATCGACGAAGGATCAAGGGTTGAACTGAAGGGCAAAGTCGCATGCGAAATACACTCTGCTGACGAACTTGTTCTTACCGAGTTGATTCTCGACAACGTCCTGGCAGCCTACGAACCAGCCGAAATCGTAGCCCTGCTTTCCGCTTTTGTCTTCCAAGAGAAAACTGATACCGTACCCAATTTGACCAGCAATCTTGAAAAGGGGATGAAAACCATCATCGAGATCTCTGAGAAGGTCAATGAGCGACAAACCTACCATCAAGTCATCCTATCTTCCGACGACTTGAACGATTTCGTCTCTCGGCCTAGGTTCGGCTTGATGGAGGTTGTCTATGAATGGGCTCGTGGCATGAGCTTCAAGAACATTACCGACCTGACGGATGTGCTTGAAGGGACGATTGTCAGAGTCATCACCAGACTTGATGAGACGTGTAGGGAGGTTAAGAACGCGGCGCGAATTGTTGGCGATCCGGCGTTGTTTACTAAGATGCAGACTTGTCAGGAGATGATCAAGAGGGATATCACGGCTGTGGCGAGTTTGTATATGTAGAGATTGTGTATGTACTGTACGTAGGTAGGATAGTGAGAAGTCTTGGCTGGTAGGCAAAAGATATGATAACGTTGTGTTGATATGTTACTTAATTTACTTTTCGTTTTCGATACCTTCTCTTGTGGTCTTCGTACCCCTGGTTGATGATAGTAGAGGGATGATGATGGGTATAGTGTTAATTGTTGCTTTACTGTTCTAGCCGGTCCTGAAGGATGTCTGTAAACTGCTTGATCCTGGTACATATATACCTTCCAAAATGTGTTCCACACCCCCACTAGTGGTGCATACAGTACTGTAGTACAAACAGAATTAAGCATCAAGCAGAGCCTCTACCCGGCTTGGCCAGCAGGCCTTGTGCAGTACAGTAATTCTGCGGTTGGCATCTCATCAAAGCCCATCAGAGTTGGATGATCGACGTTCCACTAGTACGGCTCGTGTGTTCCCGCTTACACAGACATTGAGGCACTGAAACGAAACGTCCATCAGAATCGTCAAGCCTATCGCAACTTCATATCACCCTCGACGCACAGACTAGCCAACCCCACACACAAGCATGCGGCTCCCCGTGTGTCCTTTAAGCTTAATTCAGCCTCTGGGTTGTTCCCCTTTCCTCCTTCAACTTCTACCGAGTTAGATAATGTGCCCTCAATCTCACCGTCGGAAATTTCGGCATGCTCTCTGCTCTGGAACTGGTGTTTTATTAATCGTCAATTTCGAGAGGTGAGTATCAAACAACAGAGATCTTATCCAGAAGAATCATACAGCTCGAACGGTCTACTGTACTTACTGAACCGACGTGCTACCAGGTTATTTTAAGACATTGAGTGCTGGGACCGTTCCCTGGTTCGTTCAATAATTTTGGACTAAGCGAAACCCACAGTTCTCTGATGTGACAGCCACTGCAACCGGAAATGGACTCTCTGCTGCCGGCCTAGTGTTCTGATGCGACAACTTGTGTATTGCCTGGGCGAACAGGCGGACCAAAATATCACACAACAGGGGGAAATCCTCTGAGAAATTTGGTTGTTTACTGGTTTTTCCCGTTTCTGGAAAAGCAAGACGTTCCTTTTGAGACCTTTGGCTCGTCATCGGAGTTCTGTATTTGGTTGGTTGGTTGGTTGAGCTAGGCATTATGGAGATTATCGACCGGGTCTGGAGGTCTCTCGGTTATAATGTTTGCATGAACAACTTTTGTGGATGGGAAAATGCATTTTTGGTTGTAGATGGGGCTATTCTGGTTCAAGTCTCGACGTGCTATAAATCCCCGAGTCCTCTACATTTCTCCCTTTTCCTCTTTTCTTGCTCCTCGTTCACATATTTCTCTCACACTACTGTGTTCTTAGCAGGTCTTCTCTTCGCAACATATCTTTTTGAACCAAGTCTTCTCTTCGCAACAAGTCTTCTCTTCGCAACAAGTCTTCTCTTCGCAACAAGTCTTCTCTTCGCAACAAGTCTTCTCTTCGCAACACATCTCTTTGAAACAAGTCTTTCCAAAGTTCATCAATCGCAAGCACCAATATGCGTACCAAATCCACTCTCTTATTTGCGCTGGCCGCACTCTCCGCTACCGTCCTTGCCAGCCCCATCCATACCTCCAAGCTTGAGATCGCCACCACTGAACCTCTTGTCAATAGACAAGTCTCTGTTTCCGACGAGGAGCTTGCCGAGATTATGGCTGCGAATGAGGCGAACCATGACGGAGAGGCATATGACAAGCGACAAGTCTCTGTTTCTGATGAGGAGCTTGCTGAAATTATGGCTCTGAATGAGGCGAATCATGATGGAGAGGCATATGACAAGCGACAAGTCTCTGTTTCTGATGAGGAGCTTGCTGAGATTATGGCTCTGAATGAGGCGAATCATGATGGAGAGGCATATGACAAGAGACAAGTCTCTGTTTCCGACGAGGAGCTTGCCGAGATTATGGCTCTGAATGAGGCAAACCACGACGGAGAGGCTGAAGATTAGATTATTCCTCTGAGGATTAGGGGCTTCGCGGAGCAAGGACGAAAGGGGCTTGGATGGCTGAGGGACTTTTGTATATACATGAAAAAAAGGAGGTTCTGATTGGCGGTTGTGTGGGGTTGGTACGGATTTGCGGTCTACAGTAGGAATCACATTTCTTAAGAGGGTTGGAATAATGATTGGAGAGGGAGGGGGTTTCTTCATACATTCCTTTGCTACATTTTACTTTTAGGACTGTACCCTTTATACTTTCTCTCTTTGGAAGGAGGACGTGGTTCTTTATATTCGTATTAATCAAAATTAAATTTATTCATTCTTTTAGATTGTTCTGTTGTAGGTTTTGTGTCTGTGTTGTTCTCTATAAATAAAACTTGTGTCATTTGGAAAGCGCAGTAGAAGAGGACTCGGTTATCGTTGCTCATGAAGGGAATTACTTCGAGATTTTGTTCTTTTATATTTCTCAAAGCCCTCACTCAGTCTTGACCCCTTTCATGGGAATGTCAACTAAATGACGAATATGTAATTTCGATCTCGTTTTACATCACCTGACCCCTTCGGTTTTGGGTCGGAGGCCTCTCTTGAAACACTATATTCAGCTTCCAGCCTTGAATAGACAAGAAAATCTATGAGAACCTTCGTAATTGATTTTTTCTCTCTTTCTCACGACTTACTGAGACTTTTACTTAGCACTTTAAGCAAGGCCATTTTATGAACAACGTGATACTGACTTACACCTCCCCCCTTTACTAGCAGAGGAAGATGCTTTACTGATCCCAGATAAGGACTTAAATGGAGTATAATCCCCTATGTATCTTTTTGAAAAAAGGTATCTACAAGAACGACCTCAATCGATCTCCGTATGACTGTGCTTTCTGCTGTGCTCTCATAAGAAAATCCCACATCTGGAATTTTGGCCCCCAACGTAGAATTCATGTCCACTTATAGAACATCTGAAGGTTCTCAGACTCTTTCAAAGAAAGTGCCACCTTCTCACTCAATGTCTGACTCAACTGAATGATGTGTAGTTTCGATGCCACCGGTGCTTTCCGCTCCTCGACCCTAGAAATAATCATCATCATCTGAATCGTCGGAGTTGATTTCATCCTCAATCAAAATTAGCATTGACTTATTTAATCTAGGTCACTATATGTCGCCCTACATCTGAGCTCGCTTCTGTAGGTTCACGAGATTCAGGCTCTTCATAATCAAAGAGGCCCTGGCCCGTTGCCCTTCTTCTCACACTATGCCGAACCTCAAACTTTTCGGATCCGATCGCGTATCCGATAAATTTGTAGCTTAATCTTTTCTCTGCAAACTCCTCCATCCTCTCCTTCTCCATTTTTCTCCTTAGATCTCTGAGTTGAGACATCTCTACACTTACTACTCTAATATCCTGACGGTGGTATTCCTTCCAGTTGGTGCTAAGTTCAATCGTAGTGAGCTCATTATTCTCTCAATCTGCGGCATCACCATCGTCTGGGAGATCATAAACGTTGTAGACTTCAGGAGAGATACCTGCGTTTCCCGGCATGTCATAAGCAGGAGTGTCCCACATTGGACACTGGTTATATTTGTAGCTTGAGTTGTCCCAATATGATTGAAGACACCGCTGATGGAACGTGTGTTTGGCTCGCATTTGAGACCGGCGAGAAGCTCCTCAGCTTGGAAGGGTTTGTTGCAAAGCTTACATTCTCCATTGACGTGGTGCAGTTCGATAGGGTGAACCGGAAAGAGTCCAGCAAATATATTCTCTTTACGTGAAGGGCTATTAACGTCGATACCGGGTTGATCAATTCTGGCGAGATGACGAATCCGTCGGTGAAACTCTTCGATTAGATCCCGGTAGTATTGCCTATCCCCACCGCCCCTAGTATCAAATGTATAGAAGAGTTGAGCAATGGGTTTTTTCCCGCTCCAGTCTCGCAGGAGAAGGTTGTTTCTTCTTAATAAGTTCACCTCTTCGGTTCTTTGCAGCCTCCTTACAAATAAGGGCTCGGTTTTTATGTCCTTTAACGTATATGCAAGGTCGGGCCACCAGTAATCATATCCTTGTCCATAACCATATACCTCTCTATCATGTTCCTGAAGAGTTTTGTGCATATGCCACCACTCGTCACTCAGCACAATCTTTCTTTCCACCAAAACGCCCTCTACGTGTTGTTCGTTCATTTGATCCTGATATTCCTCCGCGATTAGAAGGAGATCGGTCCAAAGCTCCATTCTTCTACCCACTTTGTCTTCTGGGAAGCTTTTCGACAAAGCAACATCTATAAGAAGACTGGTCACTCCAGGTGAGAATCCTTCCATTAAGCTGGTTACCGTAAAATCAGTCTCGTTCTCGTTGTTGTAATCTGTTATCGCATTTTCAAATTCATCTGAGAATTTCTCAAGTGAACTTTCTGCAAGATCCAGTGTCTGCCTAATCCCAAGACAGGGTTCGTCCTCTCGATTAACAATATTCACGTCTCTCGCCACCTCTCTATAATATCTGTTGACCGCAATTCTCAGAACCGCTAGGAGCTGCTTCTGACCGAATTCTTCCGCGCCTATGCTGAGAGAGCGGTAGTTGAGAAGTCGGATCCACACTCTGTAGAGAACCCATGCAATTTTGAAATTGGGGTCTTCAATATTCGCTGTTTCAGCGTCCCCATCCAACCGAAGTGGTTCTGTCAACTCGGGATTGCGGCGATCTGTAAAGCGACGAAGTACTGTTAACTTGTTTGCGAGCGTCACCTGACGCCTGAGCATTGTTCGGCTTTTGTAGCTGAGGAGTTCCTCTTCATGCTCTATTGATTTCATGATTATCTCAAGATTGTTCCGAACCCTCTGTTCTCGTTCATCTAATGCCAGTGTTCGAGACTTTCTGAACCACTTACAGTAGTCCTAGATGGCACAACTTTATTAGGATGCCCTTTTGAGAAATCGAATATGACATTGGGGCGTAGTTACATCCGGATGTCTTTCAAATTTTGTCTGCAGAGGAACATTCTCAGTCACATTTCCTGTGGATCTGACCCAATATTCCGAACGATTCATCCTTTGGCTCTTGCAGATTTCTTCAAGCATTTCAATAACCCCATTATAGTTCAGGCCTCCCCAGCCATCATATATAGGCTGCGCAAATTCACGAGGATCTATAAATCCACTCAAAAGCTCCATTTCATCTGGTAGGTCACCTCCCTGGATTCCGGCTAGATTTTCTTTTCTCATTGTGATATATAGGTCGGGATCTGGGTAAGTGACGTCGGGGTCAATATCTCCTTCTCCCATCTGCACATCCTCTGATCCTGGATCTATATACCAAGGTAGTTCATTCATGGGGAAATCAGAATCTAAAGATACATCGTCATCACCACGTTCTTCTTCTCCACCGCCTGGTGGCGTGTCGTAGTCGCGTGCTCGTCCTGACGGAAAATAATCCGCCGTTCGATTCTCAAACTCCTCAGTCTCCTCCGAGACGAATCTTGTTCTTCGTGCGGGGCGTGGATTTTCCTCCTCCACGTGTTCCATTTCGTCACTTCCTCCACTCCTGCTTGTCATGGTGTGAAGGCTCATTGACTCAATGGTTCGGTGCCTCCGTATAAGATGTCGGTTTCGAATAGATTTAAAAACAATGTCGACCAAATAATAAATAATGTAAGTCAAAAATATCCAAGTGAGTTGTAAATAAATTGTCATCTAACAGATTTTTGCCTGTAGCATAAGTCTTTGTCAAGCACCTGATGCGGCCATTACGGGCAACAAAGAAACCCACCGATTCTAGATTATTCGCAGTCTTGGTCTTTGTCACTCCATGAACTTCTACTTTGTATATTTGGCACAGATTGTATCTTTATTCACTGCAACCGAGGGAATATGCGGTTTTGTTGCAGTGTTTACATAGAGCACGCACAGCATTTTCGTAAGCGAGATTTACTTGGCGCCTGTAACCCCGACAAACTCCAAACCCCTAAAGTAATTTCCCGAAAATAAAATACCCGATGAGACTTGAAACTTGAGATTTTCCTGCAAAAGGCATTTTTTCGAGCACAAATAAATCCTTAAAAAGCTCAGTACTCAAGGTCTATAGTACTAGCTAACAGAATCCAGTCGCTAGCGTGGCTCATTCAGCTACAATCACTCATAGACCTCCATCACATCTAACTTCTTACAGACTTTACAAAGACTTGTACACCATTCGTCCCCGGTTTTGGTTTCGGCACAAACCTATCCATATGGAAGTCTATAGCCGAACGGTCGGTCTCATACAGATCGAGTTCAAACCTTCGAAACATTGTTGCAATTCCTATAAATAACTCTGCGTATGCAAGTTGCAAGCCGATGCATGCACGTGCTCCACGGCTGAACGCTACCATGCTAGAAAGTAGGGAATCAGCATAAAACCCCACTGGTTTGCAATCGCGTATGATTTCTGAACTTCTTATGAAGTTATGCTCAAGGGAGAATTGGTGGCCTAACAAAGAGAAACAAAAAGAATTTACTTACTATCGCGTTAACTTCTTCCCATCAGGTGCAACTGGATTGTTTAACCAGCGTTCAGGTTGATATTTATAACTTTGTGGGAAAATCTCCTCATCATGCGCCACGAGGAAGGCATCCATGCTAACTGTCGCACCAACCGGAATAACTGAATCTTTGTATGGCAAAGCAGCACCAGTGATAACTCTCGGTAAGCGTTGGGAGACACCGTAGGATAATCGAAGCCCTGATTTTAGGAAATTAGAATCGCGCGACGCTGGCATCAGGGCATCAAAACAAGAAAACTAACCTTCTTCGATACAAGCACTTAGAAATGGGAGCTGAGCAAGCTTATCATAGTGAGCTATTTCACTGGCGTCCGGCATCTCCCTGTCAAGTTCCTCCCGGAGCCGTTGTAGTATGGGGGGGTTTGCGAGAACATGGAAACAGACCACGCTTAGAGCACGCATTGTGGTTTCGATTCCAGCGCCGATGATGCTCTGGATCTCATGTTGAAGTCTAACGGGGCTCAACTCTTCTGGTGGAAGTTTAGAATCAAAAATACCGCGGAATACCGCAGTAGACGGTTGCTTCTCTTTATCGCCCAGCTCTCTGGAATTGAGAATAAATTTTAGTTGTCTTGCCATTTCCTATCACAGGTCGCTTTTTTAGTTCCAAGACTCATTTCGACAGAAAGTAACAGGATGCACTCACCTCATTGAACCTTAGTACTGGTATCATCTGAGGCTGTAACCAGCATACAACACTCTCGGGTAGCAAATCTGCGGCAATTCGAAGGATTGGGAATTGAGTAAAGTAATGAACAGGCTCAATAAGCTCAAAAATGGACTTCGTAAAGGATGCTCGAAAGTCAGGGGTCTCAATGAAATCGTATTTGGTTTCAAGGCAGTATCCTACAATGGAATCTGTTGTAAAGCATCCCCACATCTCATTTAGATTTAAAACTCTCGATACGCCCATATATTCGTTTTGCAACCTCTCGGTAATGCGATTCATCCGGGTTTGGAGAACGTTGGAATGATCGACGATTTTGCGCCTCGAGAAGAATGGATTTAAGGCTGCGCGGCGCTTACGATGAAGGTGCTGGTCGGTTGTTGAAGCGAGAGCCATACCGCTACCGAAACGTTTCTCAAGCGCTTTGAGTTTATCACGGGGAGTCGTGCTAGAGTATAGAGTGTCATAGAAATATGAATCTGAGACGTGTAGCTCATCTGGATTGATGCGAATGATCGGACCTGTATAATTGAATTAATTAAGTTGCCTCAAACCCGAGAAGATCCCAATACCATATTTCTCGTGCCATTTGGCGTAGACAAAGACGAACTGCCCTCCATCGCCATGAATAAGTTCGTAGTAGGTTTCAGTCCATCTGGTTAAAGCTGCTAAGCGAGGACCTGGGAATTTCGCCTGTTCAATAGTGAAATAAGGTCAATTGGCCATGAATTGACTTTCAATTGAACTTACCAAGGGGTGAAAATAAAGTCGATATATTCCTAGTGCGAAGCCATAAAAGATGGTGAAAGCGAAAGCAGCAAGCGGTACATAGTAAACGTTAATATCTTGTTGTCGTAAAGCAACCAGCATATGGCCATGCTTTGGCAAAGCAACCATTATGGGAAGGTAGAAATTCGTTTGCTATGAAAGTGTCATTCGAAGAGATAGAGATTTTGTTAATATGGAAACATCATTGACCTTAAGTAATAATCGGACTTTCTCGGAGGATATAATGGCCGGTGCGTCCTTTCCTGGCGTTGTCGGCGGAAGCAAGGGCCTACCTAGGGTATTAAGCAAAAACTCCGCAGTAACCCAAACACCGAGACCGATGTATCTAAGTAAATAGTGGCGTAATAGGCTGTGCGTCCTTTCTCTCTCTGTGCGAATGCCTGAATTCGGCGGAAGCAAGGGCCTACCTAGGGTATTAAGCAAAAACTTCCGCAGTAACCCAAAGACCGAGACCGATGTATCTAATTAAATAGTGGCGTAATAGGCTGTGCGTCCTTTCTCTCTCTGTGCGAATGCCTGAATTCGGCGGAAGCAAGTCGGGTGTCATACTACAAAAAGTCATCAAGCCGAAACTCCACAATGGTACTTCGTCCCAGAAAGCTATTTTTCTAGTGAATTCACATACAAAAAAACCAATACAAAAGTCGATCAAGCTTTCTTAGCTTCAAACCCTCCTTATACTTCGTACGAAGTAAGTAAAGGCTTAAGGTGTCTATCCCGGCCCGCCCCCCTTCCCCACGCGATGATCTTTCATGTCAGTGCCAAAGCTCGTTGGTAATAGACAAGCAGACAGAATATCTACTATAACAGCCATTTCCTGAATGCATATGCTTCTACTGTTCTCTGGGCGCATATGCCCTTCTCGATTTCCATAAGGCCCGGGGCTCTGCAGCTGGGCTGTTCAATTGAATTGTTTAAGAAGAGCGGTGGCTTTCTATCTCCTTATACTTTCTAACTTGAGATCACACACTCTCTCCCATAAATTCCATCTTCAGCTCCAGCCCAAGGCAGATATTCTACTCACACCACCTTAGAAGTGATCATTTCTACTTCGCTTTTGGCTGATTGGATCACACGTATAAACTACACTTCAATCTGTTATCTCACCCCGCAGCAAGAGCCTAGGCGAATCGTATCATACCAGGTTTCTCCCGCCTTGGGCTTGGTGTGAAGACGTCTGTTTCTCCCCCCTTACTTTGCTAGTAAGCAACAATAAAGGCGTATCTATTGGTAGAAGAATAGAGTATATTGATCATAAGACAAGTCTCGCCTCTGATTCTTACATGTATCCACCGGAACGATCTCCTGGACTGTTCGGGGGATTTTCCAAGTGGATCAAGGACGTGCACGACTTTTTTGCTGTAAATCTTTGGTGTACGTGTGACGGAGCTGGATTTCATTTGACAGGATTTCATTCGCTTGGCCAAGCACGTGATGAGACTTGGCATTGGAACAACTTAAATAACTTCGCTCCTTTCAGATTCTCTTCTCTCTTTAGTTTGATTTCTTCGTACCTACGGTTTTAGTTCTAGCAATTGATTCAAAAGCTGTATACACTTTATCCTTTGTTGGCATCCGTGACAGAAGTAAGATCCTTAGTATTTATAGACAAGTCTTGAATTCGACCTAATCCTAAATAGGAAACTAGTATATAGTTATTAAATATATAAGAAAAAAAGGTAAATTTTACTTAAATTAAATTTAAATCTTATTTTAAAATTGCTACTTATTTTATAGTTATTATAATAATTTTAAGTAAAATATTATAGTTCGTAGGAAATAAAGATCTTCCTTAGCCTATATAAATTTTAGTACATTCTAATAGCTTAGTATTACTAAGCTATTAGAATAGACCTATAGTAATACCTTAAAACAATTCTACGCGAGGGTACTTAATCCTAGTCCGAAAGACCTCCGTACCGTGTAGGGGATATTACGAATAATTTCGGAATAAAAGACTATGGTCGTATACTAGCTTTATTTCTGGTTCTCGCTAATTCTACGCTTATGGATTGTTAAGACAACTTTTTGATTTTGATGGTGAGGGTAAAGTATCGCAACATCCATATGTTGGTTTCACGTGACATGGCACTGGCATATATGGAAGCGTTTGTAGTCTAGCTAAGCTACCTTTGCTGACTTAAGCAATTAGACGCCGAAGCAAGGACTGATAGCTTCAACCCCTTATTACTACTTACGAGTACTAGGTGTACCGACATAAAGAGATGGTACGTAGTATTGAGTTCTTAACCCAAAAGCTGTCTGTCGTCTTGTAGTATAGCATGTAATTCATTGCTCTAGTAATTTGTAGAAGTTGTTTTGTTCTAGGGCTTATTGGATGAATAGTAAGTATTTCTTTATCTGGACTTCTTCTTTTCGATGATTTTGTGCGAAAGATTTTATATGAATTAGCTGAATCAACGAAATAAGCGGCTATATAGTACCTGTAATGATTATTAAATTGAGTTAGGTCTATTATCAGAAAGTACCTTTTCGGAGTCATGGCAATTTCTTACGTCTAGATACAATCTAAATAATTAGGTATTAAGAGCGATGTCCCTTTTACTCTATTAATCGAGGACTGGGCAGTAGTTTCCCCATCCCCAAAATCTTCTAGCCAACGCGTTACGTCTCAAATGAGAATAGCTCTGCGATGACTCCAAAGCCTCCAATCAGACCACACCCAATACGATTCTCATACCCCACCACCCCCCTCCAACGGCTCAACCTCCAACTTCAGCACCCTATCCGCCTTCCTCCTCGGCTCAGGTGCCCTCCCATTCTCCTGAACATAGAACCGTCTTAGCATAACGATAGCCTCTTCTCTCAGCCATCCACCACTAACTTCGTAGTCTCCATTTCTCCTATGAGCCATTTGCTCTTCTTGATTGCTTGTCGTTCGAACCGTTTCATTCGATTCGATCCCGCTCACCTTCCCATTCCCAAGATGCACATCAAGAACACCACCCGTACCTCCGAACTTCTCGTTACTCGCTCCGAAGAAGACGCGTTTGATGCCGAATTGGCGGAGGAGGGAGGCGCACATGATGCAGGGTTCCACCGTTACGTAGAGGGTGCTTTCATTTAGTATCCTTGGGGGAAATGGGTATAAACTCTTTCTCTCTTCCTCATTCTCGGTTACAAAGGGCGGGCTTTTTGAAGAGAGATTTGTCAGAGATGAAGCATTTGAGGATTCAGGTGAAGGTGATAGGATCTCATTGATCGCAATGAACTCCGCATGCATAGTCCCATTCCTCGTTCGGTTCGTGGCATTCATACCGCGTCCGATGATTCCGTGGCTGGGATGGACTATTACGCATCCGACGGGTGTTTCTGAGGTGTGGAGGGCGAGCTCGGCCTGTTTCTTGTATAAGTTGTGATGCTTATATCTTGGTTGTGTCAAGTGAGATGGATTTTTGAAGGAGAGGAGGAAAGTGAGAGAACGCAGCAAGGAAAAGGGGTGAGACCATCGATAAGGCTTCTCTCATGTAATTGAGATGTATTGCGTTCTCCTCCTCTGATCTCGTTTCTTGGTTCGTCATTTTAGGCGAGGGACGGGGTGTTTGGTAGGAGAGTAGTCGCTTAAGATGAGTCTTCAAACTTGACAGGCGCAGATGGATGGTGAAGTTTGATGGTTAGATTTGTGAGGTTTTGGGCGCAGATAAGATATTAATCTGCAGTCATTCGACGCCTAGAGAGTTTGAACTCGACTACTGGTTAAAAAAAACGGTGTGTTGTTCGAAAATATGGAAGTTGGAGAGTAAGAGTGAGTTTGAACTTGAAGTAAAGTGGGTCCGAGGAAAATCCGAGTGAGTCACGTGGAATTCATGACTTTTAGGATGCTGAAAATTTTAAAACTTATAGTTTACTTTTATGCACTTACCTCTGTTGCTCCAGAAACTGAATTATTGAGAGCTGATCCGTATACTGAAATAATTTGTTCAAAGAAAGCCAAGCATTCTATGAATAGAAATGAAATCAGAAGTGAAAATGTGAGTAGTGGAAAAGGTATCGTCATTTTGACTTCCAAGTCCCCAACATCCGATAGATAACATACGCCCATAAATAAGAAGTATCATACAAGAATTTTGTGCCATTAAAATCACCCATTAGATCCGCATTACCAGCGCAAAGCCCTGCAAACAATTTTCATCTCATCTCGTTTCATGTCTTCGCCAACTACTTCGAGACCGCCACGCCAGGTAACTCAACAGCATACTCTCGTGACCTCGCACTAGCAGGCATCTCCGTACTATCCAACTGCTGTGGGATATTCGTCGAGTCAGCATCTACCATCTCATGGACATTATTATGATGAGGTGATGGGTGACCACCCCATGTATGAGCCCCAGTAGGCGAAGGATGACCAGACATTATTGAGATTCGCGGAGAGTGAGCTGGTAGTTTTGGAGACGGTTGAGGAGAGCCGTAGGGTGGTGGGCCAACGGTGTGGGCATCTCCCTCTCGTGCTGGTCGTATTGGTGAGAAGTGTTTGTCGTGGTCTGGTCTTGGGGTGCCTTGGGAGGCTGTGTAATATCCTTCTGTTGCTTGTTAGTTGGAACATGGGAATATAGGCGAAGAGAAACGTACCCGTCTCGGGCCCTCGGATGCCGTCTTTTGGTGTTAGTTTTCGCATTCCAGGCGACTCAGGGTCCTTTCCCATTGCTGCGGCCGCTGCGGAATCTCTCTTCGCGTTTTTGTCCTTCTTTCTTCGATTTCTAAGGATTAGGAATCCGCATATTATAAGAGCTACAAGAACCACGCCAACGGTCACGACACCAGCGATTATTGCAGTGTTATGGTTTCCATCTGAGGAGGTAGCATTAGGCTGTACAGGAGCAGCAGTACCGGTTGATGTCGAGGATGCAGTTGTAGATTGTAAAGTTGAGGTTGTTCCAGGAATAACTTTGAACTGTGCTGGTTCAAGATCTCCTGCTGGACACCCATTCTGCTGACATGGGTTTGTTTTACAGCAGCCCTGGAAAGACGGAGAAATTCCTGTACATGTATACCATAACGAAGTTGATGGACATTGTACGTTCGGTTCGTTCGTGGCTACTATGCCAGCTGTTGGAATGCCGGCCGCTCGTAGGTCTGTTGCAGGACATCCGTTTTGTTGACACGGATTTGAGACGCAGCATCCTTGGAAACTTGGGACAATTGCCGTGCATTCATACCTGTGCTTTTGTTAAAATGCTACCGATAGAAACGATCCAGTGGAAAACTAACCAGAGGCCGCCCGACGGGCAAGTTCCCTTGTCGGTTGGTTTTGCCATTGTGTATTTAAGTAAATACACTGGTAGAGGGATATTGGTAGTATGAGGTCTGGATCCACAGTGTAGGTCGTTGAATTGAATCGCTTCGCGACGGAAGAAGAAAGGCGAATCAGTGTATCTTCAAACAATGAAAAGCTGTGCACCCGTGACTTGTACTCGTATGTTCTGCTGCGTAGCTCATACTCCGAGCTTATCCAACGTCACTGTTTCTACAACAATGGATCTGTAGCTGGTAGAGCGAGAGGAAGTAAGTTGATAAGCCTGTAAGTAAAACTTTACAAAGAAACAGGTCGCAGCGATGGTGATATCCTAAATGAATCCTAGGTCTAACTAAGTAGGGTTTGCCAGTGAAATGATATCATGTCAGATTTGCATGCATGTGCTCCTACTCTAGCTAACCAAGATGATGAGAGGTAACGCGAGGAGGAGGCGAGGAGTAGTTTTCTTGGTAAGGTAAGATGAGGTTAGTGGAGATTTTCTTTGATTGCTCAAGTCTCAGCCACCACCAATACCGAGAATCGATACGATTTTCATTATGAGGAAAAGTAGAATAAAGAAAAGGCTCCTTTCATGATGAAAATATCCTTGAGTATGTGGAAATTTAGCAGGCTCATATTTTCCCTTTTTTTGCTTTTGGATCGAGAAGGCAAGATCGCGGGGTACAGGAACTCTCCAAAAGTAACAACAGCACCTGTCTGATAGATTACACAGGACGGCTTGCTCGCTTCGTAGGGCTGTGGTGAGCCGTGTGATGTACGACTTGCTTAGCTAGGAAGCCCAACAAGACTGACGGTGACTTTAAAGGCACAAACTGTAAATATCACATCACGAACGCCGCATGTGAAGTAGACTGTAAGATCTTAGGCATACCATTTTCCAAGCTTGCCAGCGCAGAAGGCAGTTTTCCATCTATTTGGGGTTCCACAGCCCAGTAGTAGTTGGGCGGGACGTGCTGTCACGTGCACTTCCGAAAAGCCTCCACAAGCAAATGCAGCTAAGAAGAGGATTTCGCGACTTCATCGTGAAATTGCGGCGAAAGTGGCAATGCAAACCAAAAGTTCATTCGTAGCGTGAACTTTGAATCCTAAAGTGGGATACAGAATGATCCAGCCAGCGGGAAAACTTCTCCTTCGTCTGTTGATGTCAAGTGGAGTTAAGCTTACTTTCAGAAGGAAGGGAAGGAAGGAACTTTCACTGTCAATCTGTACTCGAGTACACTCGTTCCGAGAGACCGCTTCCCGGCAGACGAAGGAACCAACAGCATGATTCCCCTCGTGGGGAAACATCCGACGACGTTGAATGATCGCTGGAAGCGAAGCTGACTATCTCGATATCGACGCTGCCATTGGATAATCCGTACAGCATGTAGACGAGCTTATGTGGTTGAGGCTCAAAACTTTGAATTTGAGATTGGGCTCGGTGTTTGGTGGCTGAGGATGATGACTGGGGTAAAAATAGAACATTTTCTCACTAGGTACGACTGATATGAGATGATTATATAAAGCCATCACGGTCCCTTTTTTGGAAACTCATTCGCTTCTCATTCCCTCCTTCCGTTTTTTCCATTTGAATTCTCCCTCTCACTCCTACAACTTTGGCAACTGACCTCGGGAACCCGGAAGTTTTAAATGTCGAGGAAGGTCATGTGATGTTATCAAGTTCCGTTCTCGGATGGACTCCTCCAGGGCTCCCTGAATTGAAATGGAGACTGGGCCTTCTTAACAATGTTGATTTTGACAGACTCCTCTCAAGGAATGTGGCCATTATCATCCTACGCGTTAGCTAAGAACAATTACCGTCTAATCCGTAGCCGGTGTAGCAAGATGGACAAAAAGCCTACACCGTGCTCGTCTGTTTTCTCTTTGGTCTATTGGGTTCAGAAAGATTACGAGGGATTTGAACTTGATTTCAGTTTCCAGGATACAGTATCTGCAGGTGGAACCTTATAGCAGAAGTAAACACGTGACTAACCTCCTTTGGGTTCATACATCTACAATCAAACAAATTTTGACTGATGTATAGTTCTGTTTAATTTCCTCTGAAGTTATAGGCATTGCCGGCGAAATAATTTATGAATCAAGGAAGCCATTCCTACAAGTATCGTGAAGTCTGTGAAGACACGTGAGTAACACACTTCAGTAACCTGGTCAACTTAGAGATTCCACCTTAACTTTGAGCTATTTACATATTTCCTGCAGGTAAAGCTTACCATTGTACTCTAAACGAACTCTGCTTGCACTGATGAGGCGAGGGTACCAGAGCGACGAACTCAGTCAAGTGAACTCAACAGCATCTCAAGTTCAAACGAAATACACTTCAACACACCACCCACCACTCCACATTCTTACTCGACCTCAAACTCGAAACATTCTGCCAAAATAATCAACTTCCCCACAAACACCTCACCCCAGATCACCCCTCGCATCGCGCAATCCCCTCCCAAAAAAATCAAGAGCACGAGTACACCTCCGATCAAACCCCCATCTTCTCCCCTCGCATACGCAATCGCCAACACGTCCAAGCTCCCTCACGAAACAACCCATTCATCCCATTGAAACAACTCTCCTTTCCGCATGACATTCCAGAACCCCACCAGCACAATCCCAAGAACCAAACAAACACAAAAAACAAAGTAAACCGAAAGGGCTCGCAAAAAGTCAACTAAGTACGGTACGGATAGCTAGCGGTTTAGCCTTTAGTGTTGCTCTTTTAGCTTTTAACCTTTTAGGTTTGGCTTTCTTAGCGTTTGAGAATTGGAACTTTGACTTGGGGTCTTGGGTAAGTAGATTATGGTTTAGCGAGACGCGAATCGGGATGCTTCGAGCCTTCTTTGGTGGGGAAGGTGTACCTCTTCGGTACTTGGAATATGGGATCGCGAGCCGGTGAGGTGCGAGAGATTGGATTTTTGGGATGAGGCGGAGATACTCGTAGAGCTCCATGGCTCTTCGTATTTCGTACAATGTTGATGTGGGTTGGTTTGTAGAAGAGACTCATGTCGGTGGGATTTTGGAGGCCAATTTTTAGTATGGTTACTAAGCTGGTAACTTCATGTCCAGTAGAGAAGAAGAAAACTGGTAGGAAATGGGGTTGGATCGGAAATCAATGGATCGGAAATCGACGAGTAATATGAGATGTCGATACCCATACAATAACAGACAAGTTCATCCAAAACCGCGTTCATCAGTACTCAGCATCTCGGTTCTTTCAAGCGCGGTTTTGGAACCCAGGTCTTGGCTGTGAGAGCAAGAATGGAAGACGCTATCTTCTAACAATAGTATACCTCAGACAATTCAACGATGAATATTACTAGAGGTATAAACTCGTTTTCTAGGATTTACAAGAGAAATAACGAACTATGCAAAATGACGATTGCTCCATCCTTGGGAAGAAGACGATTCCTCCAGATCCAAGAGTGAGCTACAAAGTACTCTACTCAGTATAATCATCGAAATAGAATAATCATCATTACTTCAAATCTCAGAACCAAGCTGTAAGATTCAGCTGTTGTTGGTATCTGTATCATATCCCACTGGGATTTGATTCCAGATGTACAATTACTAACATATTATGATGCTAGCACTATGACGATATTGGTCGTTGGTTCAACAGATGTTTCCAACACTAAGCCACAGCCACTGAGATATCGCATAGAAGTCCAACGTAACTATTTATTAAAGTCCACTAGGTGCAAAAGCCAGCTTGCATATATCATCACACTTAGCCGGCGAAACCAAATACAACTTTTTCTGGAAAACATGAGCAAATATACAAATATAAAGTGATCATGTTATATGTCAATGACAGCACTCACAGCCATCATCACCAACTCTTAGATCGCCCATCGCCCATCGCCCGAATAAGGCAAGATTAGACCTCTCAGCTCGGCTATGCCACGTTCTGCTACTACGCAAGCGCCTCGCCCTTCCAGACGAAGGTTCAACGGCTCGTAGTTTAAAAAACACACTACAGGAACGTTGGCATTAGCGTTGGTGTTTCTTTTAGCCTCACTTCTTAGCTCATGATCGCCCGAGTGTTATTCTGACTACCTAGGTACAGAAATCCATCAACATCCGCCCGACTTCCAAACACCAACACCAAAAAAAATAGAACCAACAAACCAACAAACCAACAAATACAGTCACGACCAACATCTTATACCCATCATGGAAGTGCAATACCGTCATAGCCACAAACTAAAGCACCCCGCAATCTCACACAAGATTGTGTCCAAAAATACATTGCAAACCAATGATAAAGCCCATACATACATACGTAATGTACATACATACATACATACGTAATTTACATACATACATACATACAGACGCCACCCGACCCCAAGCCTATCTAAGCCACAGTAGAGCTGTACCACGAATAGACATCCCGTCCCATCCCATCGCGTCGTCTTACATGCATACATACATGCATCGTTACGAACGGAAGGATTCGACACGGCGTGGTATACACATGGCAAACCCATTTCATTAGATCCTATTAGAACACTAAAATTTGAGATTTGAGATTTGAGATTTAAGGCTGATTGGGGGCCTAATGGGTAGGTATTTAGACCCCAAGGAAGGGTTCTAGGGGAGTCGGCATCCTAACTTAAAGCGGGCCTCGCGAGCACAGACGCCTGCGGCTGCTCGTAGAGCCCCTAAGGACAGTCTCGTAGTACCCCTGTTAATTTCCTAAACAGGAAATAAAGCGCTGATTCGTCCGGAGTACTTGATTAGTATCCACCTACACTTGGCTACTCCACGAGTGTGGTAGGTAAAAGTTGACCAAAAAATAATAAGCTTAGTATGAAATTATATCTACAAATCTAGGGCTTTCTAATAGTACTATTATATTTTCAATGTTTGCTTTATTAGTAAAGATACTAGCGTTTTTATTATTTTATGATTTCGGGTGTGAAATCCCCTACTAGTATATACTTGGCCACTCCACTATTCCACTTAACTACTCCACTATGTACGATTTACAGGCCTTGTATGGCTTCCAGTACGGCGTAAGAGGCTCTGCCAACTCGTTCCTCGTTGTTGAGGCCTGAGGCTCTTATAGTGAGAATGGGAAGTCGGGTTTGGAAATTTACATAGGGATTTTGGGGATTTTGGATAGGTAGGTAGATAGGTAGGTTCTGGAGGAGATGATGAATGAGATGAGGTAAGAAGATACGATGTTACTAGGTACTTGTGAGTAGGTAGTAGTGAGATAGAGTCGGGTACGGATGAGTGAGTGAGTGGCAGATATGAAATCTCCAATTCCGGCATGGAGAATCGACCTACCTATGGAGGATGCAGTACCTTAAGGAGATTGAAGGAGTCTGTCTGTCTGGTGGTCTTCGACATCGTGCCTTCCAGCTCCATCTCCAATTCCAGCCTCATTTTCATTTAATTTTCACAATTAGCATAATAAGTAAGTACTGTACAGTAATAATGAAGGCTCTTCGACTTTACAACCCCCCGCCATCACATTTACTTACGGAGGTAGGTACTCTACAATCGCCAATCCCACCACGCACTTACACAAACCCCTTACCTCATCACCTCATCACCTCATCCCATCCCCCTCCATCTCCACCTCTCCACCTCCACCTCCACCTCTTCCGGGCTCCAAGTCCAAGACTCCCACGGCACGCCCAGCACCTCCTATCTACCGTACCGTACCGAGCCAGGCCCTCGCCCTCGCTCGCTCACTCCTATCACTTATCGTGCGCGTCGTAGGCACACACACCACACTTCCCCGGGTATCCTCTTCTCGCTCTCCACTTGCGTCCCTCCACTTCCTCCCTCCACTTCCTCACCTGCTTCAAGCTTGGGGGTATAATACAGTACCAAGATCCCAACACGTTTCGAGACTACAAGAACCCTGAAAAAGCCTCTCTTCTCCACTCCCATCACTTCCACCGACTCTTTCCAAGCCTAGAAATCCTTCACATTACACAAGAGAATCGGGACCGTAATTCATGGAGATGAAACCAGACCCCCCTCCTCCCTCCTCCCTCGATTACGGTACGTAGATGGACTGAGTAAAGGGGTTTCTACTCCGAGTCTCCGTAAGTATTGCGCCATCTTGATTCTTGTGGGCTGGCTGGAAGAGGAAGGTGGATCGAAGCTTTGGGTTTCTGGGGAGGGATATGAGATGCAAGGGCACCTCGTGGCGAATTCTGGAGTGGAGAGGAGGAGTGGGGATTGGATTGTATTGGATTGGAGGGTGGTGATTGATTGTTCCGGCTTTCGAATTTACTTTTTACTTTTACCTTTTTACGGAGTTTTTACCTTTTACGAAGGAGAAGTAGAAGGACAAGATTACGGAAGGGAATGGATTACGGATTATGGATATGATGGTTTTATGATTCGATTCTGGGATTATAGTATAGATTCGCTGGAGCAATTTACAGTACGGTACGGGGAGGTTGAGTAGAGAGGAGGAGAGAGGAGGGTTATGGAAGATAGGTGCGTGGGTAGGTAAGTAAGTAGGAATTGTAGAATCCTCGCAGGTACTGGTACCATATTCCGTACAAACTTATAATTTTTTCTCGATTGTGCGAATGACTTTACGTTCCATACGAAGCGATCTACAAAATAGGCTATTCACATCTACACCCCAAACTTCCCCATCCAGACAAGGCAGACGACACGGGCAGGCAGGCGTCGAAATGCGGGGAAATGCAAAGTAGAAGAAAAATATATATTAATTGACCAACCACTCCTCTCGACCTTCCGATCGGGTCCTCGATCCGATTTCATCACGAGGGGGAGAATAATATAGGAAGTAAGTTCCGAAACGGCTAGAATGGAAAATGGAAAATGGAAAATGGAAAATTTGGTAAAGTGTACAGTAGAGCCGATATACGGATATGTGAGCTGCTAGAAGCGGAAGATTTATTAGGTGTGATTATTCGATATCCAATCCCCTCTAACCTAATTTTCCAGAATTGGAAATGGAAAGGGATGGGGGCGGTTGCCTTCTCGTGTAAGTAATTAGTGGATGATGAAAGGGATAAGGCAAATTCTCTCGTTTTTCCAATACATCATACGAAGCGGTCCATGACGGATTGATAGCCGTGATGCGTCGTAGAATGCCTTATGCCTTGCTTTGCTTCAAGGATGGGAATTTCATGATGTTGATCCATTTGTTGGGTTGGTTGGATGGCGAAGTCGATTTTTCCATCCATGATACGGTGATTGTATGTTTTGGGTGGGTGGGTGTACGAGTACCGGAGGTATTTTCTAACAAGATCACCCAGTCATGAAACTTACTTCTAGATTGGGTGATTGGTTGAGGAATAGGATTTCCCTCATTTCCCGTGCGCTAATCTTAGGTGAGGAATGTACCGCAGTACGAGATTTGGATGCGTGGATGAGGCGTGCCGTGTACGGATTTGGTGAAAGGAGGCGATGTGTACGAGAAGAGAGGGAGGGCTGAGGACTTGCATTGCTGGCTGAGTAAGGGTGAGATATGCATCTTTTTTGTGGGACTTGTTTGGGAAGGAAATGCTAGTTTGAATAATGTCAACGACTCAAAGAAACAAATAAAGCTTTCGGGAAACAAAATCAGGTGTTTCTTCAGATCATGGGGCGCCAATATTGAATCGCGAAGGTTCTTGATGGTGTTTTGATGGCGGGGAAAGGTCAAAAGGGGAGCAGGCACCACGGGTACCGCTCCGTACGGGAGCTTGCGTAGATTTCTCCCCAGCATGCCCATCTCGTCCCGGCGCTCGGATGGCGATTCGGACCCCTGATCGGCAGGAGTTGTGGGCTTCTAGAAAGCTAAAGACCCCCTTCCCCTCGACTGGTGTGACAGAAATATTGCGCAACGCAGCGGGTGTGAAACTCCAAGGGGTCTTGACTTTTGGATCTCTGGGAGGAAGAACGCTGTCGGATGTTGGGGGAGGGCGGCGAGTGAGCCTGGATGGCTGGCAGACTCGCGTGCCCTTCAATGCAAAGTTGTTGACTGGCAAACCTTGGGGGTACTTGCCTTCCGCAATGGGTGGAATTTGAGTGCTTCGATCGGATTCCACTACGGTGTTCCATCAGATATCAGATATCCACTATTGTCGTACCTCGTCCCTGGATGAATCAAAGAAAGTTACGGTGCGAGTCTATTCGTGAATGGATGGGATTAATGTGGCACCAGAGGCAGCCGAGTATGGAGCGTAGCCGCGTAGGCACTGTACCGTTGAGGCGTTGAGGGCATACGCGGAGTCTACGGAGGAGTATTCTACTGCGAGTCTGCGTGTACTGGTAGTCTACGTGCCGCCACGTAAGGAGGTGGATTAGTACCAGTTGGCAAGTGGGAGCCATGAATAGATACACTGGGCGGGCAGAGCAAGACACTTCTTCCACGGAACACTCGCCTCGCAAAGGCTACAATACGGAAGCTACGCAGGTGCAGGTGCAGGCTACTGTACTGTAGGCTAAGCTACGCTACGCTACCGCAAGGGGCCGTTGGAAGTAGCGAGCCGGGCCTGGCTAAGATAGTACAGCTACAGTACAGCTACAGTACTCGTGGAGTCGTAGCCAGTACCGAGTAAGAAACAAGAAGATGGTCAAGGAAACGGCCCAAGAAAAAGGTTCCTAAATCTGATGCTACGCCTGCATAAACATTGAACAGGAACATTGGCTGAAAACTAGCCGCATAAAAACGGTGCACAATTAGGGGGAACCAGCGTGGTCGAGGAACTCTGTCAGTCTAGCGTAGTCAGATCGGCCATAAGCGGCTAGCTCCACCCTGGCCCACCCCTGCGCCCACCCCTGCCAGTCGCTCCTTGCTTCAGCTCACGCCTAAATTTAAAACACAGTGTCCTGAACATAAAGACCACCTGTTCCTCCCTCCAAGTTGCTGCTCTCCATCCACCAAATCATCAAATCCGCCATAGCATCGTCGGATCGTCCACACGCCAAACGCTCTCCTCGACCCTTGACCGGTCACTCTCTCCCCACCAGGCACATCTTTGGTTGCCTGCTCCTTCCTCCCGCAAGTGTTGACTCATCTTTCACCTGTCCTTGTTGCACCAAGAGAACACCGTGTCCTCGCCATGCATTGACAGTCAACTACATGAACTGAGGGCAGATATCGACATTCCACCTATACTGCATAGTTCCTCAACACTCAGATACACCCTCACACCCACCATCAACCTACCCCACAATGTCCACCACTCCACATATCAAATTCGAGCATTCGCCAGCCGATAGCCTCGCCGACAGCTTTGACTCCACACCGGGCACATCATATCCATCACTCTTCGAGAACAACTCGATGGACCCGATAGATATCATGACGCCGGCCATGACCCCTCGGTCATTTGAGGACGACAGCATGTTTGGCGGTTCCATCCGGGGCGACAGTGTTCTAGGTGACACCCCCGCTCCGGAGAAGAAACCAGTAAAGAAGAGGAAGTCTTGGGGCCAACAACTACCGGAGCCCAAGACCAATCTTCCACCAAGGTAAATGCGCAATGCACTTCACCTTCCCAAACATCCAGCTAATCCAATCGACAGAAAACGAGCGAAGACTGAGGACGAGAAAGAGCAACGTCGAGTCGAGCGAGTTCTCCGAAATCGCCGGGCCGCACAGTCCTCAAGAGAACGCAAACGACAAGAAGTCGAGGCCCTCGAAGCGGAAAAGCGAGCCATTGAGCGACGTAACCAAGACCTCGAGATGCGTCTCGCACACGCCGAGGCACAAAATATCAGACTTCAACAAGAGTTGGAGCAAATTACCGGCAAACAAATCACCGCATTCCAATCCCCAGTCTCGTCGCCAGCCCAAGAGCTCCGACAAGCACCATCACCAGTTACATTTTCACAAGAGCTGTTTGGATCCAGAGATTCCACCAAGAACACATCCATCAGCACCCAAGCACTCTCCGAGGTTTCTCCTCAAACAGTGAATCCCGCCTCCATCTCCCCCGAGATCCGACCTGTTAGCGATTCCGCCAACGCCAGTTCTTCCGATATGACACAACATCCTGCCGCGATGTTGTGCGACCTGCAGTGTCAGTCGGAAGAACAACGGCCCTGGATGAACTCAACAACAGCAACGAATTCCGCAATCTATCAAATCTGGATAGCCACCACACTACTCAGCCTGATTTCGGGGGCTACTTCGACGCTCCTGAACCCACTGAATCAGATCGTCAATTCCTTGAACACGGGATCCTCCCTGTCGCCGACAACTTCAATCTTAACTTTGATCATTTGGTTGGTCACAACGACGGCGCCTTTGACGATTTCAACCTCGACGACTTCCTCAACCACGATGACCAGCCTGCGCCCGAGACTCAGTCTTCGGATTCGCTTGTTGAGACGACTGCTAGCCTGCAGCCCACGTTTGGCGCGTCCTTTAATGGATGCGACGATGTCGGCAATGCGGTCAGCGTCTGAACAGCAGCTATCCAACGCCTGTCTCTTGGATGTAGATGCGAGTGATCGTGATCAACGGAACTCACCGAGTGTTTGTTCGTTAATGACGTTACTTTGGACCATTCATGTGATCGAGAGGGAACGAACGCAGAAGACAACCAAGCTGGACGCAGCGACGGAAGTCAGACAGGCGTGTGATAAGCTGGGTGAACTGTTCAGTACGCAAGAGATAGAGACCCGATTCTCTTCACCTTCTACTACTTCTACTACTACCATTACATCTGGGGCGCTTTATGGGGATAAAGCTAAAGAGGAAAAGTCCTTTGAAGGATGGCGTACAGGCGTTTAAGATCATGACTTTATGAATTGATCCTTCTCGATAATCCACGTTTTAGCGGGTGGGAAGAGATTAATGGATGTCCTTGTACACCATATGTAACATTTGTGCCAATACAAAATCACATTTAAAATATTTAATTCTGTTTTTTCATCTGCTTGTGATGTTTCAATGTGAATTCGTCCCTCGTATCTGTGTGATGTTGGGTCCTGGATGATTACGGGTATCTGACAGTGCTCACCTAGGTTACCCCCTAGGTGGGGCGAAGTTTATAGGGTTGGGAGTCTGGGAGAGCTCGATCTGGGGGCGCTGCTGGACGTCAAGCTCGATAGTTCACTTATCTGACCTTCAGTTTTTTTATTGATATGTTGAGCTGTTACTGTACCAAACTTTGAGGTACTGTAGAGTGGGGGCGAGCGGGGCGGGGTATTGTAAGTTATGGATTTCCGATAGAGTATGTGAACCAGCTTGACCCCGAAAGTTTTGGTGCTGATGATGTTTGTATGTATTGTACTGTAACCCAAATTTAGTATACGGAACAGGTTCACATGTTTATTTTAATGCTAGTTCTCGTTCTGGAGAAAGTGGAAGTGGACGTGGAAGTGCATGTAAAGTAATGTCAAGTAATGTATGTTGTGATATATATCGAGACCTTGGAGGACGGAAAAGGCAGGTATGTATACCGAGTGCGTTCACCGCGCGATGATAGTTGGGGTAGAGTTGGTACAGTCCGGGAGGGGGGCACGAGAAGAAGTGCCGACCGAGGGTGTAATTTTAAAGGTTGGTTGGTTGTACTCGTACTGTAGAGTTACATACTGTACTGTACTGTACTGTACTGTACATAGAAGTAGGACGAGATAGGAAAGTTGCAAACTCTATTGCGTAGAACCATCTCATCCTCCACCACGTCCCATTCTATTCACATGTACATTTACATTTACATATCTCATCCTTATTTTCCTACCATATTATCTCATCCCATCTCATCCAGCTTCACCTCATCCCATCGCAAAAATGCTAAACATCACACTCCCCCCCCTTCCCCCCTTCCTCGATATCAAAAACCTCTACCCCTCTCCCCTTCCCNCCCCAGCCCCCTCACCCTACTTCCTCCCTCTTACCCAGGTAGCATTCATGTCTACTACCTTTCTCACCCGCGAACAGAGGATCCGCTATGCCGCCCCGGTCTTGTTATTGTGGATCAGTCGGGTTCGACGGCATAATACGGGGGATCTGAGGGACTTTTTGAGGATGAGTTTTGTGTGTGGGGTTTTGGGGAAGTTTGTGGATTTTGGGTTGTTGGCCAAGGAGGGGAGTGAGTGGAAGGTTGGGAGGGGGGAGGGGATAGAGAGTGAGAAGGGTGAGAAGGAGAAGGAGGGGAAGACTGGGGATGATTTGGTGGTGAGAGAGAAGAGGGAGTTTTGGGGGGGTGTGAAGGAGAGTTGTGAGATTTATTTATTTACTTCTAGGGGTATTGGGTGGAATTGGGAGGTTGGAGGGATACCGGAATGTCCAGTTCAAAGTCGAGGGTTTGTTTTTCTCCTCCCCTTTCTCATTCCGTCTCATCCTCGCTAATGCAAATTCCTACTGGTAGAGTCTTCCTTTTCCGAACCGCACTCCGTATCCTCGGGACATATCTAGCATGGGACCTCTGTCGCTTCTCCTTAAGCTTATTTTCGTATATAACGACCGAGCCCCGAGGCCTCTTCTTCGCCCTCCCCCTCTGGCAACAAATCACCCTCACCTGGCTGCAACAACTCGAAGCCTTCACCTTCATCAACACGCCCTACCAACTCGGCGCCTTCCTCACAGTCCTCATTTACTACCAGACACCCGAAGACTGGCCGCCGCTCTTCGGGTCCATCTCTGATGGCTACCTCGTCTCGAAGGCTTGGGGACGAGTCTGGCATCAGTTGCTTCGACGGCAGTTTTCGATGTTTACCCCGCATGTGCAGGGGTTTGCGAAGAGGCTGGGATTGGAAGGGAGGGGGTGGAGGAGAGTGGTTAGTTTGGGGTGTAGTTTTGCGATGAGTGGGTTGTATCATTGGAGTGGGGTTGTGAATCGGCCGTGGACGGGACGGAGTATGGGGATGTTGGGGTATTTTTTGATGCAGGTTCCGGTTATTCGGGGGGAGGATTTGGTTGTGGAGTGGGGGGAGAGGAGGGGGATTAGGGGGGGTCGTGAGTTCTTTTTCTTTCTTTCTTTCTTTCTTTCTTTTCTTCTTTTTCTTCTTTCAGTCTGCTATTATCATTATTCGTGATGAGAAGAGGGAAAATGGATTCATGAGTGAGATGGAAGCTAACTTCCCATCTTCCCAGCATGGTTGAGAACCCTAGGGTATATCTGGACAGTTTGCTGGATCAGTTTCAGCATGCGGTACGCGGCGGCGTGGCAGTATGAGAGTGGTGCTTTGAGTGAGAACCAGCCGTTTTGGGGGTTTAGTGTTGTGCGGTGGGTGGTTAAGTCTTTCTTTCCTTCTTTTCGTTGAGGGGGGGTGGATGTGAGTGTATGGCTGTGTCTGTATGCTTCATGAGGTGGTTTGTGGTATGAGAGTTTATGATGGATGGTTGAGGAGTTTTTTATGTTCTAAGACTCGGCTACAGTATTTGTCAGGCGAATATATCTGAAAAGGCTTGTTGGGTGTTTGAGCTGAAGGTCCTGGGAAAGTTCTTGAGAGGAAATGAGGCGAGTAATGAGTTTGATGTTGTGTTCTTGACAATTATAGATCTTTTTTTTTTTTTGATGATGTCCTCTTCCTCTTCTGTAGATACATCACCTTCCCACCGTCTCCATCTTCGAAATCACTCTTCGCCATCATTGCATCAAGACTCTTTACTCTAGATATCCTGTTTTTCATCTCACATCTAAACTTCCCTCCGGTACTAGAAAAGATCAGAGAGGGAAGAGGAAGTGAAGCATGTATGACCAGGGTATTACGAACCTTTTGATATAGGTGGTCAACTTTATTCTTTCGTCTTATCTTGTCTCATCTTGTCTTGTCTGTTCTGGCTGAAAGAAGGGACCGAGGATTGTGTATAGGGTCTTTTAGATGTTGATTTTTGGGGAAGGGTGGGTTGGTTGGTTGGTTGGTTGGTTGGATATTTCTTGTATTACCTTTTGTAGAGAGGACTTCTTGGGACCTTGGTCTAGACTGTGGGGAAGAAAGTTGGCTGGGTTGAGGGTTGGAAAAATTACTTGATAACTCGAGTGCTACGCAGAGTTACTTGGAGTTAAGTTAAGCCAAGTGGAGTTAAGTAGCAGATTTGACTGCTTAAGTGGTATACTATCGATCGTAATTGAAATATAAAATAAAACAAGTTCTCTACTAAGAGCCTATTTCTATTTCGTGAGATAATATCAGTCGTCGAGAGAAAGAACTGCTTGCTAAAAGTACTTATCACTGAAATCTAGGTCGTATAGTAGTATGTAGTATGTAGTATGTACAAAGGGGCTAGCTAAATCAAAGTAGTAGAACGAGCTACTTGATGCTCGGTATAGATTACTTTGCACTACTTAAGTAGTACTTGACTTAACTTGATTACTTGGCGAGTTGAGTTAAGTAGGGTTATAACCTGCTCGCGTTGAGTCGTTACTACCACCCAACTTAACTCAACTCATCTCAAACGCTAGCTCAATTGCTGATATGTTGGGATCTTTTGGGGGGTATATGTGTATGTTTTAGTTATGGGTGGCTAATGATGGAAGTACAGTTAACAGAACACGATTATATATCATCGCTGAATTTTGTAAACTAAGTCGAGAAATGGATATTGTGCCCTAATTCCTTTGGATGTTTTGGGCAAGTAAGTTTGGGTTGTTTTACTTACTCTACTTACACTGAGCTTGCTACAAGTGGATGAAGGTAAGACTACAAATATTGTCATGCTAAAACACCCACGAATGGGATTAATTTCTAGCTACGCGTAGCTTGTAAAACCCTTACCACAAGGGACATCTCTTAAAACCCTACCACGGCTGTATATCAGAGGTTCAAAATTCGGCAGGAAAAGAAAAGGATTGACTCGCTTATATATATGGCGGTAACAGCGCGGCTCACCTTTAAATGGCCTCTTACTGGTTGCCTGAGTGTGTACCATAAGTTCTACCCAAGCAGACACTTTCAGCTTGAACTGTAATATCTAAGCCGTCTTTTCGAATCAAAAGAAATTCTGGTGATGAGACTCGGCCAACCTTCTATGCTGGACTCAGGTAACACAATGTACATACAAGCATCACGCGAATATCATGAGCGTAGCCCCGCACATGATACCTCATTCCAAAACACCACCAAACATCACTCTCACATCCACACCCTCATCCAAACTTTTCATTCTCAGCCGCGATATAATTTCTCACCGTGGACCAGACCCGTCCCAATGGCACCTGCCCGAGCCGTCGTCGGGCAATATGACCCATGTGGGCAAATCCCCCCACTAGTTCTAGATCGCATTTCCACCGCCCAGTCCATTCCACCCAATCACCACATGTCTTTCCCGCAATTTTTGCTTGAATCCCTGTCACCATTACTTTCTTTTTCTTCTGCTGCCCCGCTAATCACATCTACTAGTAGGGAGCCCAGGTAGGAGATAAGATCCCTTTGCCCTCGACAACAACACCACCTCTTTTTCCGCTGTTGATTGATATCGTGAGATTTCAATGCGCCTCGTGAGAATATCATAGGCATTCCAGTAAGCGACTTGAAGTCTTTGCGCTTACTGCATACGAGGGGAGAGAAAGACTTCACTTCACGGCTTGTCGATCGGAATTGTTATCGCATCACGGTTGCATACCGCATTTCTATGAATTTTTGATTTTCAGCTCTTCCATTTGATTGAACATTTGTTCGACGGGAATTGACACGATCGAATACCAGTTACCACGGCTTCGGAACAGGAAACTCCTCTTCTTGTATATAATTCTGACTCCGAGTCTGAGGCGCATCCAAGAGGACCAGAGGGAGACCACGATAAGATAGCGAAGACGATGGCACAAACGGGGGAGACATACAAGGGCGTGGACGAGTTGCTAGGTAACAATGGAGGAAATAATACTGTGGAAATAAGGGCCGAAAGAAGTGAGGACGATGTCAATCCAGAGCTTTTGGCGAGTGGAATGGAGAGTTTGGAGAGGAAGAATACGCATTGGTATTCGTATTTGAAGACGAGGGAATTCTGGATTGTGTTGCTTATTGGGTGGGTCGACCTCACACTGCTGTGGGAACTCTTGGTTGGACAAATATGCTAATGTTTGAATAGGCAAATTCTTGCTCTTTGCATCACTGGTACCAATACCTTTTCTTCCCTCCTCGTCAATAAAGGCACATCGATTCCTGCTTTCCAAACCCTATTCAACTATATACTCCTCACGATTATCTACGCCACCTACACACTCTTCAAATATGGACCCAAGAAATACTTTAAGCTTTTCTTGGTCGATGGCTGGAAATATGCGATCCTGAGTTTCTTGGATGTAGAAGGAAACTATTTTACCGTCCTGGCATACCGTTATGTTCGTCTTCTCTTTCCAAAGGTCATGATTTAGCCAACTAACAAAAAAATAGACCAATCTTCTCTCCGCTCAATTGATCAACTTCTGGTCCATTGTCTGTGTAGTCATTATCTCTTTTTTACTCCTAAAAGTCCGCTACAAGCCTTTCCAGATAATCGGGATATTGGTTTGTTGCGGAGGAATGGGACTTCTCATCGGTTCCGATGCCAAAACAGGTGGTACCGGTAGTGCAACACCCACAATGGTAAAGGGAGACCTATTTGCTGTCGTAGGCGCAACATTTTACGGAATCACCAACGTCTTTGAAGAATGGTTTGTCTCGAAACGACCAGCATACGAAGTTCTAGGAATGCTTGGTCTCTTCGGTATCATCATCAATGGTGTCACTGCTGCCATTTTCGATCGATCGTCTTTCCAAAATGCTACTTGGGATGGTGAGGTAGGAAGTTATGTCGTTGGATATACACTCATCCTCTGCCTTTTCTACTCCTTGGCTCCTGTCATGTTCCGCATGTCTTCTGCTGCTTTCTTCAACATCTCGCTCCTTACCGGAAACTTCTGGGGTGTCATCATTGGAATCAAGGTTTTCGGACTGACGATTTACTATCTTTACCCGATTGCGTTTGTGATGATTATCCTGGGATTGGTATGCTACTTCCTGGCCGGTAGTGTATTGGGTGATAGTAGGAAGCCTTGGCTGGGTGCTAACCAGGAGGCTGGAGTTGTTGGATTGGGAACGGCGAAGGCGAAGGCTGTCAGAGAAGCGAGAAGTAAAGGGCTTGTTGGGACGGGGGTTGCGGTTCATGTCTGAATGGTTTGATGAAGGTTTTGATGAAAATGAAGATTTCAATGGGGAATGAGATAGTTAATGAGATTTAGAATAGGAGAGCAGTCACGTCAACAATGTATAATGGTATTCTATCTCCAAGTTCCCCTGCATACACCCTGAGAACATATTGTGCTAGAATTACTCAACGGTCATCTTGATTATTCCGTGTGAGTGGACGTACTGGTTATGATTCTACTTATTTTCGTTAACAAAACCAATCTTCGAGGCTTGCTACTACAACACGCCTGTTTTTCCCAGCCGCAGCCTCTTATAGTATTCAACGAATAAACCAAGCTGAAGAGATATGTAGACTCAAGCGTGGCATGCAACAACCAATCCCAAACCTGATCTAGATCTAGATCTATTACCTGCTTATAAACTTTCTTTCTGTCTAGCACAAAGCCTCCACCAGTAAGTAATGAGTTCCAGATGGAACCTATATTACAACTTCCCCAACCATCGCACCTAATGTAGGTATCTGAGTAAACTCGCGACAACCAGGATTCAAAAGTCATCTAACCACTCTTACTGGGTGATCGGTGGAGGGTACATGAAGACACTGCCTGGTCGAATCAAAATTATCGAATTCAGGGTGCTTGTTATGGCAGGCCAGGGCAGAAGGGTAGAAAAAACCCATTAGTCTTGATTGAAAAGATGAGGAGGGCATGGTTGGGTATGTTTGTCTGTCTGTAGTCTACTCGTCTAGACTGGCGCTCCTATACATGTTGGAACTAGTTGTATGAGTAAGATACACACCGAACGAACCTCTGCCGAGACCGGAGCTAGCAATGAGGAATGAGGAATGAGGGTGCGGCCTAAGACCCCTTGGACGGACGGCTTCGCTTAAACGGGAACTGGTGCGGCTTTATCTTACGTCGCGTTCGACAGGTGAGAATGTGAAAGTGATTCGGGGGAGAAGAGGCGTTTGCTCCTAGGTATACTTACCCAATTCCCTTAGCTTTCTTGTGTATCTGGACGATGAACTTCATACCTGTAACCTCTTCCGATGACGAAAGGTATGTTCGTTATACAATGTTACCTAGAGAACCAGTAGGAGAACGAGAATTGCAATTTACAAAGTGACTAACCAAAGTAGCGAATTCGATATCTGGGAGAAACTTCGTCTTCTCCTCCCAACGGAGTATGTAAAAGACTAGTGAAACTTTTGCTTTCGCGGTGAGGAGGATATCCTGATGAACGGCTCTTGATGTTATGAATTTGTGATGGGGAACGGGAGTGAGAAGGTTCGTGCGAGAAGTCGATGGAGAGATATGGGAAATACGTTCAAGAGGAATGGTATGATGGAGAGGAGATGTGGATGTGGAAGGACATCCTGCATTTTGAAGTTATGTCAGAAGTTTAACGGGAGGGGACATCATCTAGCCTTCGCAAATCAAAGAAAAAACAACATTCTTCATTATCCAGTAATTTAGTAAACCAAGGGAGGTTTGAATCAGAGCTACAATGTATTTCGGCAATGGTCTCGAAGTTAGATCAATAACCTCCGACTTCCTTTCCACATCCAAAGCACGAAGCTGCTAACACCACCTGTTTCCTGTTTATCAAATAGTCAATCCATATCTCACAATACTCGACCATTCATCTGTTGCAAAGAGCTACAACATCGAAGCAAAAATAACAAAAACAACAAAACCCACCACTCCTCCCTCTATCCGAAACCAAGAAACCGGCCAGACAGTCATAAAGACAAATTCAACATCTACAGTTTCCCCATTTTCAACACCCAACACTACCCTCGCAACAGCGCGCAGCCTCCAGGAAAGAATCCACGGAAAGCACACTGTGCACAAGAAGCTACTATACCCCGAAAACCTCCCTTCCATAATGAACGACTCCATTTCAAGCTCGGGTACCAGCACGAACGAGCTTCATCTGTTGGATCCCTGAGTAGCCTCCTTCGGTTCAGGATCGACTCTGTGTCCTCGACCAGAAGTGGGAAGTTAGAAGCGAAGATAGTTTCTTTGATCATGTTCAGTCTGGATACGTACTTGACGAATACTTCGCTTTTACTAATCCCCATTCCTGACCAAGGCAGAGAGAAGACGAGAGGTTGGTGAGCCTTCGATGGCCAGGAGAAGAAGATATCTGCATTGAAGTGATCGACGTCTCGGATCCAGGAACCGTCTCGGAAACTTCTCGAGGAAATTTCTACTCCCCCTCCTCGATCCTCTACGGGAGATGTTGCGAATCACTGGATGATATGGAGAGCTAGACGCTAGACTGCAGACTCTGCGGAACGACGAATACACACCTCCTCGTAGCGGGCATCACGAAAATCACACGTATGTATCCTCATTCCTCAAGGAAGCTGCCGTATCGCCACATAGCAAAGATCACTATTTATTTGAGGATACGCCGCTTCACGCATGAGTGCACATAGGAATCCGTGTCCTAGAAGACTTCATGGAGAACTGGCGAGGGATCCTAGATACAACATGGATAGCCGCCCAAACCAATACTTCGAAGAACTTCCTCATGTGTTTCAACTCAATAACCTCACAGCATTCCTCCATGATCATGAGGTGATCAAGATCTAGAATCAACATTCTTAAGCGAGAGTATATATCCAGAGGCCTGCGGAGCAAGTCTCTCCTCCCGAGTCCCTACGCGATCATCAAGGCCGTACTCGTACAACCCCCTACCCTCTCATGAAAAGTTTAAGTATACCCGAAGATATCTTCTCTGATCGACTACTTGGTCGCACACCTCTGGACCCTCTTCTCACACATAGGAGCCGTTGCAACTTGCCACGCATTTGACAAGTGAAAAACCACACTACAGAAGATCATCGAAAGATGGGATTTCTTTACTACTACTACTATCTCTCATATCGATGGGTAATTTCAGAACTACACAGTCTACATCTCGGATGGAACATGGCCACGAATCTATCTTTCATATACCTCCTCATCAAGCACTACTCCACCAATCCACCCTCTCCACCCACCCACCTACCCACTTATCTACATCCTCCTCATCCTCTCCAGGGCGCAAAACTCGATCCCTCAGATTTGAACGAATAGATGGCGTCCGAAGTTCCAAAGGTCCGAAAGGAAGAAGGAACTCAATCCCGCTATTCAGACGTTCGCCCACCCCCAGAGAACCCCAATGCCCCAAAAGATTTCAATTCTCTAAAAAGGATTGTGGAGAATCGCCGGGTGGCGGGAGGAGTTCATAGGTCGATGATGTTGTTGAGTGAGAAGGAGGGAGATTTAATGGTGGGGCGAAGTTGATGAGATGAGGGAGGTTGTGTTCGATGCTAGTTTGAGGGTTTGGTAGTGAGGAGGGGGAGGGGAGGTTTGTACTAGTTCGTCACGTTTGGACGGGGGCGTAAGAAGGGGTGTTTAAGATTGGAGGGGAGGTTGGGTTGGGAATATAGTCAGGTGTTGTCGTATGACTAGATATATTATTCTTTTCATATACCATTTCCGTTGCGCAGCACAAAAATTTCCTGCCGTGTAAAAATAGTTGAAATCTCGACGCCAACAAATGCCCCCACCAAAACGCCCTCATCATGTTACTCATTCATTCATCATACAAGCCGTGGTGACCAAAACACGCAAGTGTGATGGTCACTTAGCCCAGGAAACGTTTCAGGCTCCCCCCAATGTGCTCCAAGTCCAGCAGAAAACTGTCGTGTCCAAACAAACTGGCATCTTCGCCCAACTCGACATGAGTAACCTTTTGATTTCCCCCTCTTTTCAGAGTCTCGGCAATCTCTCGTTGCTGCCAGGCTGGGAAGAGAATATCACTCCCAACACCTATTACCAATGCGGGATGGTCTCTCAAACCTTTCAGGCCGAGAACCAAATCTGTTGGAGGACCAGCGGAAGCTGATACAGGAGAGCTGAAGTCCTTTGGCACTTCGGATTCTGGTTGTTCTTGGTAGGGAGAATCTGGGAAGGTGAGACTGCAAGATGCGTCTTGTTGATCTTGCTCTGAACTTCGAGTTGCATATCCTGCACGACGAGTAGCAGCCGCAGACTGAGCTTCCGCGCCGAGATCAAAAAGATCCATCGCTTTACTGACGTACAGTAAACTATTTGCATCATACTCCAAGCAGAACTTCTCTCCCGCATGATCCAAATATGTTTCAATCAGAAAATCGGGGCAAAGAGCAGGCTGCTTACTTGGATCTGCACGCCTTCTTCCAAATCTTTGCTCCCATTCTGGACCCGATCGATATGTAACGGTTGCAATTTCTCGAGCGAGTTTCATGCCAGCGTGTGGTGGAACACTGTCATAATAGAATCCTCGATTCCACTTTGGATCCATCATCAAAACTTGTCTTTGTGTATGTCGCATTGCAATACTGTATGGATGGCTTCTCGCACATCCGGAAATGGTAGCAATTCGACCGACTCTTTCTGGGAAAAGTACACCTGCTGCCAATGATTGCATTCCTCCCATACTCGAACCAACACTTGCATATAACTTCTCAACTCCAAGGCCATCCAGAAGCCTAAACTGTGCCCGCACCATATCTTCCATCGTTAGAATTGGAAATCTTGTTGCGTATCTCTGCCCATCTGCCGGGTCGATACTCCTTGGTCCTGTTGATCCATAGCATCCCCCGATCACATTTGTACATATTATATGATACTTCATCGTATCTAAACACCCTCCTGGCCCAATGAACTTTTCCCACCAACCCGGCTTGGGATTACTTTCCGTTGAGTGAGCATGCGAAGAGGCAGAAAGTCCAGTATGTAACAGAATGACATTTGATTTGTCTGCGTTCATCTCTCCCCAAGTTTCATATGCAATGTCGAATTCCGGAAGCACTCCTCCCCAATCCAGCAGCAACGAGTCGTTACAATGGTAAATCTCCGTGACGCCACTTGTGTATGAAGGTTCAGGGCCACTGGATAACGATCGGGCTTCGAGAGTAGCGGATTTCGACTCAAGGGCATCTAGGCAAGGAAATGCCATTGCAGGATTCGAAGCTTCTGCCAAACCGGCCGATGCATTTTTTCGAGGTTGCTGAGAAGAGAATGATCTTGCGGCATGTTGCGGGTTTGTTGCTTGAGAGAATTGGCGTATGCGTGTGTGAGGGAGAGCTAGAGATGTTTGTCTGGTCCAAGGATGAGGATGCCGCAAAGCAGCCGATTTCGAAGGCCGTAGGTGGGTAGCAAGCCTGGCACATGCGACAACACTTTTATTAGAGTTCATGACGAATCACAGCATACGCAATCAAATCAACCTCAAATTTAGGAAATAAGTCAGACAATTCAAGGGAATAAAGATGCGGTTATGGAATTCATGGTGTTTTGTCAGCCACCATTCAATTTGGGAATGGCCTACTCAGTTGAGTATGGCCTCCAGATGGCGTGATTGCCGAAATGGTTCCGACGGAGTCTCATCTCAGCCTTGTCTGTGGAAGGAAAGGAGAAGCGATATTTGGTAGCCTTATATGACGTAGGTCAGAGCTTGGCATATCGCCACCTGCGGTAGAACAATCATCCAGTGGGGTCGAGTGAAAGCATCTATATCCCTACTCTACACCTACTACAATCAAAACTGCAACGCAACATACAGATTATTAGACTGAACTCTATTCCCTGCCACAGCTACCTATCTACTGAGTACAGCTTTCTGGAAAGAGCAAGAATAATCTTTCCACTTCTCAAACAAGAAAAACAACCATCACGGGAATCTTAGACGCTGCCGAAGTCTCCACAAAAGACAGCACTGCTGCACTGAGGGTGACAGCGTCCTACCACAACGAGCAGTCTGTACAACAGCTTACTCGAGTACCACAAATACCTCATAACCTGATTACCATGTTCTCCGGAATCTTTTCTGCGGCCTCAAATGTGATATGGGGTCGCACAACTGAAGGAGAAGCAATAACACCACAACCTCAAAACCAGACTGCATCTAGACCACCAAGGAGGCATGGACGATACCAATACCTCTTCAACCCACCTCTAATCGCGGAAAATGCAGAAGAATCATCTGAAGAATCCTCCACAGACGACACCGAATTTTCTCCAACAGTAGAGGACGTTCTCGACGTCAAGCAGATATTTGTGGATGAGCTTAGTATTCCACTGGAACTGATAGACAGTATCATTGACTTTGCAGAATATTGGCCGCATACTTCAAGTTTCATACGCTCATATCCAGATAAAGATATCATTATCCGGGGACAGAGTGGGCATGAGGATCAGCTTCTGGTTTGTCGTCTTCCCTTAATCTGGGGAAATTGCTAATCTTCAAACAGCTGAGAACTCCTCCAGTTGGATTTATTCCCCTCCAACCTTGGGCAAGTAATGTCACCCCATCCAAAAAGACAATCACAGATGTTGGACCTGAATTAGAGGGTACTGGGAAATTCCGCTGGAGCTTACCTACTGTCCCTCAATTATCCGTCCCCGAAGGCTTAAAAGATGATGCTGCGACCCAAAAAGTCCTGAAACACTGGGAAAGCAGCTCATCTGCACGGGAAATGCCTTGCCGAAAAGTAGTATTTAACATTAAGAGTTGTGATCAAGGATGGGGTGGAACTTCCGCAGATCGAGGCACTTACAAAGGATCTTGGACTTGGTTTGATGTTGGCTTGGAAAGAATGATTGCATACAGAGACGGTAAGCATATAGATACTACAATGATTCAATACTTGCTCACTGTCCTAGGTATGACAGAGAACGATGAAGAAGACCCAATCAGTTCATCCAACTCCGACTTCCCCATCGTATGCTCTACCGTCCACGTCCTTCCCGCAGATAACATCGAAACCACCACAACCCCACAAGGCGTAGAAGTCAAGGAATTGAAACACGAATTAAGCCCGCAGCCCATGTGTCTGCAAAAGAATCGCACTGCCACGAGAGATATCACGACCCATGTCATTACCTGGTCCCCCCATGATAACATTGATCCCGAATCATCCGAAGCAGCTGAACTCGAGGGTCAAGGTCGTGGTAAGGCGAGTATGAATGGGGAGTTTATGCGGAATTTGAAGATTGGCGATTCGATCACTGTTTGGGGTAAGGCTCGATTTGGGGGCTGGTCCAATTTTGTGAAGGAGGTTAAGGTTGATGTTTATTGGGCTGTTTAGAGCTTTTGTAGTATACTGCATTTGGTAGTGATGCCTGAAATTGATGCGATTATGAGTATGTTTTTGCTTTTGTTCTTTTATGTATGTATTCGATGTGACGGAGGTATGCTTTGATACTGGAGTCCTTGGCACCTGATGTGTTTTCTGATTTCTTACTTTCATACTCATCCCCAGTGTGGAAATCATGCTGATGAACTTCAAACGCAGGTGCATAATTTCAATATAACTACGTCCTTATATCATTTCCACCCTTCACACTTTACTTTCCTGTTCTTATAATACTCTGTATCCTATCACCATATTCATATAAGTCCCTCCAGCATCCAGTAGTGTGCCTTATAAATCCCTCTTTCAATCCTACACCCAACACCAGTATCTTACCCCTCTTCAAATTCCACATCTCCAATCAAATACCATACCACCTCTGCAATAAACACTCTAAATCTCCTTCCGCATGGAGATCAGACCCTGCTTTTTTCTGACGAATTATGTTGAGGAAGTAATTTGAGATGCATGCAGGAATGATGCGTGGAAGATTGGTAATCATGGCATGTTATATTGTGTAATACCTTCCTTATGTGGGTTAGTTGTGCTGATGTTTTGGAGCTTGAGCTTGAGATTGTGATTGAGATTGTGCTTGTGGTGGATTGATGTTACTGTGAACTTGTGAGGTAGTGGGTGTTTTGCTTTTAGAAATTGTGGTTCTTGATGGGTAGGATGGTTGAATGGTTGAGTGGTTGGTTGACTGGTTAAATAGGAAAGAGATGGAAGTCTTAGAGCGAGAGGTTTGATCGCTGTGGTGGTTTGAGTTGTGTTTGGCGAATCATTGATACTAATATACATCAGTAGATTCTGATCCATGGAAGGGAGAAATAGAAAGTGTATATATAGTGTGTTTTGATATGCTGGAGGAGTTTTTACTAAGTTACATACCTAACATGTATGAGGAAGATCTTGGATAGGTAATACTTCAATTATTGGGAGATGTAGTGGTTATTGTATATTATTAGGTATGATTTAATTAAGTCTGCAGACACTCTATCCTGCGCCACATCTTGGATTCTGGTGATAGATTAGTTGGTTGTTCCTGTTTTTCTTTGGAGGAGGGGAGGGGTCTATAGCTGGAAATCTTGACACAACTTTGAATTTTGTTACGTTTAGTACTGTGGAACTTTTCTGTTACTTATTCATTCATTCATTCACTTCCTCTCTTATGCCAACTCAACATAACTCAATACTACAGTTCACACCCCATCCCATCATCCCCTACTACTCTCTCCTCCAACCACCCCCCCCAAAACCTCTAACCACACAAACCACACAAACCAGCTTCCACCTTCCCTTCACCCAACCAAACCCACCCTCAGCAACCCTAATTATGATACAAAAATCCCTCCTCATCGGTTCCGGTCCCCTAATCGGCGTCGAAGTAGCCGAAATCTTCGCACAAAACAAATTCTCTCATATCGCCCTACTTTCACGATCTCTCTCAAATCTTCACAGGGAGAGGGAGACGATCCTCTCCTCTCTCCAGGACTCTACGGCTCAACTTCCACCTAACGCTCAACACTCAACTCATGCCCAACCTTCGCCCAAGACCCAGTCCTCGCCCAAACCTCAGCCTCCACCCGAAATCAAACTCTGGACCGCAGACACAACGAACCCTACCAGCGTGGTGGAAGCAGTAAGAGAGGTAGGCTCATGGCTGGGTGGAAAACTAGATTTCTTTGTGTATAACCCTGCCAGGGTACATCGGTCTTCGTTGTTGGAATGGGAGGGGGATGAGGTGATTATTGGGGGTCTTAAGGTTGGTTTGTTTATTTTGATTTCTCTTTTTTTTTCTTCTATTGCCTTCTATCTCATCTAATATTCAAACAATTGATTGATATCCAAGATGCAAACTAACTCAAACACCACAGACAACAACACTAACCCCCCACCACCTCCTCCCCCTCCTCCTCTCCACCACCAAACCAAGCATCTTCATAACCACCTCCCACCTCTCCCTCCTTCCCCCACCTAATTTCGTCACCCTCTCCATCCTCAAAGCCGCGCAACGCTCTCTAATCCTAAGTCTCCAACACGAGTTCGGCTCCAAGATCCACATCGCACTCGTTTACATCAACGGTATTGTAGGACGCAAGAGGGATGGAGAGGGGGAGGGGGGGATGGGTGATGGATTTGGAGGACGATTGCTGGATCCGAAGGATATTGCGGGGATGTTTTGGGGGTTGTATACTGATGAGAAGGACCATTGGAGGGGGGAGGTGGATTTTGGGAAGTGGAAAAGCTAGGGTGTATGGGTTGGAGATGGTGGTTTGGTGGTTCTTGGAGGTCTCTAGGTAGTTCTATTCATGTCTCTACCTCCCACTTCCCTCTCTTAATCTACTGCCATTGTGAAGTTCTACAACCTCTCTGCCTACCTACCTCCCAAACCCAACCATCTCTTCATACTGTAATTTCTCTCCACAGAGGCAATCAATCATATTCAACAAGTCTTACTATCTACCCACCTCAAACTCTTTCTATCTCCCCGCCTTCCTCTCTCTTCAAACATTAACCTCATGAACTCCTACAACCTCATATGTACAAATCTATACCTTCCTCTCAACACTTCTCCATCTCCATCCTTGATATCTCTTCGCTTCCTGTTTGTAAACCTCGTGTAATAATCCGTCCTAACCCACAGTCCTTATACAGAATCCTCACAACGTTAACTCAAGCAGCTCAGTAACTTCAAAGAAACCATAATGTATGCACATCATAATTTAAGAAAGGAAGGAAAATCATAACTTTGATCTGACCGCAACTAAAGAATGCAATCAAGCTAGCCTGGCTATACCACCATCCAAGTTCCCAAGCAAGGAAACAAGGTAGTGGTGTGAAGAAAGCTGTGAGATTAAATCGGAGAGAACCGTCAATCGGAAAACCGTTTCATAAGTAATTGTGTGAAAATATCTGCTTGCTTGCTGAGCTACCTAGCTATGTGAAAACTCATCCTCCGCCATTCGATCCATTTCAATCACTCCTTTTATGTGCTCTGCATGTCCTTCACTGGCACCGAAATTAACAACCATAAACCCAATTGCGCAAGCCAAGCAATATGAATGACCTCCCAAATCTGTGAACTCTGAATCGTCTTGAGATCAAAACAAGGAAAAACAAAGGAAAAGGAAGGAAAACATCTGAGAAGATCTATCTTCCACGTCCCCAAATCATAGAAAGATTGTTGAAAAGAATTGTGAAATCCCAGAGGAAGCCAATTCGCAAGTGAATTGAAAAGCAAATTCAACGCTGAGATCCCTAGATCAAAAGTATGCTAGATCCGCAACAGGAGAGTGCGATCAGCCTCTGAAAAAGAAACCGCCCCCACTTCTCCATATAATCGTTGTGTGGTTGATGATGCTTGCTGAGGAAAACAATGGACCTACGAAAAACCCAAATCGTTAATCTGCCCCAACCTGAATTATTCATAAACTCTCCATAAACTCATTGACGAGAGCAATTGCGGTTTCTTTGCTGATATCGCCAGCAGTGACTCTTGCCTTAATCTTGTCAAGACAGTGCTTAATATAAGCCTTTGAGTCTTGCGCCTCCTCAGGTTCTGGAACTACTTCATTGCCATCGTAGTCAAAGCGTTCATGTCCTTCAGGCATCAGAGCTGCCTTTGCAGCAGTCTCCCTCAGCTCATTTGCCTTAGCCCTAGCTTCTTTCTTTGGAAGTCCTTTGAGAACTTTGGGATCATACTCAATGGTATCAATCTTGATATGACGGCATGTCATCGCATATCTCAAGCGTCCATGGGACTCCACTTTGTGCTCGTAATGGACTTGAACATCTGAACCGTCCATCACCATAATGTCGCCATGTTGTAGAATGATCCTAAGAATATCGCCCTTATGGCTTTTGCCACTGCTTTTGCAACCAGGGATTTTGGATTTATTCTTGGGTCGAAAGGACATCGTCGCTGAAGCTCCAAAAGATAAACTGGCGACAGTGGGCCCCAGGGTCGACTCCCCGTCATCATGGTAGCCCATGCGACAGGTCTCAAAGTATCCAACATTGAGGACTTCATTGAATTCTTTGAGTTGACTTGGAGAGGATTTATGGTCTTCAACGTTGCCCTCCTTCTTGAACAGCTCTTCACACATCCACTGAACTCTTTTGAGAGCCTTGAGAGTAGTGGGAGGAGCCTCTGAAAAGGGTTTTGAAGTACCCTGAAGGACTCCAAACTTGTATGGAGCACCCTATGTTTTGGTTAGTATACCAGTTTTACTTGTGCAATTTTAGATAACTTACGTAGTTCGCGCTGTAATGTCTGGTAACAACCTCAATATCCTTTCCAGCGTTCCTCACAGGATTTCTCTTTAGCCCAAAGTCTTCACTTTGCATCTCCTCAAACATTTGATTTGGGCCGTCTGCAGCCTTATTGATGTTACCATTAGACTTGATGTGATACACACGACCGTAACCACCACCGTCAATTGGAAATGGCAGCTCATAAGCGTAGTAAATGTAATTCGGACCTAAGGTCATCGGTTTGGATTTGATGACTTGATCATCAACGTGGTATCTGAGGTTTGCGGGATCTCCAATGGTTGTGTCTGAAATTGCCAGTGCTGCTGGGATCACTGGTTGGTTGAGTCGATAGGTGAAGTCGCATCGTGGATTTTCGCAAGCCCATTCTGCCCACTCCAAGCGTCTACTGCAGCAACGACACCTTGGGCATACAATGCCTTTCAAATAAGCTTTCTCAGTTCCCCAGCTGCTGGATTGAATAAGGTCCTCTGATTCCGGCAATGGAGGCACGACAGGACCAGGATCTTCCCCAGTGAAAGGCGTGCGCTTTTCCAAAAAGTCAGAAGCGTAGGTCAATGTTCCGTCGCCATTATAGTTGGGATGCTTGAAAAAACGTTTGCAGGATGGGTTCAAACAGAGCCATCCAATGCTGAAGATAGCCTCGTAGGTTTGGCCACACCCTTTCTCGCCTAACACATCTGTGCAAGTCTGAGAGGAAGAGATTGTAGTATATGGCTTTGGCTTGTAATCATTTCCCTCTGGCATATACCATGGTTGTTGTTCAAGGTTGACTCTTTCAAGTCTCACGCACCAGGTCTTGAATTTGTTTCTCAGCTCAGTCCAAACATTGGTAATTTGATACCAGCCCAGGACATTGAATGCGTATGGTAGTTTACATGGACTGATCTTGTTACACTGGCCTAAAAGGTTGTTAATAAAATTGAATGGAGAAGAATTCAAAGATAGCTTACCAGCTATGACAATAACAGCTGTATTGCTCTCCATGGACGCCATCCAACATTTGGCAAAATTGTCATCAGGCTTTTGGTCGCTGTTCTGGATCATCTTGTCACCAACCTTTGACCTACCGCCACCGCTAAGTACAGTTAGAAAACATCACCATCAAAATAACGAGAAGATCTTACCATGTAGTGATGATAACGTCTTCATCAAAATAATCTCTGTCACCAACCATGGTATTCACAAGCAGGCCACAGGCTTTACCTGCGGTACGGTATGTTCCACCTTGTAGAGCTTGGAAAGCTTTGTAGGTATCACAAAGTGCTTGTCGCACATGGGCCCAAGCTTCTGGCTGTCCAACGGGAGCAGGCTTGGAAAGGTATTCCCTTGATAGAAGATACGCTTTAACGACTTTGCCAAGTTTGGTATCGTCAATTTCCTCATCTTGATCTTCTGCCTGAATCGCCTTTTGTTGTTTCACTTCTTTGAAGTCCTCATAGTCCATCGGTTTGTTATCCACAGCCACCACAACATCATCAACCTTCTTGGTAAAATATTGTTCCAGAGTTGTATTCTGTGGACTTGGAGCTTCCACAGCCTTTCGTTTGCTTGCTGACTTTTTTGCAGATGATGCTGGTCCCTTTTTCTGGGGTGCTGACTTTCTAGGGCCTGCCTGTTTCTGAGAGCTGTTAGCTGATATGTGTATTTTCAAAATGATTTTGGGGGGTATTAATTTCATGTCATCATAGTTTGAGAACATACAACGGGCTCAGATGATACCTCAAAGGAGGAATCTGTAGACTTTTCAACGGGCGCAGATGTTGGTGAGGTCGGAGGTTCAGTGTAATCCACTTGTGCAGTCCCAGATCTTCTCTTCCTAGGAGTCGTATCAGGGACGGGTGATTCTTCCGTTGCTGGCTGACCGATAAACCCAAGCTCGTTGAGCTTTTGCTTTTTTACTGGGGGTTTGTTTGGATCCATTTCGCAAGTGACACCCAAAACAGCGTGCTCAACTGTTTACCCTAGAGAAACTTGTCAGACGAAAGTTCCGCCATAATGAGATTATGAGATGCAAAAGAGTCATGATGGTCAATGTAAGCGTACCTTGTCTCAAATAACGCAGTATCAAAAAGATCTTTGAATTGTTAGGGAGTTGTCTCTCAAAACGTGGAGATGGTCAAATTAAAAGTTGGCTGGAAGAGTGGGTCCTTCAAACTTGGGCAAGCGAAGCCGACTTGGCCACCTGCTCTAGAAGAACACCGACTGAAGGTGAACTACCACAAATCAACAGCTTCAGCCTTTGAGATCGCAGCAGGCAATTGTATAATTTGACAATTGTTTGATGATGATCAAGAAGGTTGAAGGTGAAGATGAGTTTGTGATTGTGGACTTTGAACAGAAAGGTAGACTTACAACGTGTTTAATTTTGTCACGCAGAGGGCGTAACACTGAAAAAAAACCAAGGTGGAGACCAGAGCTGTATAAGTTCAAGGCTGCGATAGTGATTTTTTTCTGAACGCCTGTCGGTCTCTTGTGATGAGACTATCTGAGTAGTATTGATGTTTTCAATTGACTACGTGTTGACAGAGGCCGCGCTCCAAGAAGGTTGCAGGTTGCGGGAGGAATGAGAGAAGACAGACAGGAGGTAGAAGGGAAGAGGTGTTTGTCGGTTTGAAAGAGGAAAGGAATCGAATGGGGGAGTCGATAGAGAGTTATAGACAACTGGATGGTCCGAGCTTCTCACTCTCTCGCTACTCAGAGAGCTGTTGAAGTGGGGTTTCGTCAGTTCTGCCAATCAATTCGGTGGCTCGGACGGCACTTAGCCTGGTCGACCAGCTGTTTTCGGTGCTTTTGAAGTTGAAGGTAGAGATTGGGAGGGAGTGAATCGGCTGGTTCACCCAAATCGAAAACTGAAGATCGGAACTTCTCCTCAACTATACTACCCCTCAAAGAAAGCGCAAAGCTGAAGGTAGCTTTGAATACTCTTTTCAAGTTCTTATAGATAGAATTGCGCATGAAAATTAATTGGAACTGGCAGATATAATCCTTCGCTAATGTTCACCAAGGTAGGAACAACCGATTTCCAGTTTCGATAGAACAATTACTCAGCTGAGGTGGTCGGAACGTTGGAAGTGAGCACTATAGATAAGTAGATTAATGAGGTGTCTTGGTGAATGTGAAAAAGCGTCGCTGGTATCTTGGGCGTCGGTTCCAGAAGGTAGGTACTCTAGGCAGCAGGTTTGGTTGAAGGTGAGGCAGTGGACCGACAAGTCTCCAGTAAATTTCCCAGCGCAAGGATCAATCGCTGAAGATGATTTTGCACACCCCTCAAGCGTGCTGTGCACCAAACACCAGACGACACAGTATGACAACTATTGAGAGTCTCAATAGCAGTAGTGTAATGCGTATGGTGTGGGATCACAAGCGGTGATATGGTCAATGTCAGAGTTCTTGCACCACCACTTCTTTTCTGTTTCTCCGTCACTGAAGATTGACTATATATAGACGTGCCCCTGGCACGATGAAATTGATGGCATTGACAGTTCAATTGAGTGCAGAAGAGATCAAGTGCCAGAAGTGCTATCCCTGTCTGAGACGTGGTACTGGTGAGAAAGTGGCAGGAGCACACAGTAACGCGTCGGTTTCTTCAAGGGAAGGGACGACTACTCCATTCACAGTTAGAGTTGCCATCGCAGCATGCTCGCAGAGAAATATACCTGTGATAGAGATGAAGAATTACACGCCAGAGTGGGAGGAGTCCTTCCCTGTGAAGGATGTCGTGATAGTATGGGAAGAGAGAGCTGATTCCCAACTTGGAAAAGAAGGATGTCTCTCTCCCAACGACTCCCTATACGCACCACAACGAGACGTGGAAAACAGACGGGAATGATCAATACGTGTCGTACCCAGTGGGTTGATGAGTTTGTTGTGAACACAGAGAAACTTGGGCTGCGATGATGTCCAATTCCAGTGTCGTGATGGAAGCCGACTTAGTATGAATGAAGATTACACACAAAGTCTTGGTGAACGATGGTTGAACTGAATGATGGTTGAGGTCAATGAAAGAAGGTTTTGAAGACTTTCAATCATCATTAGAAACCAAACCTGACGCGTTCAATTCGTGTCTGACAAAAAGGGCAGGAACGACTCAGGCTCATCCGCACCTGCTTTGCCAGGCGTGCCATGGTGGTGATGGTACGCCAAGCAAATAGCCGACCACCAACGAACCCCAGCTCATCCATGAAACAATTACACGCTCTGTTCTGAGATCAAATTGAGACTTGATTTGAGTAAACCCATAGTCTTCTAGAATTTCTCAAAGAGCAGTAAGTACTGGAAGCTCAGGAGGTGAAGAGAGGGTGTTATGTGCAAACAAAGTTGAGTGACAGCCGTCAAGGACTGACCCAGCTCAGTTTGCCCAACAGCCTTTGCCCTCAAGAACCCTGCTAGGATAGCTAGGCAGAGAACTTCAGGGAGATTCAATATAGAGGACGTATGAGATGAATATATAAAACGCGTACTGCTTGTACCAGCTGTCCAGATGCTCCCCTCAACCCAGCTTCAACCACGGGACTCTGCATCACCATGCAAGTGCAGCCAGGCTCTCTTCTCTCCACAGAGGAAATTTGGCGTCTGAAAGGTGCTGGCAGAATACATGCTCCCCATTCACCAAGTGTACACTGAGTCTGGAGATGGTCTTGCTAGCAGACTGTGCTTCTATCTGTGTCAACACATTTTGAAGTTTGAACAAGGGACACTTACCATACACAAGAAAGAGGAACGTTGGTCTGGTACTTGGAGGATCAAAAGTGTCATGATCTGAAAGTTCTGCACTTGTGTGGAGGCTGTGTGACAAAGTCTTGTTGATCAAGATAGAAACTAGGGTTTCATGCAAGGCCCTGTGTAGGGGTCAGAATCCTATCATAACACTGCCACTAGCCCCTCCTGGCTTTGACGATGTCGGTGAAGTTTTTGACAAAAAGAGTTATGTGGCCTCGAATGCTTTTGATAAAGGTCGTAGTCCACCTGGAGGTTGCTATTTACAGATCATACTTGGAAGTATGTGTATGCACTCCTGAGGATCTAGCGAGGAGAAATTCGTATAGATGTCTTGATAGGAACCGAACAACGTCCGAATTTCGGATAACTCCTCAGAAGGCAAAAGTAAACACACAAAACATCTTGAAATTATATATAATTCTAGATGACTCCAAGTAGAGTTACTAGCAATTATAATCAATATTAGACGTTTTCATGGCGTTGTTGTATGATTTTGCAAAGTTGTGAGAGAAAAGCCGTCCAAATTTTGTATGAGCTACCAAGTACTTTCGCCGTTTTCCGTTTAACCGATTCACCGAACTTCCGACCGAAATGTCATTCAATGATTGACACGTGGATTGAACGTAAGGTTTAGGCTATAGTTAGGGCAAGGGCAAGGGCAAGGGCGAAACGAATCAAGGCTGTTTTACTAACTTCTCTCCTGATTCAGCTGGTGGCATAGTAAACCTTCCTTTACATCTGTCAAGTTAGAGGTAATGCTGCCAGTGATATCTTCGGACCATGACTTCCGTCTTCACCAACTCTCAGCTTCGTCAATTCTCACTTGAACGTTGCTATAGAATTATTATTGTCGGGTTCTGATTTGACAAGGACGAGCTCTCGGAATATCATTTACTTGTTGAGACTTGAGACAAGAGAAGGAAAAAAAGTTTATTTTCACAAGATGATCAAGGGAAAAGGGCTGAGCCTAAGAAGACTATTGATGATAGCTGGACTGCTGGAGGCTGGTTGTAACCGTTTGATGCTGTCTAACGTCAAGTCTGTGCATTGCATGACAGCCGTCCGGCCCCGGCTTGGTGACATCTGCTCCCATGATATCAATATCCGCTGGAATTTTCTCCGATACTAAAACACACAAACGGTTCGGGGTTGTAAAACCGTTCCATTGACAACCGTAACGAGTCTGACATGTTTTGAGGCAGGGGCATCCCGCCTACCACCGTGCAGAATATGGGGAAGCTGTCAGCTCAACACCATATCTGGGGAAACCGAACATGTCCCCTGCCAAGGCGTGCAGGTCTTCCTGATATCCTTCGATACGGCTCTTTCAATCAGTACGACAAGATCACGAAAATGCCATTGAACACAATTCGACTCCTCTTTTGAGTTTGTGATACTTGCTCGCACACATTGACCCCGGGTAATAACTTTTGGCACCGTTCGTGTACCCTACGCGAGTAAGTCTGTTCAGAATCCAGATGTAAATTCAGATGTAGAGCTGTAAGTACCTACGGGCAGTCCCGAAAGAAGGGAGTATCCAGCCATGAAGTGGGGTTGTGGTCTGATGTCTGGTTACTTGGGGCTGTTTGGTGTTCCTATCCTATTGGTGTGGAAGTTGTGACTTACGATAGCATTTCGATCCGTGGGACGTCTAAGTTGTAAATATAAGAATGGCATCGGCAGCGTAGATATGGAGCCAGCACGTACTGTCCTGTACTTTCTTACCGGATGTCGAAGTAGTAATCGGGGGAAGTCGTTGAATGGAAGAAGCCGTAAACCTTTTTAAAGATAGAGTCGGTCTAGATAGAGTAGGTGGTAGTAGTACCAAGCGAGTAGATGTAAAAGTATGGGAAAACGTCATAGCTACTACCTACAGAACTGCCCTCGCCCGGGTTTTTTCCACGGGCGGTCAGCGAACACCACCCGCACAAGCGACCCCGGCTTGCACCCACCTGCACCACACGAGTCAGTTGGCCGCTGCCTCGGCTTGCCTTTCAACGGTAGTGCCCCGGATGACAAGAGATGACCAACAACTCGAGTACTCGTACATTGCATTGGGAAACAGATGAGCATCATGATGGCGGGTGTGAGTTCTCCGCATGGGGTATTTTAGCCATGGCACTTGTACGGGGCCTGGATCTGGGTGAATTGACAGGCATATCCTTGAGGGCTGGTTACTTACATAGATGCCTATACCCTCGGAGGTCTCTCCCTTTGTTTCCTCAAGACGTCACCAATTCAGCAATTCACTCTCCTCAAATGTCACATCGTGGTGGACGGTTACACAAAACTCCCTAAGTCATCTCCCCCGCTCGGCCAGCAGCAACTGCTGTGTCTGGTTGCAACCCGCAGTACATCGCATTCGATTGCAAGTTGCCGTCTTGCTTCACCCTCTTGTGATCGCAATCTCGAATCGCATAACATAGCTTCTTGACCATGGTTTTCTTACCTGCGCCATGGGTGCCTCCGCTCCCACGAGGTATGTAGTAGTTCTTTTGCCTGCGCGGTCTTGTTCGGCGGACGTTTCCGGTGCAATTGATAGTAACTCGAGAGGCTGACATTCGAATCTAGAACCACCAGATTCCATACCCGTCAGTGACTTTGTTCTCAAGGAGAGTTATGGCCGCTTGCCTTCAGCATCCTCACGGAATCCCTTCACTTGCGGACACACGGGCAAGACGTACACAACACAGGAATATGCCGACAGAACTGAGCTTCTTGCGCGAGCCCTCTCGAAAGAGATGGGATGGGCACCAAACAAGGGAACCGAATGGGACAAGGTCATAGGCATTTCCGCCTTTAATACGGTATACGCCTTTTGCGGAATTTGGAAGGATTCCAAAGCTGACGTCTCGCACCTAGATTGATACTATGGCTGCATCATATGCCGTACATCGACTATCCGGTGTGGCTTCTCCTGCCAATGCTGCATATTCTGCTTCGGAGCTGGAGTTTCAATTGAAATCTTCTGGGGCAAAGTGTCTTTTTACAGTAAGGTGGCTCAATTGCTGTTTGCGAAATAATTCATCTGACATGATTCACACAGTGTATACCACTTTTGGAAACTGCATTGCAAGCAGCCAAAGCTTCGGGGATCCCAAACGAGCGTGTATACATTCTGGAGATGCCCAAGGAGTTTTCCGGCGACAAACAGCTTCCATTTAAGACAGTTGGACAATTGATCCTTGAAGGCGCAAGATTACCCGAGCTTGAAGCTCTGAGATGGGAAAAAGGCCAGGGTAAACGACAAACTGCGTATTTGTGCTACTCAAGTGGTACATCAGGCTTCCCGGTATGTTTGTCGCAGATGCCAATTGTTCAATCATGCTCCACGCATGCTAAAGCACATATGAATTGCTTGACATGACTGACTCTCCAATCTACAGAAAGGCGTAATGATCAGCCACTATAACGTGATTACAAACGTCCTTCAATTTACTGCTCATGAGTCCTACTCGAGGAAACCCGAAGATACGAAAGTTGCACTTGGTCTTATGCCGTTGAGTCATATTTATGGATTGGTCGTCATTGCATCATCTGGTGCTTACAGAGGTGATGAGGTTATCATTCTGCCCAAGTTTGAGCTTGTCACTTTCTTGCAAGCTGTCCAGCGCTTCAAACTACAGGGACTCTACTTGGTAAGTTTTATTGTACAAACATTCAATCAAACATGTCTTGACTTGTAATAGGTACCTCCCATCATCATTGGATTAACAAAGAACCAACAAGTCGTCTCAAAGTTTGATTTGAGCAGTGTGGAGACCGTTTTTACGGGTGCCGCGCCGTTAGGGGCAGAAACTGCAGAAGAACTACAAAAGATCTATCCATCTTGGCGTATCATGCAAGGATACGGTTTGACGGAGACATGCACTGTAGTTTGCGCAAGTTCACAACACGATATCTGGTTTGGCTCAAGCGGTAGTCTACTGAGGGGTTTCACTGCCAAGCTCGTAGACCCGGATGGCAAAGAAATTACAGCATATGACATTCCTGGAGAGCTCGTTGTACAATCTCCTTCTGTCGTCCTTGGATACTTGAATAACGATAAGGCAAACAAGGAGACTTTCATTGCTGATACTGACGGAAAGGGAAGGTGGATGCGAACTGGTGACGAAGCTGTGATCAAGAAGAGTCCTAAAGGCAATGAGCATGTCTTCATCGTTGATCGGATCAAGGAGTTGATCAAAGTCAAGGTATGTTTCTGACTACCTGTATAATGTTGATCATTTTTAATCGTGTTCTAGGGTCTCCAAGTAGCGCCAGCCGAATTGGAAGCCCATCTCCTTACCCATCCATCTGTGGCAGACTGCGCAGTCATACCCGTCCCAGATGACGCAGCAGGAGAAATTCCAAAAGCTTTTGTGGTCAAGTCGGTCTCAGTTAGTGGTGTGGATGACAAGAAGACAGCCCGAGATATCTGTAAGCACGTCGAGGATCATAAAGCTAGACATAAATGGTTGAAGGGTAGTGTCGAGTTCGTGGATGTTATACCCAAGAGCCCTAGCGGTAAGATATTGCGGAGACTTCTGCGAGACAAGGAGCAGGAAGCTCGAAGAAAGCAAAGTGCCAAGTTGTAAATCATCTGGTCTTCCAAGGACATGTATGTACTGAAGGTCATACCGATTTACTCGCACATGCGCTTGAACTGGCAGTCTAGAAATTCAAATACTTGAAAGATTATGAAGATTTTGTCATGCGAATTGTAAATGGCATGTGAGACCAGTAGATATTGTTGGTTGATTCCGGGTTGTCATTGTTTCGAAAAATCGTAGAAATAAATTTAGGCGAAATAGGGGCTCGGGTACAACCAAAGGGATGAACCCTGCCTGCATCCCTCGGAACCTGTCGGAACAACTCCGGACTAGGGGGGGGGGACTTCAACTTTTGTCATCAGAAAAAGTTCTACAGGACCCCTCGATTTCAAAGCACATAGAACTCCTCAGAACATAACCCGCCACCTGTTACTGACTTTCATACACCCATAAAACACGCGCAATCGACACTTTTCTTCTTCCAATTTATTCCAATTTCTCAATCTCTCCAAAAACACCACAGAATATGTCGTCATCCAACCCCCACCAAGAAGAACCCCACCGCGGGGTCAACGACGAAGAAGAAACCGCAATGCTCGACCCCAACGAAGCAGCGGAAGAAATAATCGACGATGAAGACGACGCAGCCATGGACTCGGGATCCGAGAATGGCGAAGGAGAAGGCGAAGATGAAATCATGGAGGAAATAGCACTACAGAATGATTCCTCGGCGCATTTCGATAAACACCCAGATTCTATCTTCGCTATTGCGCAACACCCTACGAACTTCAATATTATTGCTACTGGTGGGAGCGAAGGCGAGGATCTGGGTGGTATTGGGTTTGTGTTTGATACTGCGGTCGTGGAGGAGAAACCTGTGTTGCCGGAGAGTTATCAGAGTGCGCCTAATGAGAGGGTTGAGAGGAATGGGATTGAGCCTGTGGCGAGGTTGGAGGGTCATACGGATTCGATTAATGCTCTGACTTTCACGTTACCGCGTGGAGAGTTCTTGCTGAGTGGGGGATTAGATGGGAAGCTGAGGGCATATGTGGAGGGACAGGGCGATTGGAAGTTTTTGGCTGAGGCCCAGGAGGTGGAGGAGATTAATTGGCTGCATGCTTGTCCTAATGTGAAGTATGGGAATACGGTTGCTTTGGGCGCCAATGATGGGAGTGTGTGGGTTTATACTGTTTCCAAAGACCCGGCGGCTCCTTTGCAGATTGTGCAGAGTTACTTTTTGCATACGGAGAGTTGTACGGCGGGGGCTTGGTCTGGGGATGGGAAGTTGCTGGCTACTGTTAGTGAGGATGGATCCTTATATGCCTGGGATGTCTTTGGAGAAGCTTCCATGGCAGGCTTAACACAAGAAAACGGTCAGACAGTCGTAGGCCTCACAGCACTCGACCAAAGATTCGCAGTAGAAGGGGGACTCTTCAGCGTGGCCATCGCACCAGGTGGAGCCTTCCTCGTAGTAGGAGGAGCAGGAGGAGCCCTTAAGGTCGTCGGTCTTCCACGTCTGGCAGCCGGAGCAGCAGCACCAACCACAAAAGCCAAAGGCAAAGGCGGAAAAGCAGCAGGTACATCCTCAGCTTCAGCAGGACAAGCAGGTCAAATCCTCGCTGATATCCAGGCTCAAGGTGACGGCATCGAAAGTCTCGCCTTCGCACCACCACCTCTTACACTACTAGCCGCCGGCTCCGTGGATGGCTCGATAGCTCTGTTCGACTCAGCACATCGATTCGCGGTAAGAAGGCATATCAAGGAGGCTCATGAGGAGTACTCGGTTGTCAAGGTTGAGTTTGTGAAGAGTGAGGGGACGGGCGGCTGGCTTTTGACGTCCTGTGGGATGGATGGGGTGGTGAGGAGGTGGGATACTAGAGGTGGGACGGGGATGGCGAATTCGGGGTTCGTGGGGGAGTGGAGGGGTCATCGGGGAGATGGTGAGGGTGGTGGTGTGCTTGGGTTTGTGCAGGGTGGTGGACAGAGGGTTGTTACTGCGGGGGATGATGGGGTGAGTCTGGTTTTTGAGACGCCTATTGCGTAGAGTTATAGAATTAGGGCCTGGGTAGCTTAGCTTGGGCAATACTGGGAGACTTGGGGAAAGAAGGGGTTTGATATGCACGGATTTGGAGTTTTAGTTTTGCTTGATTGTTAGAGATTTTCTTTTCTTTTCTTCTAAATGGGATTAGATTCTTATGGAGCATTCTCATATCCCTTTGACTTTTTCTTTTCAAAAAATATGGCGGGAAATCTCTTTTTTTGTCTAGTGGTGAGGATGGATGGTAGTTGAGAGCGAAATGAAGTACCCTTTTACTGATGTTACATTTGCGAGAATGTGTTACTGGTGATGTGTGAGATTGGGTATTGATGTGTTGAGGTGTTGTTTTATGATATGTTTGTTATCTAGGTTGTTTCTTGAAGGACTTGACGAGAAGACTATTATTAGGGAAGAGTGTCAATATTCGTTTTCTTGGAGATGGAAGGGTTTCTTAGGTGTGTGGTGGGTGAAAATTTTGTAGAGAGGCTTGTGGATGTTGTTTTGTTGTTCTGTTTTATAGCGGTTGTTGACGACGAGCTTTGGGATGGGAAATTCTTTTTATGGTAGGGTATGGTTGAATGAATACTTACTAACTACCTGTTGTGCTGGGTCTACTTTCTCTTTTGCTCCACTTCCTTATTTGATCCACTTATAGTTCTGCTGCCTAAATGCTTCATGTCTGCCTAAACCTTACACTCTTTATATAAACACCTTAGATAGCTACCTTTTACAATGCAATCAATTCTCCATGACCTTCAGTACCCAATACCCTTTCAACCCAATATATCTTTATACCTCAATGGAGTCTTTCAACCATATTCCCTTTCATTTCCTCGTCGGCTGGTTCCGAAGTATTAGCCCAATTCCCACCAACTATAGAGAATGGATAGACAATGAAAATAAGCGAAAACAGCTGGTCTACCAGGCTCCATTCTTTCAGGGGACTCGCTAGATTGGCCCACTCTGTCACCATGTGCCTCAATATCTCAGAAGGCTTCGAAGCCTTGCATGATTTTCACCTCAAACTACAGCGCTAAGGATGAGGGCTCATGAAACTTGCCTTTCGTAGAAGTAAGATCAATATGCAGAGCGACGCGTCATGATAGGACTTGTGCCAATGAAATGCCGACACCGGAAGACATGTAATGCAGTGGGCGCACTGCAAGGTGTCAGCCCATCTCCACGCCTTTTGAATAACAAGTATAATTGAAATGAACTCCGAGCAATCCAGCCTTATCTCTTGTTGGGAGAGTTTATGTTGCATTCAACAATTTCGAAGTTACGAGTTCCCAGCCACAAGTATTGAAGGTTGCGTTTCATTAACCCATTTTCATTCGCGTAAATTAACTACTTTGACACGGCGTAGATTATGCCTTAGCAGACTGGAGAACTTCAAACTCGCTCAGAACATATGATCTCCTGCAGAACCCATATTGGGATCAGGTATTTATCCAAAATGACGATCGTATGTCTGTGAGGAGATTCTTGATTTGGAAAGATTATAAATCCAAAAACAATGTTAGTGTGGTGATAAATGCTGCTTTGCTTCGTGAGGCATCTAACAAGGCGATTCAGTGAGTAACTACTTTCAAGAAATGAGGCTTTCAGTATACGGGATAGGCTAAAATCCGTGGACATTTTGCGTGCTTCGAATTCATTCGATGGCATGCAAATTTACCACCGAAAGCCGAGAATATCGGCTTTCGGTATGGATTTTGGCTAAGCGGAAGAGATGTAGTACATATAAGAAACCTATATTTTGGTCTTATCTGCATATTGGAGTACATTTGTACATCTTGGATCGTTACTGCCGTTCCATCCAATATCTTTCTCATTTGCTAGCTCCAGAGTTTAATAGTCAGTGCGGCTTCCTACAAGCGATCATGAACGTGGTTGCATTTTATTACCTATACAATGGCTTAAAGAGCTTAACTTCCAAACGCAGTCAGCGACCCAGTGTGGGGATAATGGTAAGCCTTACGGCAATCACCTACCTCCGGAACAGGACACCTGATTGATATATCCTTTTCCAATTGCTGACCTCCAGATGTTTTGAACTTAACATAACCCTATATTATCTATGATGACTATCATTTACACTTGGTGGCTGGTTATTCTAATCGTCATTAATTTGCCCGTGAGACTGGAAGTTGCCTCTCCTGCTTACCGTGAGGCGAAATGGGCATCTCAGACACAGGTCATACTTCTTCATCACACTGGAAGAAATCTTCACCTTGGGCTCCTCTTCTAGATCAAGGTCACGATCTTCAGATCTTTATCTAACCCAGCGCTAACCAGTTACATCGGCTGAACTACTGCAATTACGTGCTCCCACTCAGCCTTACGACCTAAGCTCGCCCGATCAATGCCGATTCTCCGACTTCACGTTCCAGAGCTTGCTTTTGGTGTTTCCAAATCTCGGTGCACATACGAAATAGGTCATAAGATAGGTTGACGCTGATTTATCCGGATGGTTGCTCGAAACAGCCAATTAAATCCACTGGCAGACCACCAATTCAAAAACAGCTGATTAGCATGACAAACCCGAATGAACCCAATAGAGTTAAGCAGTCAATATCAACGAGAATGCAGAATGCTGTTACGTATCTGGGCAATATAGCAGTGCCATTCGCCTTTCCAACAAACTTTGAAGGATTATAGTCCCGGCTTATATGTCTCCTCCGGTGACCGAAACAAGGTAGGGCTAATACTAGTTGCCTACGAGTACAATGTTGCTGCCTCATTTGCCTTACCCCCAACCTTTTCTTACATATGCTCCTGGAAAGTTGATTGATTGAATTACAATTGACATCGTCGGCGTTCGATGATTAATGATCTGGTGGCGGTTGAATCTCGATCTGGAGCTAGAATGTCTAGCTCTATAAACCTATCCAAGATATGAAGTAAAAGGACATCCATCATCAACGAAAAGTGTGGGAGGGGGGGGCATCACGAATTGTCCAATCACCGTGGCTTGCATGCTATACTACTGTAACCCCGCACGCATGTTCAACTGTGAACGAACGTGGTCCTTTCAAAATTGGGTCAAACAATATGATGTATCTTACACCCCTGTAGACCCCGATGTGTACATAAGGCAGAAAAGGCATCCTCTGCACGAGCCCGGCTGCAGTAGACATTTTATCCAAATTGAATGTTCGAATATGCTTTCGACTTAGATTTCATATACTTATATGTCTTGCGCACCGCCGGGCCTTATAAAAGTAAGCTCCTTCCCAGGACGGATATTATTATTGTCATATTGAAACTCCCCGAGAAAGTTTCATGATCAATTTTGGAGGATCAGGCTGCCCTGTTTCATCCGCGAGGCAGGTGAATGGAAGATTTGAACTGCCCAAAGAAGTACTACTGCATGGACAACCTCAGTTAGAAGTTGCAGCCACTATTTACGGCGAAGCGAAAAGAGGAACGATGTTCAACTCCGTTCGTTTTCGGCGCCAATCGGTGTTACAACTGATCTGTTACATCGGTCATAAATGACGAGAGCGAGCTCCTACGGCACAGTTGCATGTCTATCGACCTATCCGGTGTACCCGAAGAATGCAGATATGGAAAACCTCTGGCAGTGAGAGTTTGGCGGTGTGACAGTCTGCTCACGATATACAGAGAATATGAAGAGCGAGCGCTTAACAGTAGTAGGCAACATTTGCCTTGGGAAAAGCTCATGTGGAGGAATGCAAGTTGCATCGAGACAGGCGATTGATGGTTTTGGATTATGCGCATTAGCTCCGGCACAACCTCTTAAATCCTTTTGAAAACTTCAAAAATCCAAAACCTGATGTCTCATCTTCTCTTTGACACAACATCGCATAATTGAGGCATTGGTATCAAATAAGGCTGGATCTTGTTGCGTGTTTGCGTGCGTTGCTCGTAAGAGTATGCGAGTCCGATGAGAAGTTCTTCAGACCATTTTGGTCCCAAGAATGAAATACCAAATCTGGATGTATTAGTAGTTTCCCATTGAAAGAGTAAGTAGCTTACGGGATATTTGGCGCAACCTCGACCAATCCCCAAGGCTGTGACTTCTCAACAGTAATGTTTGACGGATAGAATCCCAATGGCACAGTAATAAGTGGAAGACCACTGAAGGCTGGAACATCCCAAGCAAAGTCACTTGGAAGGATCAAAGCATCAAAGTCCCCAGCCTTGAGAGCACCTGTCACTCCTCCTTCGTTTCCCCAGAAAGAAGTTGTCTGGTATGCCTCCCAAAATTGTGGGCTTGTGTTGTTGAATCCTGCCAAAGCTTCATCCCAAATCCCAATATCTCTCTGAGGATATTCCTCTAAGGGGTCATTGCGGGTGTAATTGGCCGCATCCGCGAGGTTTGTAATATTGTTAGGATTAGTGGTGAGTTCAGAGAGATATTTGGGAAGATCAGAAATAAAGTCGCCATTAAGTACCTTTAGTGAAATTACACCGTTATTGTTTGTATAATCACTGTAAGACGAGAAGGCGGTATCAGCAAGAACTGTACCTGCTTTCTTCATAACCTCGATAGCCTCTTCAAAGGCATCCAGTAAGGGTTGGTTCGACTTTCTAGGCTTCGGTAAAACGTTTCTCACTATTTCAATTCGGGCCCCACGGAGACTAGAAGAGTTCAAGGCTAAGGTATAGTCTGGGGGTGTATCAAAAGGTTGAGCCAATGTATAGTTATCGCTCACATCTTTTCCAGCGATAATACTGAGGAGGAAGGCAGCATCTGAAACCGTTCTTGCCATTGGCCCAACGGTGTCCTGATGCTCACTGATAGGAATGACCAGAGATCTAGAAGTCAATCCCACCTTGCTAGAGGTTAGCTTCATAGATCCTGTACTAAGGTGCGGAACTTATTATGTCATGAGAGAAAATCGTGAAGTATGGGAATGGCTTCTCTACCGTGGGTTTGATTCCAACAATGTTGTTTACACTTGAAGGGGATATGATGCTGCCACTCGTTTCGGTACCTAGGGATGCAAATGCCAGACCAATAGAACTTGCAACACCGCTTCCTGATGAACTACCACTTGGGTCCATATTCTCAAGATGAAGTCAGCGCCTGCACTCATAGACTAAGATTTCAACATGCTTACGGGATAATAAGCACCAGTCACCTATTGGAGATCTTGATGTCAGCATTTCCAATTCTGATTATTCCATTGATTCTGGAGGGATGTTCAGAAAGAAAGAGGGGAATCTGATAATAGCGTGCCGCTTGAAAATAGCCCGGAAAATGTTGGAGTGGGGTAACGAGGATGTGGGATTGCCTACCTGACCACCATATGACGACCAGCCATTAGATGAGTTGAAAGACCTAAAGTTTGCCCATTGCGACAAGTTTGATTTGCCCAAAATAATGACTCCAGCAGCTCGCAATTTCGCAGCAACGAGGGCATCTCGAGGAACTCGAGCGCCGAGCAACGAGTAGCTTCCAGCTGTATTGTTCATCAAGTCATTGGTGGCTATATTATTCTTAATAAAAATCGGTATTCCGTGCAAAGGGCTGCGAATTGTCCCATTTCTGCGTTCCGCATCAAGAGATGCAGCTATTGATAACGCGTCTGGATTCAATTCAGTGATCGCTTTGAGGCTTGGGTTGACGTCGTTGATCCGAAGAATGTACGCCTGTGGAGTGTAAGAGTTGGCCTCTATAGAAATTAGCTACCCACCTTTGTCAACTCAACGCTGGTCCAGCTTCGATTATTCAACCCGGCAATGAGCTCTTCTGCTCCGGCATTTAGTAGATTCGGATATCGTGTAATGGTTGAGAATTCGGAACTAGGGTTTGGAAACCTCAAAGCCGCCGAAAGTGGAAATCCCCATGTGAGGGCAATACATAGAACAAGAATAGAGATGGCGAGTGCCATTTTGTACTGCGTTGTTCTGTATGAATCTTTGAGGCTATTTTTCTGTTTCCCAGTTCTGGGCAGGATTCCTTTCTTATCAATCCTATTCATCGGGGCAATCCGATCTCTATTTTTCATCCTAATCCAAGAGTAGCTAATACCAGCAAAGGAAAGGCACGATACCGGTAGAAAAGAGGGCGAAGGGGCAAAGCCACCAAGAGGTATTCGGGTAAGTGCAGAAGAGCTCTTTTCATTTCACCAGTCAACGACGATATACCGGCAATTCAAACCCTGATATGTACAGTCCTTACCAAAAAAAAAGCTAATCATCGGTTGACGTGAATAATGCCAATTATTCTTCTTACTTATACCAGAAAGAGTGCCTCATAATTTAAAAGGTTGTTCATTTGACGGGTGGCTCGTTATCTAATCGTCTCAATGGGTGGGTTGACGATGACGATGACAAATATCTAAACGGGAAGGTGATTAAGGTTTGAAGATCCTATCCTATGTCCATAAAATTGTGGTCTCGTGACTATATATGCCGCAGAAAAGATTTTCCGTCGTCTACGATTTTCCACAAACCACATGCAACACCAGAATATATTTCCATGAAGATTTACAGCATTCTTGGCATTAACTTCTACGTTCAACAAGAATTGATTATCTACGATACCACTTAACCCGCTTATCAGTATGACCATCTGGTCAGACAAACACGTACAAAGCTACACTTGAACAAAAGCAGTAATCGTTGCGAATGTAGTATTACGTAAACTTACACTTCACAATGAACACATAGGAAATTGACATTCATTCCTAGAAAAATCGATTGCTCCAAAGATAGAAAACCCCGCCTCGCCAGCATTCTCAATACGAAAGTGGTGACATCCCAAGTACTCGGTCAGTTGCCTTGTTCCAAAATAATGAATGTCCATATTGACACTGCAAAGTACGCGGAGAGGAAATAATCCTGATACAAGCTTTGCATAATCACTTGCACAGCGTCGAACATCTCTGTATTACAACTGTTCCGACCCGACATTTCCCTGCCAGTGGAAGTAAGAGAATCTGCCTTGCAATTGGATGTACAAGTGTTACCTCTGCTGGCGGGCTTTTTCTACCGTTTAAGGTTATTCAAAAGCTTATGCTTGTCAGGTGCTGCTGGTAAGCTGAAAAAATGGGGTTATTCGGTGAGAATAGATTGTTTTGATTCGTAAATCGTACTGCCATCTTGATACTTGTTTGACCTACCAAGCTACATACAGTTTGATAATTGGTATTTTCAAAACGAGGCAGGCTTGTGCAAAGTTTCGAGCTCAGGGTTGTGGATTCTGCCTGAGAGCACCAAGTTTGGACTGCAAATTTTCCGCGTTTTGCTTTATATGCAACAAAAGGCCCAGCAAATCATTTTCCTATACATCCATAGAAGTATATTTCTATAGGTTTCTACTATTCTGCCCCTATAGCTTTTTCGAGAAGATATGAAGCTTGGAAAGACTTTATTTCTTATACACTCATTCGTAGTCATTGATTCTGCCTACTTCCATTTGGAGACACTTCCCTTTGGCTCGGGTTGAGATATTCCACTCAAAATGAGAATCCGTACGCAATAAAGACATATAAATGTCAGCCTTCTATTTTCAGCCCCAAAGTTGAAGAATGCTGCGGTCTCGGGTGAGGTTCCGTGGTTTTGTGCTACAATATCACAAACTGTGTACGATCCCCGACATGCGGTCCGCCCAATCATTGACAGGACTTCTTTGGGAGTGTAACAATTCATTCTTCTAATCCGGATGAATCTAATTACATACAGATATATGCATGCAAATAATTTGCAACTCGGTTGGTTTCTACACTTTGAACTCCCAAACCACCAATATACGGTCCTCACTAACAACCTTCCTCACCAAGAATCATTAATACCTCATGAGATACTTTTTACTAAATAAGATATACAACCATAGAAAACACTGTCACATATCATCTCCGAATTGTACCGTAAACGCTCACAGCATTGTCAGATGGACAACAAACATTAGTCTAGTGGTATATATTGTCTCGTCTGCCTTCTGAAAATCTACAAAGTAACACCGAGAGGTTGGGCATCCATTAGGCGGAAAATAAAAAGTCATTTGAGAACATTCATGTGCAATTAAGGAGTTAACTTGACGAAGATGGTGTGAGCAATTATCCCCCGTACGATGTTTTGTAACTTCTCTTGTGTTGTAGAGACAAGAACGATATCATCAAGAGAACCTAAAGTCAAATGTAGGTAGCCAATCCACATGAACATGCGGGGTTAGCAAAATGTCCATTACGATCTCTAAATTTCTGTGGAACGGTGTCAGTTGCACTACAGTGCCTTTTTTATGTCACACTACGTTAACTCCTCAACCTCCACTTCATCTGTTGCACATAACAAATGGTAAATATCAAAGAAATTCTTCCATATTATGCTGTGGTAGCAAAAATTACTTGAAAGAACCAAAGATGATGTTGGATAAATCAAGGTTAAACATATCCAACCAATGGTAATACTACAGTGCCTACCGTTACGTTGTATCCACTTACTACTCCACAAAACTCATTGGCAATCCATTCAAATCGTTACTTTCACCAAATCAGAAATTACAGTATGCACGTTCCCCCAATAACATCTGGGATAATTATTGCATGGTCGAATGAGATCTCTTGACGGAAACGAAATGCTACAATACCATACATATGAAATGCACCGTCGGGGCAAAGTTCAATCCGATCATCGTGATTGGACTTCACGGACGAGTGGTTAAGAGATTGCTCTGGCCTTGAAACATGGATTTGTATGCTTCCTTCCATCTTTCAGTGCTTCAGACCCGAAATAACCACACAATGCACACTGACTTATAATCTGTCGCATCACAATGAGTCCCCACATCATACCGGAGAAACCACGAGAATATATGTTTCCGCACATGAAGTATAACTCGTTCTTCGCCATGTTATCAATACATTTCACTCCCAGAATAGATACGGGTCCAAATTAACGCCCAATTCCTCCCAACTCTTCCCGATACGTCTACACCACATCAGACCAAGAGGTCTTAAGTCCAAATGAAGCAGTTATTGACGCGCCGCCAACATGCGACTGCACAAAGCAACCGCCTTACATTGACGGCCCAATTAACTGTCTCTCCAGATCAGTGATTCTCACAACTGCAACCCAACAAGGTCCAACAGGGAGAAACCCACCCACAGAGGAAAAGATAAACAACAAGAATTCCACACCCTAACCTCTCACCAAAGACCCCCAGCCCTATTTCCCAGCCGTTCCAACAAATGATTCTCGGACAAGTAAGAAGTGTACGTAGGTATCATCAACCCAAGCATCGTGACCCAATTCAGCTGGCCGCTTCACGACCACCTCCAACACCCGCCTCACATACAGCCCCATAAACATCTGTCTGTTATGACAACAAAGAGAAGTTGCCTCGTTTGCCTTTGTCGTTCTGCCTTTTCAATTGCATCAATAGTAAGATTAAACGCAGGGAGGTTGGGCGGCTATTTCAGATCTGGAATTTGGTAGTGCGGTTGCGTTTCATTGGGTTTCAACGTTGAATTGGGATGTTGGTAGTTCTTTCACGTTATTGGGAGGGTCCTGAGATATCTCCAATTGTATGCCAGGGCGTCCTGTTGGTAATCACGGATTGATACTGTATACTTTCAGTCATCCACAGGCTCTGGATCATCATGACCTTCTATATGGCGGCTATGTTTTATTAGGCTTCAACATCTGAATTAAAATGGTCCTAAGATATCTACAATTATATGCCAGCGTGTCCTGTTTGGAATTACGTATTCCAAACGTATGCTTTCTGTCACCCACGGGTTCTCGGATTATCATAACCTTCCATAGGGCGGTAATGTTTAATTGGGCTTCAAAATCTGAATGGAGATGTTAGTATAGTATTCCACTAACAGAATTAAAGGAATGTATAATGTTCTGCTGAAATGCTGTGACATATTTGATAAGTTATTTTGTGTACGAATCATATATCTCCAGAAACCCTAGGTTCCGGAGCCGTCTCCCCAATTACTATATATGAAAGGATCGTATGTTGGTCCTGTGTTGGTATACTCATTTACCAGGGAATGAACCACTGCCTTGTACGACCAACAACAGTTGATCCTACTTCAGATTCTCTTAAGTGCTACTTTGAGAGAATCATGTGATTCATCCCAAACTCACTTTCCATGAAACCAAAGAAGAAGCAAGAAAGATCAAGAAACCAGGTACTCGGGACGGGACGAGGTTCACAAAGTGAGGCTGTTCGTACTATTCGTGATATCTCGAAAAACCGCTTAACAATCAGTTTCTGAATATGATCTACATTCATGAAGGGAAATACCTTGTTCGTTATATCAGGAATGATCACACGTGATATCTCTCAGGTACAGTACGTACGAGAAATGTAATAGCTGGCTATGAATTCCTGGTACTGTACCTCCTCGTACGGAATGACTAACTAATGACTCATCACGTAATATCATCAATCTTCCGACATAAAAAACCCACCTGCCTAAATTCCAAAACCCGTAAACCAGCGAATCAAAGCAAAGCTAACAAACGCGCTTACACCTCGCCCCAAGGGGCGGTTACTTAAGACTCACTAGCTGGTACTCATATAACCCATACAGTACAGTACGGTACAGTAAGTAAGTTACACAACCTCACCGAAAGACGAATGAATATTTCAGCTCTACTGTACTGTACTATACTATACTACTGTATGCGATATCTAATCTAATCTAATCTAACAATCGGACCTGAAGAATATCCCTTTCATTAACATCCCTCGAAAGCGGCTGAAACCGATAAAAGGAAAGAGGGGAAGAAAAAGAAACCTTCCACACCCAGAAACCGACCCAGGAAGAAAGAAGCCGAAGAGAAGCCTATTCCCGCCTCCTTACATAAAGCAATTCTGTGAAGGGAGATGTGGGTAGGGCAAACGTAGGCAAAATCAAAGAAACAGATGATGTAGACGACCAGGTGATGGGTGTCTTAATCTCACACGAGTAAGTTAATAGTTACTAGTTGCTAGATGATACTACGTACAGTAGTTGAAAACGTAATCACATACTGTACCAGTACCAGAAACTATCTTTCAAACAGTCACGTCCCCTCACCCCTCACCGCCTGCCTAACAATGAAATCCCCATCTCATGATCTGAGCCCTCGTTCATAGGTAACTCACTGTACTATAAGTCTTACAGTACCCTTGATACCCATCCCCCTTCCATCCATCCCTCCACTCGTCCTTCCATCCATCCTTTCTCTCACCGAGCACAAGACATCCCTTACCTCACACAAAGAATACCATTTCCCGATATACAGTACAGTACTGTACTGTACTATACTGTAGGCAATCAAAAACTTCAACGAGGCAAAAAAACACAAGCTTTAGTTTGTCAAACATCACTTGTACAGACAAACGCAAACGAAATACGCCAGCAAACCAACAATCAAACAAACAAACTCACCACGGCAACAGTATACACACTGAACACAAAACACGAAACACAAACACACAGAAAGAAACACAGGCAAATAACAATTCAATCCATACATAATATGATATAATATAATATAAGCGTCATCCAAAAAGAAAGGCGCCAGAAAGGCAAACGAAAAGGTATAGCCTATCAAATAAAGCAAGCAAAACAGTCATATAGACTATGAGATGTTTAGTTAGGCTGCCTGGCAATCAAGGGATAGAAACGGACAGAGGAGTCATACACGATGTGAGATTTCCACCCAGCCAGCTGGTAAGCTAGGCAATAATCAGTCAATCAATAGCAGAAATTTACTCACTCACTCACTCACCCCACCCACTGTGTCAAACAAAGAACCAACCAGCCCCAATCACAAAAATCTCAAACCCACTAACCAAACCCCAACCCACTCACTCTCCGCTCATACTCCAGCCATTCCAGGCGCCAACCATCCATCCATCCAATACCACAAATCATCCCTCCATCAAAAAAAGCCACCCGAAACCTCTCCGATCATGAAGAAGAGTATTCGGGTCTAATCGCAACATACCCAGGGTGTCATGGACCTCAAATCGACCCTCTCATATCCCCGAGAGCCACTCGACTCCCATACCCGGACCAGGGGAGCTCCGAGCTTATTCCCAATCCCGATATGTGATTTGATGGTCAAGCAGAAGGAAGTAAGATACAGCTCGGTACTGTAGCAATGCTGACAATATCACGGGTACGGGTACCCCATAACCGAGTTTTCCGAGCCCTAGCCTATCTCAAAGCCCAAGAAAGGTCTTTAAGCCTCCCCTCCCTAGCTCACCGATTTCGTGGAGAGGGATCGGATGAACTTACCATAGTAAATCCCAGTAGACTTACTCTTAGAACCGAACACCTAGTGCTGACAATACCAGCTCCACACTCCACACTCCACAAGCAGAAGTCTCGTCCCAGCTGAATAAATGGATGGCAAACCCACCACTGGTTCTCATCCTTCCACACTGACCACCCATCACCCATCACTCATCTCACATACTTCGTACTTGCCTCCCTACACCAAACCAGACCAAGAGCACTGAAAGGAGACGATAGGTAGACCTACCACAAAACCCGGAGATACATCTCCAGGAGAACACAACAGCAACAGAGCAATGCAGGATAGATGGGTTTGCCTCTAGTCACTTACTCATACTGTAGATCTAGCATGAAGCTGCACTACACTGCACTGCAGACAAGGGGCCCTAAACTCCGGACCGGACCATGGCATAGCATATCATAGCATAGATTCCCATGGCATGGTGACGAGAATAAAGTAACGCGGCTGCCTGATCTCAAGCCCCATCTTTTCGTGACTCCATACGAGTACGATGCTTGATGTACCAGTAGGTTTTCTGTTCGACTCTTGGATGGAAAGGAACCTTGATCTTCTGCCCCAGGAACCATGTCAAGCTGTTCACACGACAGGAACCGCCAACTGATAGGCCATCAGCGACCACTTAGACATGACGAGGAAAGGATTATCAAAGCATAGAAGAACGCACAACCAATCGCTTTGCTCAAGACCCAAGTTCGTCGCAGGAAGTGGCGATATGGAGATGGAAATGCGCAAGTCTGTGGAAGATCAAGGAACTCCGTGGAGAGAACATGGTGTTCCATAGATGTGCTCATCATGTTGATGAACAGTGGCAAATAATCATCATGTCTGGATATAGAAAAGGAATATTCATCGAAAGAGGGAGGAGGGGAGGCGAGGTATATGTACAGTCGCACGAAGCCGATATATTGCCACTAACCATGATTCGCTTACAGAGTGAAAAACCCCCCTGAATCGCCGCATTCCATGGCTTGGCAGGGTATGGCCCGGCGTTTTCGCGCCGCCCCCAACACCAACCCATTGGCAGCCCCTCGAAATATTAAAAACATGTAAACATGAACAAAGAAGAAAATTCCGATGAAAAAAAACGTGGAGATAACTCCGAGACAGATCATCGTATTCTCAATTGCCTCTGCTGATAAATTCCCCATATCTATTTTGGGACATCATAGATATGGGAATCGTCAGAGTAGGTGGCTGAGCTCAGCCTCGGTGCCTCCAGGCCTGTCCATTGGGCTCGCTTGAGCAGGAGCCCTCGTACAGGAGCCACCACTTGCAACGCGAAGAGAAAAATAATGACTTTATGCAAGAGTATCCGAAATTTTCAAACTTATCCACGAAACAGGAATAAGATCTCTTCGCACTTCCTCATCAATAAGAAAAAAGGCAAAAAAAAAAGGCAGCCAGGAAAAAAGCGGTCTGTTACTACCGATGTAACAGCCGATGCGCATAGTCTCATAATGCTGCCGTCGGTATCCACCGGCAGGAGTAGAATCATCTCAAAGAATCACCTGACTGAATATATGGAAACATGTTTTGCAATACCATCGTATCAAAAATGGCTTGACTGTGGGTATTGCACTTTGACGTTGCAGCGATCTGTGGAAGCGTACAGATATAATGGGCACCTGTCTCACGTAGCCCTTGCAAGCTCAATCAAAATCATGCGGGAGTCCGAGATTTCTGCAGAGCCAACTGAGACGATGGAAAACGAAAGGTTTTGCGGAATTGGAGCAGAGACTTGACCAAGTGCCTCTGGAGGTCGTAAAACACGGATACTCCGATGCGACGAGTGACGTGAGCTGAAAACCGATCTTACAAAAATGGCCGGCCTTTGAAGAGAGCCGTAGACCGATATGATTGAGACCAGTAGGTGTCGGGACTCACGGAAGCATACTGGATTTGCGTATGCCAGTGGCTGAGAAGGAGGCCTTTCGACCTCTCCTAAGCCTGGGGGACCTGTCTGAACGCGTGGTATAAAGTTGCAAGGCAAAGCTGAAGTACACCTTCAATCGCAATACGATTGCGTTGGCTTCTCCCAATAGGCCAATAGAAGAAATGAGGCTTCCATAGTCACCCAAAGTGTGGATAAACCTTTTGAGTGACCTTTGGGCATACTTGTTCTGCCTGGAGTTGACGAAGACAGGCCCCATTGAGCTATACAAAAGTTAGAAAGTGGTATAATTCGAATCTGATAAAAGATTGTCAACTTTGGCCAGGGGAACGAATCCAGAATAAGGATACAGTACACCAAGAAGAGACGGGCGTGAGTGTGTATAATACTTACCCGAAAGCAGTAAATTTGCGGTAAATCTGGCGTTGAGAACCCGTCCTATTCGTTGCTTAGAAGAATTCGCCCGATACGGGACTTTTGATGTAATATTGTGCTGAAATAAGGCGCCCCAGGTTTCTTGATTCGCTCAAAACAGAGCATTTTTTCGTCGGGCAGCAATGCAGACGATTTGTAGGGCGAAGATATCCAAAAGGTTAATTGGATATTTGATATTTGACCTTTATTGGGAATATAAACATTAGCCAGGTCCAAAAACAGCAAACTTATGCTCTCCCGGTCAAGTTTGCAAGTTTGGATGGTACAAAGAAATAAGTTTTGAGGCCTCAGTTCCAGTCCCGGAGTAATGTTGCGTCTCCATCTGCCTGAACCCGTGATTTCCAATAGCTTCCGTGAAAAGAATGGGTGGACGATCGTTCTAATCCCATGACGAGGATATCAATGGTTCGAAAGGGATTTCTTTGATTCGCTGTGCCGTGGAGCCTGGAATCCTTCGTTGAAACCGACCCGCAATTTACGCTCGTTAATTTGACCATTTAGCCACAACTTAACTGCGGCAAGGAAATGTTTGACATCCAAGTTCGGTTGGCCTATCGCAAGGGGTCAATCGTCATAAAGCTGGGTGTTAATACCTTCCTTTCGCTGGATCCTGTTGGTTGTAATTTATGCCATCCACAGAAAATCGTACATCACCAACCCGCAGGATGTGTTTCGGCCGCCCTGCGCTTGAAGAGATAAAGGAATATGGTACTTTGTGGGTTTAGTAACACGCAAGGATCTCAGGGCGAACTTTCATTTCCCAAGATACAATTTGATGACTTTGTCGCTCCAGGATTTGGTGAGCAGCGAGCTCGATTAAAGCCACGAGTATCAGACAACCCTCGATTATTCTTTGAGAGAACTACCGCAAAAAGGGGCATCGACTGCTCGGCTAACGATTGATCCTATGTCACAAGATTAGGAGACAGAAAAGGGGTTGCGAAGGGGGTTGGGTCGCACAATACGCGAGGGGGCCAAGTTCAAGAATCTTGCAAGGCTGCGAAAACGACAGTTTCCAGGTAAGAAGAGGCTAGCTTATTACCTGGACTAAAAGTCGCCCAGAATGCTGATCATACGGTGAGCGTTTTCGGTCGAAATGACATTGGTTGTGCATTGAAATTACACTGGTTTTGCTGGAATGATGCCTTGAACAAAGAGTGATGTTTCCTCCCATGATTATTGAGCCCTGGAAATTGGTCATGCGGGCTCGGTGAGTGAAAGAGCATTAGTGGTCGCACAGCAGCAGTTGCTGTGAATGCAGGGGCTGTGTGGTTGGCACGATCAGAGCCTAAAGCCTGAAGCGAGGCGGATGAGAGAGGAGAGAGGAGAGAGAAGCTGTCACTGTCCCTCCTAGAAAGTGAGTGGTCGGGCTGTGAGCTAAAATAAATGGTTCGCAATTTTGCGAACTCCCCTCGCCACTCTGTGCGTTCCAGGACCCTGCCACAGCAGAGCCTCACTAAGCGGAGGTCGTGGGGCCTCTCCCCCAAATCGGTGCGTCGATGAGGGGCCATCTATAAGGAACTTGGTTCCCCTCTTCGCATTGTATTGTCTCCCAGAGCCTCAATCTTCTCGCTCACTCCGTAGCCAATCCCTTTCTGATTCACCCAGAACAGCGGTCGCTCGAGCTGTCATTATATTCATTACTTGACTATTTCCAACCCATGTCCCCTAGTATCTATATTTGCATTCGCAGAGCCTGTTCCAGCGGCTCGCAACAAGACTGCTACTGCCGTTGCTGCCGTCCTGATAAATCCATCTTCCCCGCCAATCCGCTAACCTCCACCGTAGTGGGAGCCCATCACCAAACCACCTCCCGCCTGTGTGACACGCTTGTTCTGGTATGTCCCCCAAAAATGCTGCCAACGCGGGGTTTGGCCCCATGACCATTCCACCACTTCCCATTTCCACGACTAACAAACCCCCAGCAATGAGTCTCCAACAGCCAAAACCACAGAAGTTGGGAATGGACCAGCTGTGGGTGCAGCATCAGAGACGAAACGCAAAATCCACCAAGTCCTGGGCTTGCACCCTGTGTCCCGAGCGTCGTGTCTTTATAAGTTCCGACCTGTTATGGAAACACGCGCTACAGGACCACCGCGAACGTCTGCCCACCGACGAGCCGGAACTGCGGAGATATCGCACGAATTTTGGAAATGAATCTCTAGAGAAAAGGTCAGTAGGAATGGCTCGGGGGCTGACAGCCTCGTCCCTCGTCCTTCTCCGCTTCTGGGGGCGAGAAAATCAGGCTCGGAGCCCCTGCGAAGCCGGACCAAAGGAAAGCTGGCTGATTCCCTATCTCGAGTAGCACACTGAAACCCTCGCTGGAGCCTCGTAGCTCAGCGATTGAAGAGCCGCCCCCGCCCCCACAATCCAAAAGACCCTTGAGCTCGCCAGCCGCGGGGGGAGGTGGCAGCCTTGCCGACTTGGGGGAGTTGAACATTCAGAGCCCCGGCGCAAGTGAAGATGTGACGATGAGGGATGTCTCGGACGAGAATAGCCAGCAGCCTAGAAAAAGACATGCCGCCGGCGAGGGAATAAGTGCGGCGGGCTCAATACGTGACTCATCTCCCTCGCCATCGCCGGTGGATATAAAAAGTCAACGACCGTCCTCGGCGCCTGGCATAGAACACGACTCTCGAAAACCAAACGTGTTCGATCCGCAGCGACCCCCCGTGGAGAAAAAGACTCTTTGGACTCCACAAGATGCACCTCTGGCGAGATCCAATTTTGACCCTTCAAATATAGCGTCAGTTCAAGCTCAGCGATCAAGAGCTCAAGCCCTCCCCAACAAAGCCCGAAGATCGTTTCCCGCATCACAAGCCTCAAATCTCAAAGGGCCTAATATCACCCAGAATACACCAGCACCTGCAATATTCGGAAGGTCGACGCAAGGTGGCTTACAAGGCCCTACGCGAGAAGAGTACTTGGATATAATGCTACAACCAGAGACCAGACCCATATCGCAAGAGCAGTTGGTTGCAGAAGTAAAGGGAATATATGCCGGTCTTGTCATGGTTGAGGCCAAGTGTATTGAGGTCGATAACAAACAAGCCACGCTCGCTCAGGCAGATACGGGCAACCCTCCCAAGTTGAACAACGAACAGTGGCAGGCCCTGATCGCATTACATAGGACCTTGCTTCACGAACACCATGATTTTTTCTTAGCAAGCCAGCATCCTAGTGCTAGCCCAGCTTTAAGGCGTTTGGCTTCTAAATACGCTATGCCAGCACGAATGTGGCGACATGGGATCCATTCTTTCTTAGAGTTGCTAAGACATCGTCTTCCAGCGTCCTTAGACCATATGCTCGCATTCATCTATCTAGCCTATAGTATGATGGCTCTTCTTTACGAAACAGTGTCGGCTTTCAAAGACACATGGGTCGAGTGTCTTGGGGATCTAGGTAGATATCGAATGGCGATTGAGGATGACGATATCAGAGACCGAGAAGTATGGACTGGAGTGGCTAGACACTGGTATAGCATCGCCTCTGATAATTCGCCTACAACAGGGAGGTTGTACCATCATTTGGCTATTCTCGCACGACCGAATGCTTTGCAACAGCTGTTCTTCTACAGCAAGTCATTATGCGTTGCCATCCCCTTCACATCAGCACGCGAGTCGATTTTGACCCTCTTTGAACCCGTACTTAATTCAGACAACGGACAAGGTCAATATCGGTTACCTCCTCTAGACACAGCATTCGTAAAAGCTCACGGACTGCTCTTCACGAATAAGGACCTACATAAATTTGACCCCGCAGTGGATGAGTATCTAGGTTTACTTGATACACAAATTGGTAGGGTTACAAGAAAGTTCATGGAACAGGGTTACCACATCGCTGTGGCGAATTGCGTTGCAATGGTCGGATTTGCTGCTAAGGAAAATGTCTTGATGAAAATCATTTCACCGGGTGACGAGGATGTCGCCATGACAAATACCTCAGAGGTCATGGCACAATCCATGGCAGCGTTCCAAAGTGCGCAACGCCTCAGCAACGCCACTGCTGAGATTATTTTGGAGAGAGTGGGTGATCCTAATGTCCTGCCATTCATCCATGTAACACTGATCTTCATGTTATTTGTGGCTCGTCACCCTGCGGCAATGGATCTTTTGGCGCCAAAGTTTCCTTGGAAGTCTTTAGCCATCATGCTGAACACTATTCTGGGTGCTTACCAAACCCCTGGTCGCATTGAAGATGCCTCTTTCCCAGTACTTGAACAAGATGACCCACGTCCATTCCCTGAAGACTTCGCAGTCCGGGGACTTCTTTGGACGGAAGGATACTTTACTGATGATTTTTTCACCAAGAAGAAGATTGATGAAGAAGAGAAGTATCATGAACGTGCATCGATGACTTCCCAACGAAAAGAGCGTATTCTTTGGCTTGCTTGTCGTATTGCAGATCTGGTTCCCCATCTAACTTACAATGGAAAGCGGTTTTCTATACCATCAAGCAGCGGGGAGGAGATAGAACTTCCTACAAGAACTTCAACATTTGCCTCTGTAGCTACAAGTGGATCATTTGATCGAGTAGGCACTTGGGAGTCTCAAGATGGTATTAGGTCAGAAGGCGAAGATGAAGAGGAAGATGTGTCATCGCCAGCGACTGTACATGCGGCAGAACTTATTGCCAACGAGTGACGGTGGATACATGATAGGTTTTTTAAGTAATAAGAACCCAAATTGTCTAAATGACTATTCTACCCGGACGACGAAAGATGACGAGAGAAAATATACAGGTGCGCCCTCTCACTATTTGTTTTTGCTTGCATGTCCTCCCGCTAATGTTAGAAATCTTGCAGCCGTAAGATATACGAATACTGCAAAGAAATTGGTAGCATACTCCAAAAACGTTAGGATGGCTCAGGTCTTTTCCATCAAACACAATTTTTACGTTCAGGTTTCGGGCGTTGGTAGCTACTGTCCCCTTCCGATATCAAGCCTTTGAGCCGAAAGGCCATTGTTCAACGCACACTCATTTACCCAAGAGATTCGTCATTCCTTGGAATCTCTAAGTCACTCCTTTCAGCACTGTCTGACTGTGTCTGCTCATTCCATTCCATTCTTGACGTTGTCCCACCCATCCGGGAGGGGCTAAGGGATTAATTTTCCAAAACTGCATTTTACGTTATGGTGGATGCCCTACGAGAGGCGAATAAACGAGCTTTTCTCTTCTATCCTTTTTCTCCTTCGAAAACGTTGTTTATGATGCACTCTTTTGCGATTCCTCCAGGGTGGGGATGGGAGTTTGTTGTGCTTGGGAGGATTTTCTCGCATGGTGTTGTGGCGTTGTGGCGTTTTGTGTATTGAAAGGGGCGAATGATTTTCCTAATCCTAATGGATGGAAGGGATAAATGTGTTGACCTTGTTTGTTTGTTTGTTGTTGGGGAGGTGGCTTTTCTGTGTATGTATTATGTCCGTCTGGTTTTTATTTCACCAGATTTTTTTTTTTAGTTAGGTAGGTAATTAATGAGTAATGAATGACATATATTTTAATAAATCACAAACTTTGTCAGATTGATTACATAAATGCTTAGATCTTAGGTAGCTTGCTCCCACTTGTTATAGTACTTTGGGACTACAGCTGGTTTATGACGATATCTATCTATAGGTACGAGAATTGGGATTTATTAGCTATGTATGTGTGTATGTATGTATGTATGTACCTTGACTAGCTAGGTAGCTAGGTAGTTAGGTAGATAGGTATTGTTGTGGGATTCGTGTAATTGGTGTACGAGTACGAGTACTTTTTGGGG